ATCTTGACAAAGCAACGTGAAGCACAACGACAGATCTCCTCATTCTATGATGGAAGCAGAAATCCGGATTTTAGGAAAAGGCCCCATTATAAGGATGTCCGTGATCTTATGGAATCTCTGACGGAATTGAACAGCAAGCCGAATGGAACCATCGACCTGGAAAAGGAGCAGAAGCGCCATGAGGATTGGATGCGGAAGGGTAAGAAGTTGTTTGGCAAAGCCAACGCTCCATTGCACATACTCAAGATGCATCTACAATATGTTGAAAAGAAGAACTCATTTTGCTTCGATCTTGAGGACCGGTGTCGTCCACCTGTTGAACCGGCGTCGCGAGAGGCAAGTCCCGATGCTGAGGCTCATAATTGGACTGGTAGTAGGTCGAAGAAAAAGGATGTATTCTGTATCTGTCGGCAACAGGAAGCTGGGCTAATGATCGAGTGCGAACTTTGTCATGAGTGGTAAGTTTCGAGATTATAGTCTGCTCAGAACGGCGTGCTCTCTTCTATAAGTTCAATAACTAAGTACGTTCTTAGGTACCACGGAAAATGCCTGAAAATTGCGAGAGGCAAAGTCAAGGAATTTGACAGCTATACTTGCCCCATTTGCGATTGGCGTGTCAAGATCCCTCGCGATGCAGCTCGTCCCAAATTAGAAGAGTTGCTTGATTGGCAGGCCGAAATTCCTGACCTCCCATTCCAACCCGAAGAAGAACAGATTTTGGAGTCGATAATTGACCAAGCAACATCGTTCCGGGATTTCGTGCGACCACTCGTGAACTCTGCTGCCTGCATGACTGCCGAAGAAGTTCCAACACAGATCTTCTATCTCAGGAAGATGGAAGGGGCAGAAGTCCTCCTTGCCTTTGAAACGAATTATTTTCGCCAGGAGATCCATAAATGGGCACCTGTCGCTCCCGATCCGCCTCCAATTCTTGAAGTGTCCTTATCTACTCGCAAGCCACGACCGACAAAACAGCAAAAGATGATGGCCCAACTTGGAGTTGAGAAACCTGAAGATCTTCCACTTCACCTACGGACCAAGCAGCATACATTTTCCAGCAAGCGTAAATCAACCGAATCCCATGCTTCTGGACGGCCTCCCCCCTTACAACCGGCACCTCAGATTCGCTCCAACACACCATCCGGTGACCCTCGATCTGCTTCCACAGGCAATGTGCCGACTCCGACTAGTGTAGCCCCGCCAGCCCCCGCTTCTCAACATCCGGCTGCATTCTCATTCTCACATCCGTTCCCAATACCTTCAAATGACGCAAATCCGTCTTACGCCCCTACATCATCAGCATACCTCCCAGGTGTGAACAATGTGCATTCCCCTTCGTTCGACCCCACCTCCCCACCATCTCACCACCAAGGTCTCGATCCATCCCTATTCAGCCCTCCAAGCTTTACCCGAAGCAACCCCCTCCATACTCAGAACATGGGTAAAGACCACGACGATATGGGTGGCCCAATGGCCTTTGCCAGTAGCCCACGTGGAGGGGACATGGAAGACCTTTTTGCCGAGATGACGAACCAAGACACGGAGCAAATGGAGGCGTTGGAGGTTAGCCATGCGAATGAGGCGCTGGAGGCACTTCGAAGCGCTAGTAACAGTGGCGCGCAGGACCGCTCTGCTTCTGGATCTGGCGATGATTTCGGCGAGGAGAATGGCGGTGATGGCCAGGATCGCGATGGTGAGGATACGTCGAACAACCTCCTTGCCGACGAATTCTTGACCTGATTTCTCTTACGATTGATTGCGTTTGACCAACTCCCAGTGAAGGATGTGCTTCATTATTTTCCCTATCTTCTACTCTGCTGTTATCGAAGCCCTTTTTACTCCCTCTTTTTTCCTGTTTCTAACGCCGTTAATCTATGCCCCACTCTGCTATTTCCTTCTTTGTTCAATGTTTGAGATTTCATGTGGAATTTCTTATTCTTTTCCCCTTATCCCATTTTCAAACTTCTTGCCTTTGATTTTGTGTTCCTTCTTCTTTGCTTTATGTATTTTTTTTCTTTTTTTCCCTCCCCTACTGTTCAATTACACTCCTGTAGACAAAATGATTATAACATCAACATTATTACCACATTACACGGCGCGCCACGGATGGGTTAATTTTTATGGGGGTTGCGGGTGGAATCTGCAAATGGGAAGGATATTTTAGGTGGGCGCTCTTCTGTTTTTTTTTAACTTTTCTCGTTTCGTTTCTTTTCTTCTCTTTTTCCTTGCTACAGTATTATTGACTACTCTGGAATGCTCGTATTATCTACCCGAATGGTGTCATTGCTTCAGTTGCGCATTTTATTCTCTCTATTTATTCTTATCATTTTTAACTTTTTTTTATTATTATTTATTATACATTTCTGTCAACCTATTGTGTGATTGCTCACTTCTGCGCATCGTCATATGTTACGTTGAGTCGTTACATGCGAAGGAGAAAGGAAATCCACTCGTGCCTGGCTCTTCCTAGCTCCCCTTCTGTCGATTTAAATGCGAGGGGAAAAAAAGGGAAGAAGGGAATTTTTTCATTTGTGGCGTAACGCGAAAGAAGATCAATTTCCGGCACATATGTCTTGGTCCTTTCTGTCAATGATATATTTTCTTCTTGCTTTCTCCGTCTACCTGCCGGCGTTACTTCTGTAAGGTAGATTTAATTTATATGTTCTGACGATTTGTTTTCCCTTGTTTGCGCACACACTACACTCCGCCTGGAAAACGGCCTACTTCTTGCCTATAGATCAATAAGCAAGTAATAATGATAATATAATTATGACTTTTTAAGTATGAGATCGTCTACTCTTTTCAAGCCGCTCATTTTGGATTTGGAAACCGTGCTTAATTTCAGGAGACATGAAATCAGGTGACTGGCAGAAATAAATATGTATCAATTCGCATCGAAGTCCTGTTGAGTTACTTACCATCACGAATCAATATTCCACGGATCGATCAATATTAGCTACATAGAACAGGCATGCAGTGTCGAAATATAAATAATACACCAAAGGCTATATAATTATATACCCAGGCCTCATTTCTATTCTACTTGCCCACATCATCGCCATCACAATTTTTTCATTATGGGTAAACCAGCCACCTTCACTCGACGACTAGACTTACTCCGCTTCCTCAAACAAGCACACAGCTCTTCCCATTTTTCTCCAAATGCATCATCTTCTTCACTACCTATAACCCCGGCCAAGTATCAAATATACGTCCTGGGTAATCCATCCGCGGACTTAGACTCCATACTTTCTGCAATCGTATATTCATACTTTGCCACGAGAGTAGTCTCATCTAGCCCCGGGACTGTTCTCTCATCGCCAAGAAGGGAAGGGGGACAAAAGATTCTTCGTCAATATATACCCCTAATCGATTTGCCAGATGTTCATTCTGGGAAAGAGTTGGCAAGGTTGAGGCCAGAGTTTGTGACGGCGTTGAGGTTAGCGGTGGGGTGGGATGGAAGTGAAGATAGAGGAGAGGAAGAAGCTGACACCAGTGTTCTAGAAAATAGTGTGTTGACTGTTGCGGATTTGAAGGAGCAGCTATTGTTGTCTTTGGGCGGGAATCCAACTGGTGTCAGTGGAGAAAACGAAGCTCAGGGGGCGGGCGACAGACACTACCACGAAGCAGCACCGGGAAACATCAACAGTGTTGCAGAAGAGCTAAAAACCCTAAATGTTATGTTGGTGGATTGGAATGCGCTGCCTAAACTCCCATGCAATGGGGGGAAACGTGGGATTGAAGGTCTTTCAGACGCCGTGCCGGAGCTCAACCTTTCCGTCGTCGGCTGCATAGATCATCACGATGATGAATGTTTCGTTTCAAGGGAACCTGAGTCATATTTACACGATCCCCGCTGCATACAAACAGGTGTAGGAAGTTGTATGTCTCTTGTTGTTCGCGAGCTGCGAGCGCAAGGTCTTTGGGCGGACCCTGTTCCCTTCTCTGCACACCCTCACACCGCCTTGGACCCAGAGACAGCCCAAGACCAGACTGTAATCTACGAAGCACAAGCAGCAAAACTAGCTATGGCAGCGATCCTAATCGACACAGCTAACATGACGGCGAAAAGCAAGGTGTCTAGCGTCGATACAGCGGCAGTTACCTTCCTGGAAGCTAAGATACGAGCGGGAACAGACGGACATTTGCGAAGTAATCCTCAATCTGCTACCAGCGGCACATGTTGGGATAGACAAGCCTTCTACGATGCAATCGCTCTCGCGAAGGAGAATAGCGTTGAAAACCTAACGGTTTTAGAGGTGCTGGGGAGGGATTATAAGGAGTGGGCTGAGACCATTGCTACAACCACAGGCTCACCGGTCATAAACAATAATAAGACGGTGAAATTGGGCATCTGCTGCATAGTAAAGCCCCTCTCCTGGCTCATGGAAAAGTGTGCTCGGGAATATGAAACCCCTGCGACCACCCCAACGAACGATACATCCTCCACCGCGCTACTATCTAAATACCTCTCCTCCTTCGCAGGAGAGAAGCACCTCGACCTCGTCGCTGTCATGACAGCGTTTAGAAGCCCAGAACCAGAGAGCGAGTTTCGCCGTGAATTGCTGCTCTATAATTTGAATCGTGATTGTCGCAATGGCCTGAAGCGTTTCGAGGCAGCTGCGATTGGAGAGCTGGGGTTAGAAGCCGGAATTTGGATTGGGCATGTTGCTTCCCCGGATACTGGTGATGATACCGGTCGCTGTATGTGGACTTGGCGTCAGACTGACGTGTCGAAGAGCAGAAAGCAGGTTGCGCCATTGTTGCGGCGGACGTTCTGTGATGCTGTGATTTGAGTCAGAGGAGAGGTAAGGAAATATCCATATAAAGGCAGATTGATAGCCGTCTCTGCTAGAATATACAGTAGCATAAATTTCGCTATAGTGAAGTGGATAAAATGAGTATTTTGGACAACTGTGGATGCCAATGCAGTCTTCGTATTGAACAAAACATAGGGTATAGCTAGCATAATACCAATGCCAACAAACCAGAATAGCGAATCATGCGGTAGAATTCGAAGCTTTAATTGTTAAAGGCTTCAAAATGTCACAGAAACGGAACAGTAGCACACTTGCAAGGTAATAAAACGAAGTATGAGACACCCTCCACCCTGAAAGAAAACGAAAGAATTGCTGAATCTATTGCCCTCCTCTTGTTTCATTGCTAAATTGGCCGATGTAATGAGGTAAACAAGACCGATTAACTTAGTAAAATCATCAGGAATACATGAAATCAATTAGAAAATTGAAGGAAAGCGAGAAATGACTCTCTGAAATTAGCTAAGGGGAAATGCTGAAGACTAACATCATAGTAAACAACAATGTTCTGAGGACGAACAAAAAAAAGGAAAGAGATGGGGAAAAAAAGGCAACGAAAGGCTAGAGAAAATGAAAAGATATCGAGCATCACCCAAAACCATAACATATCAAGAAGAGGGCCAGAAATAAAGTCGCTGGACGGGGAGAACTGCAAACAAATCTCGCTAGGGAACATAGAAGGAAATCGGGGAGGAAAAACGTTCTTGGGCTTCTATTACCATGTCTCGCTACCTAGGAAAAGAAGAAAGGAAGCGACAAAAGAGGGTATCAGAAACACTCCCACTCCCCAAAGACACACCACCTTGCACTGCGGTCAGCAAGTACCAGGCCTCTCCAAACACCTGTCTCACCAACCTTAATCACCGTCTCCCACACGCTGCCGTCAGGTGGGCCATCTCCTGTTAGATCTCCACAAATGCTGGTAGTGAGGGCGTGCTCAGATTTGCGTGTCAGTCTTAATATTCTCCCTGAAGGTGCTTGTATAGCTAGCTTCGCAGGCTTGAGGGGGTGCTGCGACTGTTTGCCATTCGACGAGACATTAGAGCTAGAGGCGGAGAACGTTTGATTGATATACGAGGAGCCTGAGGACGCGTTTGAGCTTGCGGCAACGGAAGATCCCATGCTGAGCGCGCTGGTAGGGCGGGCGAAGGGGTTCGGGGAGATGCGACCGTTGCCATCGTTGGGATTCGGGGAGCTGGACGGAAGGGACGATGGATGTTGGCGGACTGCGAAGACGAAGGTGTTGTTTACTGCAAGCTTGGCGCATTGTGGTTGAATAACGTAAAGGTCGTGACGTTGGGCGTGAGGCGTCGGGTGGCGGAGGATGAAGTCATAGGTCGGGTTATCCCCTGTGTGGGTGATCGGGAGTGCAAATGCTAGAGGGTGAGGAATATCTTTGATAGAATGCATCAATCCCTTCTTCCCAACATATACTTTTAAAACTCCCTGCCCCTCATCTCCAGGCAAGACTGCCTTTATGGTAAAGCGTTTTTGCCCACCAATCCAGTCCGGCTGTGCGAGTGCACGCTTCTTGGAAATGTCACCATTTTCAAAGAGGTCACCATCCATATCACGGTCAAATGAAAGGGCCTCAACTTCGGCAACGCATTCAACATCAGGAGGTACGTGAACACGAAGCTGGACAGCTTCAAGCCCGTTGATCCGAATAAGGCTTGTGTTATAATTAGGGAACCGCAGGTTGTTCTTAAAGAATGGAGGACAAGCACAGGGTAACGCAAGAAGAACATCGGGTGATACGGGTGGGCAGATATGTTGTTGTTCGGGGTTAATGGGAACGTGAGAGTAGCAAATTTCCATAGGACGGGCCAGGAAATACCAGCTTTCAGCAGCCTGAGAATTGAAACTCGAGTACAAGCTTCTTCGTGGGTGGGTCGGGCTTGCCAAGGAGCAATCCATGATCCGCCACTCGCCATCTATCAATACCGCATTCCACCAGTGATTTGGATGGGAGAGACTATCAAGATCTAGTTGCTCTCCTGGTGTTTTCAGGTAGCCATGAACTACCTCAGCATGCAGGCCAACGGCGGAACACATTTCCTGTACTAAATAGGCAACTTCTTTTGGGGACCCTCTTTTCATATAGAGCACCCTCTTTAAATCAACGTCACCATCAATATCATCATCCCATGCAATCCTTTCGGCTACCCAAGTAAATATGGCACGTAACCGCTGTCCATCACTGCGATGCGGGCGACATATGTACCCTTGGGATAAGCCAATTGGGTTTATCATTGCAGGTAGGCTACTTATGAACCGAACACTCTTGTCCACTAGTTGTAGGTTCACAGCAGCCCAATTGGTAGGCTCTGCAATTGGTAGGCCATCTATTCCTTCATCTCCCTCTGCACTTTCATACAGTTCCTCCACAGCGTATATTACTGGATAATCGAGCATCTGGCATCTCTCCGCTCTCTCAATTAGTTCATGATGGCTTGGCGTAGTACACCTGTTGACGTCCCGCCGCACCTGAACCCAATCCACAGATGCACCCAAGCCTGTGTCTCTTGCCACACTTTTCGCCGAGTGAGGTGATGCATAAGATGATATTCCCACAGCCATGCGGCTCTTAGTCGGCGATACGGCTCCACCAGGGCCTGCAGCAATATTGCTCCTTGCAGTCGCAGCTCCTGTTTTAGCAGACTCAATGATTTTCTTGAAAAAGCCTGTTTTCTTTGACTTGAGTGTGGTGAGACCGCCATACATGCTTGGAGCATCTTTACTATATTCGTTCCATCCGACAGCAGAAGTTGCTCCTTGCCTAGAGGAATCATGGCTGGAGTGGTAGGAAATTCCGGTCAGCGGTGTTTGAGGCCGGAGTCCGCTGTCAGAAGATTTATCAGAACCAATTAGCCCAGAGGGGCGAAGATTATCCATGGCAGTATTTGGTCTATTGGTATGCCGTGCATAGCTGGCGGCACTGGTTGCGCTCAACCCTGAAGCTGATGGGCCACTCATAACACTTTGGTTTGTACGTCCTGTGCTGGAGGTACTGCTAGTTGCATTGCTTTGGACACCACTGGAAGAAGTTGTGGCACTGGATTTTGTCGTAAACGTCCGTTCAAGGACATCTTTGCCCAATTCGTAGGCAGATCTTCGGATTCTTAATCGTGATCCCGGGTTATCTTGATTTGAAGATGACTGTGGCCTGGAATCGGAAGGTCCTTTCGGGGGAGGTATGGGCGGGAGGTCTTTACTACTAGGCGAAATATGAAGCTCATCGGAGGACTTTCTACTTTGCGCATGTAACTTGCGGAGTCTGCTCTCCATCCTCTGCACATAATTATTGAGTTGCGGAGGCCCATCATTGTATTGGTGCGTAAAATTATGGTGACTGTTCTCCTGTAGCTGGTCATCACCACCACCTAGCCCTAAGGAAGTCATAGGGCGCTGAATTGGATTAGGCACGTCGTTCTTATGAAGCTTATCAAACGCTTCTGGGGACCACGGATGGAAGGGTGAAGGAGAGCGACGTGGGTGTTCTACCGGACCGTCGTGATTTAGACCCATATCTTGTAAAGAAGACATGACGTCTTCCATAGCATCTCTTAGAGGAGATGGGGTGTGACCGTAAATGGCAGGAGAGTGCGAATGTGGAGAGGGAGTCCTGGCTTTGGTAGGGTATACATGATCCATATCATCGGGTGTGGGAATAGGTGATTGGCTATGCATTCGCGGCTGGGTTTTGACGGAAATTCGGTGAGGGGGAGGTGGCGGTGGAGGCGATTCGGTATCTCGTGCTGGCCCGGGAGAAAGCGCACGAGGATGTGAGTGAGAGAAAGAATGATGATGTTGGATTGGCCCAGGAGAAAGTGCGCGGGGATAGGGATTAGAGAATGAGTGATGTTCCATTGGTGACGGGGACACGGCACGAGATATGGACTGATGATGTTGGATTGGTCCAGGAGAAAGTGCGCGGGGATAGGGATTAGAGAATGAGTGATGTTCCATTGGTGACGGGGACACGGCACGAGATACGGACTGATGATGTTGGATTGGCCCAGGTGAAAGATCACGAGGATGAGGGTTAGAGACGGAGTGATTATGTTGCATCGATAAAGGAGACAAGGCACGGGGTACAGTTTCGTGGTAAGGTGCTGGTGCAGGAGAAATAGGACGGTGATGATGAGAGAAAGAGCCACGATGTTGCATTGGTGCTGTGGAAGCGGTATGAGGCGTGGGGTTAGACGAGGAATGATGGTGTCGTACCGGAAGGGGGGAAGTGGGATGATGTGAGAAAGAACCACGATGTTGAATAGGTGCAGGAGATATTTCCCGGCGAACCGACCCTACATGCTGACCGGGTGAGGGAGATATGGCGTGAGAAATGGACGATCGATGTTGAACTGGAGCAGGGGGATCAGAGTGTGGAGAATGGCGAGGAGATTGACGTGAAAGAGATCCACGATGTTTGCTCGACGCTGGAGGCGTCCCTGCCGAGCCTGTACTCGCTCTTGACGGATTCCCCGAAGCCGAAACGGTTTGCCCAGTATTGTTAATATGATTTTCATTATTATTATTGACGTTGCTATTGTTGTTGTTCTTGTTGTTGTTGTTCATATTATCATCATTCTGCCTCTTCCTCAAAGCTTCAGACGGCCCTACGGCCTCTTTGTACCCCTGAAAGGGCTTTCGGAAAGTCTTTTGTTTCCTGGGTGATGCAGCAGAATTGGAGGCTGATATCCGGCGTAAATCCATCGTCAAGCCTGCAGGTCCACCAGGCATTGGACTGACCGACCGGCTCCCAGGGACAAAGTCGTCCCCAAGAACCTTGACAAAGTTTGAGGGAAACACGCCAACCATGCGTTTATCTCGACGTAGGCGGCCAGTCCACCATGATCCATCACCAGCATTCAAGCATTCAATAAGGTCTCCTTCCACAAACCCTAGGTCTCGTTTTGTCTCTCCGCCCCATGAATATACAGCCTGACACCAGCAGGGGAATCGGGTAGGAAGACCTGGTGCAGCTGGAGCCATTGCTGCGAAGAATTGACGTGGTGTGGGTGGTAATAGGATGGGTGCGAATGTGGAAGATTGGGGATGTCATAACATTGGGAGTTGGTTGAACAGATGCGCTTCCAGATGCAACGAGCCCGCTGGGTAAGCAGTACGACAAACAATGGCGGCACAATTGCCTAGTAACGAGCGACAGGAGGTTGGGAATGAGCGAGTGTGAGCAGAGCAGGCCGTTAGATGAGAGGAGGCAGTCGTACAGTCGTTCGTAGCTAATACCGGATCGTTACCCACTCCATCAGACAAGCTATGGCAGGGATAAGTAAAATAATTAATATGTTTTGGGTTGGGGAGAACTGTGATTGTTTTGTTGTTGTCCGCGGTGATAGGGTCCGGGCCGGGACGTTGATGTGTTGTTGCGTGTTTACTCATTGCTGTTTCGGGCCTAGCGCCGATCGGTAGGGCTGAGGCTCCACGACCCCATTCCAAAACAGGAAAAAACTTTGGGATAGCCTCAATTTATCCTAAAATAGAACAACAAAGGGCGGTTATATCTCTTGCAATCAATGCTCTGCACGATCAGCTGCCAGTCATTGCTCGTGCTTTGTCGACATTCCCGACCAGAACGGGTGAAAAACTAAACCACCCTTACCCTTGTCCAAGGCGGCAGATCACCACCACTACCGCACTTGTCAAACATCAGGGGAAACAGCCAAACAATTGTCTCTCCGCATGGAACACTTTTTCGGATTGTTCTCTAATGCTGCTGAGATCAAGGATACCCGTCTCACAGATATAATGATCGATATATCTGGCAGGGACCCACTCGAAGTACACGTTTCGAGTCTCCACCATGATGCGCCATAGGTTCGACTTTATGCTTCCGTGGGCGTGATGGTGGTCCCATCCACGTTCCAACTCTTTAGGGTCGTTCTCTTCCTCTCTATACGCCTCCATTGCCCCTGGCTTGGAGATTTTATCGAGATCGGACACTACGACAATAGCCACGTTATCCGACACCGCTTTCGCACAAAGCACGGCAGGTAAACTACCAGTCTTGTTACTCACATCCCCGCTATCAGATATTCGATCAGCTCCCAGTAGAACGACATCCACGCCCTTCGCTAGGATCGCAACGCTGGCATCTGACGCAATCTCTATACGCAGCCGATCCGTGGCCCCGACGGCCTCTGCGCCCTGGACAAGGTCTTTGGCGAAGTCTACACCTTCGCAGAGCGGTCGAGACTCCATGACCTTCAACAGAATCTTCAACCCACCATCCCCGCCCACTTTTCTCTCCGTCTCCAACACCGTTGCCAATGCATTCATAACCGTTGCACTGGAACTTAGGGTCAATATTTTCACCACCCGTCTCTCGCCCTCGACAGTTCCCTTCTCATATAAAAACTGCCGTAACCCCGCCCCAATCAGCGTCCTTGTGGCATTGTGATATCTTTCCATCAGATACGCATGCATTCTCTCAACTGCGATCCTAATACACCTTTCTTCATCTTCAACCTGCTCTCCCTCGCCACCATCCGCTCGGGACGCTTTCCTCACCACCCCACATTTTCCATATCGATCGGAGACTACCTCCTCGTCCAGCTCAGCAAGCCCTAGCCTCTCTCTATCCAGCGCCTTGACAATTGCACCGGTAATCGCTGCATTCATGCTCGGCCGGCCATATTTAGCAAGAATCCACCCAGCCTTCCGACACGACTCCCACCACGTCTCCACCGCCGAATAAGGCGAACCGCGCAATTTACCGCCGCGCGCCTCTTCCTCATCCTGCCTTATCTCTTCAATAAGCCTCTCCCCGATAATTTCAGCAATGTGCACGAGTGAAAATATAGCCCTCGTAGCGAGGTCTTTCGCTCCGCTGACATGATCCGTTCGTAGACGCAATAAGCCGTTGGAAAGTGCGTCTTTGGCCTCGGGGTACGCAGTTACTTCAAGCTTGTAGGAAGGAGACGTAAGGGGCGGGGTAGAGAGATCTGGAGTGGAGAGACCCGGAGAGACTGCCATGTCGGTTGGATTCGGACCCGTTTGTGAGCTGCGGATACGATGACGCAACAAGGGGGCTAGGATTTGAGGTATAAGTAGACTTGGTTGTAGCTCTGTCCCTAGTGTTATGGGTTTTCTCTTTAAAGAACGTAAGATATATGATGTCGTCACTTCTGTGTGGATGGAAACCATGCAGCTCTTCGTAGTTTAGATAGCTTGGAGTTGGAGCCGCTGTGGGGGATTTTGACTGGTGTGGGGATGTGGAATTAAAGTTTACTGAGCTCCAGGCAAGGGCGGCAAGGGGCGGCAAGAGTGAAACCTTGATTCAACGGCCGGGTGCAGTTAGGCCAAGCCAGCTTGGTTGGGGGGAGCCTATTCTAAAATTATGGAGGTAAGTTTAGCGGCAAGCTTGCTGCAAAACTCTTTTCAAACAAAAAAATAACGAATGTATCCCTCCACAAAATAGAATATTCACATTCACATAGGGAAGGAGAACAAAGAAAGTGAAAAAGGATCTCTGGCTTAACATCATCCTTGAATGAAACTAAACGATTGTTTACCATACTTGACAATAAAACCCAAACAATAGGTAGATAACAGGAGGATAAAGTAGATGACAACATTGAACAAAGTATCAAAAGGCATACATATCTATATGTATAAACCAAACCGCCCATCCTTGGCGCCTGCATCGGGATGTGAATCTGTCCATAGTTATTCAAGGAGTACGGGCATTAGGAAATATGAAAGAATGACGGACAACTTCAATAAACAGGAAAAGAAGCACTGGTAAAAATCCTAACACAAAACCCTGCCTCATCCGACACTTCTCTCTGCCTCCCGTCTGATAGTGCCCGACGGAATAAATGTGCTCGCCCTTTGATGAAACTGTATAAGGAGCTAACCCTAGCCATCCAGCAACCATAACTAGAACGACAGAACATTGTATATACGTCCACACCGATGGCACCTCATCACATTCAATTCAGCACGGATACCTCAACGCACTACCCCGCATGTTACCGCCACCAACATTATTCGCCCCCGGGCTTGCGGGCCGACTAGCCCCCCACTTCGGGCTACGCGGCTGCAGACTCGTCGCACGAGTCGACGGCCGATTCTTCTTCAACTCCCGCAACTCCTCCTCCTTGCGGTTCAACATCTCATCCCGTTGCGCCAACGTTACTTCGAGTTCCTTAATCCGCGTCAGATGCGTTTGCTCGTCGCTCTGCAGGCGTAGCTTTTTCAACTTCGTCAGGTCGCCTGCGGCCTTGGCTTTTAGCTCGCCCAGCTCCTCTTCGAGTTGGCGCAGTTCCATGGCTGATTGCGCGGCGGCAGTGGAGGCGTTTTGGTATTGTTGCCTTGTATACTCTGTCTGCGAGCGCTCTTGCTGGACTGTGCGTTGGAGGCTGGTATTTTCCTTTGTCAGGCGGCGTATTTCCTCTCGGGCTTTCTCTAACTCCGCATCCGTGCCTCCTCCCTCCTTGATGATGGTTCTAGCTTCATCAAGATCTTTGACTAAGGTGGCTTTCTCGTCTTTGAGTTTGGCTATCTCAATCTTCTGCCGTTCGAGACGCTCGGAGGACGTCTTGGAAACTTCGAGGGCTTGCTCTAGTTCTTTGCGTAATTTGTGGTAATTGTTTAGGCGGCTTTCGTATCGATGTTGTAGTTGAGAGAAACTCTTCTCCGTGGTTTGAAGATTCGTTTGAACCTTTTCCAAAGCAGTTTGTAGCTGGTTAACTTCGAATTCCATGGCGTTTTTCGCTTGGACTAAACTTCGTTCGCTAAGCCGAGAATCTCCTCCGTCCTGCGACTGTGTTTGGCCCTGCATCGAGTCGCTAATGTGTGTGATATCCTGGAAAGGGGTCATGCGCTGCCTTTTTGTTTGATTACTAGCCTCATCCTCATCGTTCTCCTACAAATCTATTAGCGTCATGGACCTTAGATGCTAGCAATCTCTCCACTTACCAACAACCGCTTCTGTCGTGAAGATGACATAGATCGAAGCTCCTCTACTTCCAGAGTAGCAGGAGAGACGTCCAGTGTCTCTATTGGTATTAATTCAACCGCTGCAAGCGGCCACACACGCGTAGCAGGGTCCATTTTCAAGTAAAGGAAAACCTCCTCTGCGTTTTCTTGTACTCCTAGCGCATCATCTTGAAGCTCTCCCGCGGTACTACTGAAGTCTCGCGTATACTTGACAAGAAGGCGAAGCCTGTTGATGTTTGATGTGTCTGGCAAACATCGTTCGACATGCTCTGCAGTGTTAGAAACAAGCAGGCGAATAACAGGCAAAAGTTGCCCATTCGGAGACGCTTCTGTGCGTATTTGGCGGATGACAGGATCCTCCGCGTCGAAAGAATTATCGAGAGCAATAATCGCAGCCGGGGGCTTAAATGGTTGAAGTACTCTGTTATCAGTCGCTGACCGAATCGCAAAGCTGAGCTGCCCTTTGCAGAGAGATAATTCAAGATCAGCCGACCTATCCGTCGCCGGTTGAGTATTGATAAATTCTTTGCCCATCAAATAATTTTCCACAAGCTTGACAGCTTTGTCGCTTCGTGCTACGATGATAATATGCAAATCATCATTTACGGCTGCGTCAATTAGGAAACCTAGAAATTGAAATTTTGTACTCGAGTATTCCGCCCACGCCGCCTCCTTGACTGGATTCGCACCGGGCGCCGCGGGTTGGTCATTGAGGTCAGGATGTGTTGTTATATTATTCAGTTTATTGACCAACTTCAGCATTCTCGAGATTTGGGTATCATACTATATCTGTGTAAGAAATTTTTGAAATTCACTTTGGTTGGCTAAAGCGGCTACTAACCTCCGGAGTAGAGCTGCTCATATCGGTTCCCAACGACGAAGATTCCGCCAAAAATTTTCCAATCGTTCTGCTCTCTGCGGAAAGGGTGACATCATAGTCATCCTTTACTCTAGAGTCCATAGAGAGAGGAACAGCGAATTCCATGGGTCCCAGGTTGATGCCAACAGGCTGCGGTTCCGGCACCTCTTCAATTGAGGCCACGGTTGCCTCGAATCCTGCTACTGGCTCGGCTACTATATCTGCTGAAACTTCTGGAAGTTCTACCTCACCAGCAAGGTTTGGCTGCGACTCTGCGAGTAATTCCGCGACAGTAACTGGATGTTCCGCATTGTAATGTAGAGCCTGGGGTGCAATAAATGTGGGGGGCGGTTCGGCCGCTGTCATGACGTGTGGTGGATGAGTATGAGGCTCCTGATCCACGCGGATATTAAGGGGGGATACCGCATCTCTGGCAGGAGCTGGATGTGATGGTTCAATATCGCTAGCAGATGATGGTGTTACGCTTGCACTAACGCTCTGTGGTTCTCCGGCGAGAGAGCGCTCATGGGCACGAATAAATCTCATTTTCTCGCGAAAGTTCGTCCCTGGATTATTACGTCGTGCTTCCTCCATAGTCATGGACGGGTTCGGTGTCCCGCTAGTAGGCGATGATTCATCCATGTTGATGATGGAACTCTGTGGAATATTTGCAGGTTGCGATGCGTCGCTGTTACTGGGTAGCTGTGCTGACATGGATACGGATATGCTACTAGAATTTCCAGCAAGGGAACAAGGGTTTTGCCCGATCGAGGGTGTCGGGGATTGAGTGGAAATACCCCGCTCTAGACTTTCGGGGACAGTATTGCTTAAAGGAAGTGCTATCTGGCGAATAGGTGTTTTATATACTGAAGGTATCTTATTAGCGATGACCATAACTAGGAAGGTACTCGGAGAGATTTTACCAAAACTATCGTTGAATAAAGGGGCTTGCGAGGGAGAATGGTGAGTTGAAACGCGAGATAAAGTGGATGGGCTAAGTGATGGGTGAGATTGGCTAGCGCTCTGGCTGTGATACAGCGAGAGGCGTGCTGGTGGAGTCTCCGCTATCTCAATCTCAGTTCCAATGTTGTTTGAGTGGAAATTTGCGTACCCCAAGGAGTGATCCCCTTCGCAGCTTGTCGGGTAGGCGTGTGTGCCCTGAAATCGAAAGATGCCCGAGGAGTTTTTTGAGGTAGAGTTAGTTTCTAAAGGGTTTGTAGACGAGCTTGGAGATGAACTATTGTGCGAAGCTTGTAGTCTAGTGTGACGTGCGGGCCGTCGAAGTCGGGTCAATAGCTCACTGCGAGTATTAGGTCGAATGAATTGAAGGGAGCAATGGCTTGGAGATTGCAGCGATCCTGAAGTAGGGCTTGGTTCAATTTGTGTCGATAAGGTGTGATTGCGCCTCGACTGGATTGAACAAAGTTGAATTGCACCCCTGGTCAAGTTTTGATGCTGGCTTTGGGCTGAGGCACCACTGCTTGACTGGGTGGCCTGATCAGAGGTGTCTGGATAGTACAAACCGCCGCTTGCTTCAGAATCTTGAGAAGGATTTGAAGAAAATTGACTGCCCGCAGCTGCAGTTGAAAGCACAGAATTTTGACTAAGGCCTGTCTGTTGAGTTTCTGGTACCGTGGAAGGTGGACCAGCAACAGAGGTTGCGGAAGAAGACTGTAAAGAGGAGTGTTGGTCAGAGCCACCACGTTTATAGGCAACACTATCTGTCCTCTTCTTCTTATTCTCCCAGATCTGAATTGCAACGTCGTTTGCAAAATGCTTGGGTTCCTAGAGGATGGAGCTTTAGCTAACAATCGCCACGGTACAAACTTGACAAGCCAGCATACCTTGCACAGTACTTCAATCATGAATGTAAAACAATGTGATCAAACAACAATGTGATCAAACACTGCCAAACAAATAAGGTAAAAAATAAAATAAAATATTTCATCTATTAAAAATCAAATCAAATCAAATTTAAAAACAGAACGGCCGCAATTGGTGCATGCATGAGCTCATCACATAGAACTTACCCAGGTTGGTTCGTACGGGCCTTCCCAGGCAATGAGATACCTGTCGCGGGATTCGTCAATAATACTCTTTATGGGATATTCCTGAGAACTATTGACAGATACTTCGTCAGACAGTTGTAGTAAGGTCTCAGATCCCGTAGCGGTGGATTCCTGGGTGTTGGACGTATTTCTAGACTTGCGAGATGATGAGACGAGATGTGCAACTGTAGTAGGCGTTCTCGACTTGCCCATTATTATGCATGGATGGGAATGACAAAGCCACAGTCCATTTTCAACAATAGGGCAAAACTGAACAACTGAATTTCAAAATAGAATAGCTACTGTATCACGCAGAACGCAGAATATAAGCGCGGAGATCGAGGTGTGAGTGCAAATGAGAATGTATTGCGCGCCGACATTTGGTGCAATGTTAGCTGCTGACATAACCATGACCATTTGCACGTGACATGCTGCCGGGGGCAGTTGTCATCAAAGTCCCTGGTGGAGGCGCCCAGGGCCAGGGTACACCATGCTGATTGTAATAGAATGTAATAGAAATAGCTAACAGTGGTGTATATTGAGAATATGGAATCCATTCTATCTAGATATATAATTACTTTACTTTAGATACTAAATTCATCGATACGTTATCGATTGCTCCGCCTTCCATGCCTCAAAATCAAAACCCACATCCTCCAAGGTCCGACATTGATGTCTCTGTTCCCCCTTCATATTAAACTCTTTCTTGATGAGTGTGAATCGTTCCCGGGCCCATCGATCCTTTTCGTTCCAGTAGGTACAATCCCTGCCGCGCCCTTCGTTCTCCAAACCTGGCCTCCGCTCCGCGCTGGCCGCCCATTCATGCAACGCATTGATATAATCAGCATCCATGGGATACTTGAAAACGTGGAAGGCTTTGCCAGGTCCCCGAGCGGCTATTTCAGCCTCTTCCCACTGGTACATTTCTTGCTTTGAGGGAAGACTGAGCCGCCCGGACCAGACTCGAGCAATCACAGCGCTTTGATTTTCCGCCATCGGAAACGGGATGACCCTCTGGTTTAAAACGGGGAATGCCAGGGTGGGCTGGTCAGCGTAAAGTATTTGCTGGTAAACATGGAGTGTCCTGCTTCCATCCTCAACAACCGGAGGTTTCAATGATGACAGGAACGGAAATGAGTATAAGTATCCCGTGCAGAACAACACGGCATCGACGTCTTCCTCAATCTCCCCATTTTCGAACCGAACAGCCCGGTTATGAGTTGTTGGTGGCAGGAACTCAACAATTTGCGGATACTCTTTTTTATCGTCAACAGCTCCGGTGGCAAAGTAGGAAGGAGACCGCGCAGAAGCAAGAAGTGGTTTGCGACATGTTGTGCTGATTTGAGCTCCAATGTCAATTCCAGAGGCAGAGTTGCCAACAACAATAACTTTTTTATCCTGAAACTCCACGGGGGACGAATATGTTTTGGAATGTGTTATGACGTTCGGATATGCCGCATTCCACTCCGATATCCCAGCGATCGACGGGATATATGGTACATTATAATGACCGTTCGCCACCACCACGGCATCGTAGACATCATCCTCTTGAGCGCCAGTTTCTAAATGCTTCCTTGTCACAATCCACGTCCCCGCACGCGCATCATCAAGCCTCACATCTACAACCTGGACCTGAAATTGTATGAGGTGCTCGACATCCGCGCCGTACTCCTCTATATATTGCAGCACAGTCGCAAATCTAGGGAATAGCTGTGTATCCGTAGGAAATGGTTTATCGGAAAACCGCATCAAAGTGTGAGGGATATTTGTTTCCAGGTCATCGTAGAGTGGGGATATGAACGAGGCTTCTTTTCGGCCTTGCGACTTTGCTGAATCAGAACTTTGCGACGAACCCGACGACGAATGCCAAATGGGCTCCTCTGCGGGTAAGTGGGCGTTTGTCTGCGGGATATCAATCGAAGCAAGCTTTTTGTCTGCAGCTGTTGAGTAGTTCCAGACCCCACCAACCCGACTGCGCTGTTCGAAAACGTCAATCTTTTCAAAGTATTTTTCGGCTAACAAGAATCTACGGGATCGCGTCAGTACGTACCCCGCTACGACGGACAACATTAAGCAGACGCTGTTTTAGTAATAATGGTCCAATACATACTTGGCCGCAGCCAACCCAGACGGGCCAGCGCCAATAATGGCTACCCTGCGGATTGGGTGGGAGGAAAGCGCTCGCATCGTTCCACGCAAACAAGACAGTACTTGGTTGGCGGGTGAATAGTTACATGTACAGTGGCTTAATTTGGATATGCGGACGATGCCAGGGCCACCTTCTCCGGCTGTTTGTTGGTTGGTTGGTACGCCGGCTATATTTATATCGGCTCGGCAACTTCTTCGACTGCAAACATGCCACTGTCCAAGGCAGAAATGCCAGAATACTCTATTGGGTTTAGCGTTCAAGACCAATATCTGATTAGATTGAGGTAAGATAAGATAAGCCAACCAACAAACCCCTCGTCCTACACAAGGACGAACAGCGACAATGCTAGAAAAGACAATTGCCCAGGACTATAACTCTCATCTACCCTTACTAAGTATTGATAGACCAAATGCACTATGAATAGATGCGTTGCTTTTCCACCTTATGGACAATGAACGAAATTGCTTGACCGAGAGTGTCCTGCAACATCACATCAGACATGTTTCAAGATAATGATGCGCACCCTTGGCCACTTTACCGGGATCTTCTCCTTTAACGCTAGGCCTATCATAATTATGCGCGCCAAAAAAGTCCATTTCCGCCTCCATGAATCGCGTAGGGAGCATCTTACTCGCTTCATATTTCAAATATTCCAAACTGGCTGACATTGAGGGAACACAGGAATCCGCCTCCACCGCACTCAGAACCACTAACTTTAACGAGTCATAGTGTTCCGTAAGTGCAGCTGAGACCTCATTGATGAGCTTCATGTTCATAATCCTTGCACCAGATGTCACAGCAGGCATGAGGAGATCGGAGATGTATTCTGCCTGAATAATGCAGCCGGCACGCCAGATCTTCATGCACTCTCCGAGATTAACATTCCATTTCTCGTCCCGGGATGCACGTGCTATCAGTTCCAGTCCCTGGCAGTAGGAGCACAGGAACGAGACGAATACCGCTTTGCGAAGCGTTTCGATGAACGAATCTGCGTCTTTGGTAGCTTCCATTTTTTTTGGGTGGGGAACTTTGAGCTTGTCTGCGACCAAAAGCCGTTGTCGGCGGTTGCCGCTTGCGACTCGGAGAAACTGGCCAGTCGCTATAGTCGGGGCAGAGACGTGCCGGTCCGCTGCCTCCATGACCATCCAGTAGAGGGTCCCTTCCGTATCGTCGTCATCCTGCACGACCTTATCGCCGACATCGTCTAGGACAAAGCCGCCAGCGCTACTTGCAGCCTCGCCACCCTTATCACCTGTGGTAGTCTTGTGCCGTTGGCAAATCTCTGACCCAATTTGGACAAGGAACGTATGTCGTAACTCCCCTTCACTATTCCATTTCTCAAGTATCTTTCCAATCTGGTCGTGGGATAAATGCAAGCCGGAGTGCAGGATATCCCACGCCTCGCAAAGAGTTGATAGCAACCCATTCTCGATGCCGTTGTGTACCATCTTAACGTAGTGGCCCGCACCGCGTGGACCAATATTAGAGACACAGGGCTCCTTTGTTCGTGCGTCCTTAGCAGCGAATGTTCGCAGAAGCGGTAGCACTACGTTGATGGCATCTGGATCACCACCGAGCGACAAACTTAGCCCATGTCTTGCAGATTGATAGCCCCCAGACACTCCCATTCCAATCCAGCTGATTCCTTTTGATTCTAATTCCCGTTGCCGCCTTTCGGTCTTCCGATAATTTTCATTGCCGCCGTCAAGGATGATATCTCCCTTTTTCAGATCATCCTTCATTTTATCCAAGACGCTGTCTGCGGACCATCCGTGCGTAATTGAGAAGAGAAAGAGCCTTCTTTGATCGCCATCGACCGTGACGGGCTTGATGCTGTCAGCAAGTTTATGGATATCGTGGAAACCGGAGATTTTCCCCTTCAGTTTCTCTTCGTTTTTGCTCATTGATATTGCTTCATCGACATTAGAGCTTTTCACGTCCCACAGGGATACATCGGGACCAAGCTCTGCGAGGCCGAAAGCCATCATTGTGCCCATGTTGCCGGCGCCAACGATGCCAATGTGCTGGAATGGTTGGGTGGTAGCCATGGTTGTTTCTGATAAATTGGTGCTGATAAATTATGAACACCCCACAGACTTGATTCAGGTTTGACAGAAGTTATGACAACTACTGCCGCTCATAGCAATTAAGTATTCGCTGGTTATGTGATGATAGATGAGGATGGTTGATACCATGCAATTCCCGGATTAAACAAGGTGACGTCATATCATGGAAACTTAAAAAGTACAACAGAGTTACCGCAGTTTGCGAGGGAAAATTGGGGTTTGCGACCTGCTCCATCTCATCCTCGGACCCCGATGAGAACACATTACCTAGGAAACTCGAAGCAATCGCCGCCGCAGAGTTCTCCGCAGTTGAACTTGCATTTCCCGATCTCCAGAAGTTCGCAACGCAGCTTCTCCATCGAGATGTTGCTGCAGATGACTACACCGATCTTTGCACAGCAGCTCAGGAGGTCTCACTGATGTGCCGCGCACTCGACATCAGAGTGATGATGTTGCAGCCTTTTAGCAACTTTGAGGGGTGGGCAAGAGGATCTAAAGAGCGAGAGGACGCTTTTGAAAGAGCAAATGGTTGGATCAGGATTATGGAGGCGTGCGGGACGGATATGCTGCAGGTGAGTAGTCGTAAAGTTTTCGACATCTGCCTACATCAGAAGCTCACACTACACGGAGGTTGGATCCACGGACGCTCCAGCACATAAGATATCCGCAAATCGTGAGGATATAGTTTCAGATCTCCAGCAACTAGCCGATTTATTGCGGCTACGCAATATGCGTCTCGCTTATGAAAATTGGTGCTGGTCCACACACGCTCCCACATGGAAAGATGTATGGGACATAGTCCAAGAAGTCAACAGGCCAAATGTTGGGCTGTGTCTCGACACGTTTCAGACCGCCGGCAGTGAGTGGGCAGACCCGACAAATGCATCGGGACTTGTTGAAAAAGTGGAAGGAGGCGCAGATATCAACGAACATCAGTTGGATCAGAGGTTCAAGCAGAGTTTGGATGAACTGGCGAAAACCGTACCGCCTGGCAAGATCTATCTCTTGCAGATCTCCGACGCGTATAAACCGCTACCCTCACCGCTGGGAAAGAGGGAAATTGATGGCATGAGGCCTCGAGCACGGTGGAGTCATGCATTCCGCCCATTCCCGTATCATGGTGGATACTTGCCTATTGAAGATGTCACTAGAGCTGTGTTAGAGACAGGGTTTAGGGGCTGGTTTTCTATGGAGGTCTTTGATGGTGGCCTGAGGGGAGAAGTAGGCGGGTATGGTATGCGTGAGTACGCGAAGGAGGGGAAAAAGAGTATGGATGAGTTGATTCGACGGTGCATGCCAGTCTGAGCTTTGTTCGAGGTGCTCTGCCTCCGTAACTATAATACTCTATCTATAGCCGGTAGTTTCATGGGGAAAAGTCTTGGAGCTTAGTACTATTGTGTACTAAGGGCCAATCCAGTTATCAGCAAATATGAATAGATGGCTGCTACTGGAATTTAATGGCATATTTGTTGCAGTAGCAGTCTTTCAGTAACCCAACATCAACCATTTGGCTCTTCTCAAAGGAACTCTCCATGTTGTTGAGATAGCAGAGATCCGAGGTTGCTTGAAAAATCACGTGGTTATGCTATGACCTCCAGCTCCTCAAGGTTTAGACCTCGACTTTGTTGGTGATATCTGCCTACTATTCGCGACATCTGCCTATTGGTGTCATCCAGCTCCCACAGCACGACTTTTACTTAGGTTGTAGCTTTAGAAGAGTGCGACCTAACTGTATGCTTGATCTTGTTCGATTCTATCCTATGACACGATGCACCGTCGGCGATAATATTTAATCCATCATGGTGGCGTGGGAATTATTATGGCACTAGCATTATCTACGAACGGGGCATCGGCCCTGGTTTCTACCACACCAACTCCTCTTGCCCACCTCTCTCCGTCTCTCGACCGTCTTAAGGAACGACATATCCGTGCTGTTGTGATACTGCTATGGCCGTATTCATCCTACACGAAGCAATTTAGCCTGCTCATTTCTGAGCCAGATTTTAGACTCAGAGACAGAAAGGGCCAGGTCAGAGTCAGCTTCCACGGTGCGAGTGCAGAAGCAGTGGCAAAGTCACAAGTTAGTATTGGGGATACTGTGGTTTTGAGTCTTGACGGCGCGCGGTGGCAGAATCAGGACGCAGATATTAGTACACCGGGAAAAAGCATTGATTGGGATCTCTCATTTTCTAAGCGTCTGCTGCTTGAGGTGATTATATTTTATCTAAATAGCTTTGAGAGTGAATGTAAGAAAGGACAACCTCTGACTTGCATGTATTTAGGTATATCGCGATTCCGAGCTGTTGACAACTGTCGAAGTTGAACCTCCTCAGGTCGAACGTCTGTGTATCGATGGCACAGTACCAACGACTCCCAACCGATTATCTTCGACCCCACAGGCGCAAAGGAACGGAGAACATGCTGGCCTAGTTACAGACAATTGGGCTTCACCTGCATTCTCGCAAAAGTTCAGCGGCTCCTTTGGCTCCCTCTCCAGCTTAGCGTTCAATCCCCTTGAGGAAGAAGATGGGTACATCTGGGGTAGGGGCAGGAAACGGACAAAATTCAGTAGACCGAGTAGTGAATGGACTTTCGTGGATACACCGCCTAGTCCACCGCCAGCTGCTGCGGATGCATGGGAAGATGAAGACCTTGAATTGGACGACGGGGAACAAGAAGATGTTACACTGGAAGAATATCCCTCCCAAGGCGACACCGTTCCTAATTCCCAAACAACCGTTCACGCAGATTCTAAAAGCCAAGACAACGGGAGATTACTGGAAACTCAAACTATAGACAACTTTACTCCACCCACCGCATTAAATATTTCGAGTACATTCAGTACCACTTTTGACCATTCTCTGCCCGACGGCTCTGCTCACATATTTACCCAGAACTCGAACTGGGATACTACGCATTCACAGCAACCGACCGTCACACCTTTCACTTCGTTTGGGAACTCGTTTGTGCAAGACCAGCCAATAGTTGACCATGAAGCTACTGCTAAACCCCCGCCCCTAACATTATCTCCCCTAACTTCGGCCACCTCTTCTCCTGAAATTTTAGAAGGTACAAGTCATGAGGCCGCGCCATCTAGCAGCCCTATATCGACCCAGCTTCATGTACATGATACTACCGCTTCCCAATTGGTTACAACACAACATGGCATAGCGGGTCAAACCAGCGAGGAAGTGGGATCTCAAGATGAGGCTATGGTAAATGGGCCGGAAGGCGTGCATCATCTGCTTGACCATCGTGCCGATAATAACGCTAGACCCTCACCTCCAACGCCAGTCGTTGATCTTGATAGCCAAGGGAGCTTTGATCAGGAAGCCACAGAGCCTGATCATGTGGCGCCCGTGACTAGTGTGGAGGAACGCGAGGCAGATTTGACGGAGTTAGAGGAAGCTGAACGGCAAGCTGCCCTGGTAATGTCACAGGGCCTATCCGGACAGGGATACGATGTAGACAAGGAGATGACTGATCAGGATGGTGAAGGCGAAGAAGAAATTGAGGAATATGTGGAAGGAACTGCGCGAGAGCCACTTGAAGAAGGTCGTGAGGAACTTATGGAGGAAAAATTTGAAAAAATATTCGAACAGAGAGTAAGCCGGAAACCGACTGAAGATTTGGAGGAAGAGTTGGTGGAGTTGCAGGAAGAACTGGAAGAACGAATGGAGGAAGAGAGGTTGGGAGAGGGAGAGCACGAAGAAGGAGAGGAGGAGGGAGAGGACATGGAAATATACTCCGACGATGAAATAGGACATAGCGTCTCTGAAAACTCATCTGAACTCGAATCTGAAGAGGAATATGATGAAGGTTCAGAGCTAGAGTCGGAGCTAGGGCCAGACGAAGACACGTTACCACCGAGACCGACTTATCTCGCTGTCCCCCGTGCTCCGCCAGAAATAATCGTTTTGGACAGTGATGACGACGAGGGCGCCCCTGTTGTGACCTTTGCTCCGCAACACGTGGAAATTCCTAGCTCTGATGTGCCACGGCAGCCAAGTGATACTGAACTGTCCAACTCGCCACCACAAGACTTAACCACTATTAGCTTCAAACCTCATGGTGAATTTGGTGCGGATACGCGTCAAGAAACTGGAGAATCTACGGCTGTTACAAACTTACTCGGTGGGGATATTGTTCCCCCAAATCTTGAGCCTAGCGCTAGCTTCGATGAGACTCCCCAGCAAGAAACGATAGGCTATATGGCGCAAGCAGCGCTTCATATCGAAGCGGAACCTGCCGCGACCGATCACGAGGGCGAAGATACTAGCGAGAAATCGGGAGACTTGAATGGATTCCGCCATGCAAGCCCTTCTTTCTCGTCAGGTTCCATGTCTGATAGGGAACTGGAAGCTAAGCTCCATTTGTCCGATAATATCGCTATTGATCCTCAACTATATCAACCTAAGAAACAGAAAAGCCCAAGCACGCGTCCCAAGACTCCAGGTAGCGTAGATCACGGACCATCGCATGAGGGAGCGTTTGATATCAACGGTTGGAAAGAACGCAGAGTTTCGTTGTCACCAGATGCGAAAGATCCGTCTGAAACACGGATAGAAACCCCCCAATCTGCTGATATTCCTTCCTCGCCGCCGTCGTTAGAAGCTCGCTTAGCAGAAGATGAACTGGTTACTTCTCAACTTTTCCGTGATATGGAGGAGCAATCGCGCAGAGAGAACCTCCAAACGCCCGAGTTCGTTGATGAGCAGCCCCTACCCATTCCCCAGCCTCCTAAGAATGAAGAAGCAGAAAACGCTAGCGTCGATGTTGCCGTTAAGGCGGATATCGATATGCGAAAGGGGAAGTCCGTGGACCATGCCGATGCCATAAAAACCGCTGAGCTCGAGTCACCTACCGTGTTGCAACCAAATACCAATGCCAGAGGCCTTCGTAGCCGCCTGTCATATTTCTTTCCTTTGTCCACCCTTGCGGATAATTTCAACAAGATGACAGATACTATATCCGTGGTTATCTCATGTTCAAAAATCTCACGATCGAGGAAAGGTCCCCGGGAATATCATACAACACTGCATATCACAGAACCTTCCATGTCCGGCATAACTGTGTGTGCTCAAATGTTCCGAAAAACAAAATCATCGCTCCCCACTGCAGAAAAGGGAGACGTGATCCTTCTCCGCGACTTCAAAGTTCAAAGCATGGACCACAAAATGATGCTAATCAGTATGACGACTAGCTCGTGGGCTGTATTCCCCGGGGGAAACGATACTGACGTCCAGATGAATGGGCCTCCCGTTGAATTTGGCATCGAGGAGCAAGAGTACGTCGCCTCTCTCCGGCAATGGTATGAGGAGGAGGGGGAGCAGCTCGCGAAGAAACACGAATACTTGGCACTGGCACGCGGCAGCACCGAATCAAGCAGCTCCATCTCCACTTCAACTAGTGGCAGCCCCAGCAGTAGCAGGGGTAACATTTTCAAGAAATATGCGCGACCGAAGAGGTCCAGACATCGCCAGATTACCATTCATGAATTGCGGGACGGGCGGCGGTATGCAGAGGTTGGCGTGTCTGCGGATAAGGAGACGATACATGAACTAAGGGATGGGACTGTTTATGCCAATTTGTCATAAACCTTTAATATTCTTTTCCGTATTATAATTTTTTATTTTTTTATTGTTTTGGGAGCTTATATCCCCTTTTTTTGGCGTGGAACTGGGCTTTCTTGGGCACCTTTGACAGGATATTTCATTATTTTGCATAGTATTGGAGCTAGCGATTGTTTTACAACTGGACTTTGGAATGAATCTTTATTTTTCGCAGCTGTTTACGTACAAAATTTGCTCTTTTGATGGCTTTTTTTCGAGGTCACATGACATCTGTTCCCAAAGCGGCTACTCTATTCTCCGGCTACTTCAAAGCCCAATAAATTTTCCTCTTTTCTCTTTCTCTTTCTCTTCCCTTTTCTTTTTTTCTTCTTCAACAGCTAGACCACCAACTCAAATCATCACCAGTTAGCAACTCTTATGACCTTTCTGAGGTTTTTTTCTTCCACTGCTCTGGCGATTCCGATGAGTGTGTCGAGATCGATAAAAATCCCACTTCTAAAACCATCATCACGAGGGCTCCGCAAGGAGCTGCCATGATGCGGTGATGACCTGACAGATGGGACAATTTTTGTGTTGGAGAGTTTGTTTTTACTATGCCTCATCTTTGAAAGTGAATTGATAGGCCGGATGGCCTGCGTCGCGGCAGGACAAGTGTAGGGAAGCTAGAAATTGCTGACCGTGAGTTTTTTTCCCCTTTGCATTCCTTCCCTTCTCACCCCCTCCAAAGCATGCGCGGCTTGGACCTGCGTCCAGGAATGAAGATACTTGACAGCTCTGGTAATCCGAAGTGCTCAACCGCGCAACTACACTCGGGCAACACTGTATGTTATAATCCCGAGCCGCTGGTTGAGCTTGAGGCAACACGGCAAAGTCTGACAAAGTGTTGGAGAATACGATCACTATGGAATTTAGCAATCTCGTGATGGGAGGAGGGGACATCCTCTTGGGTTATGGCAAAGGCTAATAGTTTCTCGGTAGTGGCTAGAATTTTGCTTGTGCTTCTTTCTATAGTACAGTCGTACGTTTGCGATATTTCCATTGAAGCCCACGAGTAGAAAATATAGTTGCATTCTCTCAGGTCATATCGAACCACCAATTCTACAAATTCCGAGTGTCAGAGCTGGATGGATAGAAGCTTCGCGCTGATAAATACAATTATAACTGTAGCTTACGGAGTATATTCAAACATAGATACGACTTTTTAAGAAATCAACATTTCAATCTGATTATCTCTTCCACCGTTCCAGTGACATAGTTTCAAGTTTCATTTTTAATTTCTTTTTTAAAAAAACTCCGGGTAAATATACGAGGATTTATGTTGGTTGATCGGCCTTTCTACCAGCAGTGCGCTGGTGGTGACTGAGCTCTTTTGCCCCAGTAGCCTACAATTTACACACGACGCTAGCTCCAAAGTTGCTACACAAAGTCGGGCAGGATAACTTCAACACTAACTCTTTGAGATGGGCGATCATTAGACACCACCCGTAGGTGACTTTTGGATAGCTATGCATGCGAAGGGTAAAGAGTGTGCGAGGCCGGAGCGCCGACCTTTTTTGCCCAGTTATACTTATATTGTGGCGGACATATTACTTGCGAAAACAGAATTTTCCCAGCCCCCCCTGAAAATTAGTAGCAAAACACCACCAAAAAATCAAAATATCTGCATTTCTCTAGAATCATTCAATATCATCCAATACACATCTTTTTCAATCAAATATCATCCAAATACGCGTCTTTCTTACCTTTATCATCAAATCCACATATATCAATCAACCCTTTTTTCAATATGCCTCGCAACACCCGCTATCCTGCTGCTTCACAAGCCTGTACAAAGACTTCTTTCTACCCTGCACCTCAGTCTCCTCAAACTACCTGTTCCAGAAGTTCTGGATAATGGAGAGGATCCAGTCAATGATGAGATGGAGGAGCAGGTGGATGAGAAGGATATAGAGACTCAGTCTGAGAATCCTTGATATCCGCGAATCCCTACACCTGAGTCTGAGATCTCATACAGATTGTATGAACGGGTGATTATCAATGAGATAAAGAACAAGAGAGATGATAAAATGATTAATAAGTAGAAAGAAGAAGAAGAATCAGAAGAATGAATCTATAATTTCTACAATCAATTCTTCTATACAGATCTCTCAAATGTCAGTGATTATATTCTCTTCTTCAGCTCTGGCAGCTTCAACTTCATTCAATATGGCATTCTCAAGTGAGATAATCAATGTGATGATGATGAAATATATGATGAAAGGAATAGAAGAACTGAATTCACAATCTCATTATCATCCACATTCAGATCTGCTGTTGAATCTTCCATCAAATCCACCGTTGAATCTTCCATCGAATCCACCGTTGAATCTTCCATCGAATACACTGTTGAAATCTTCCATCGAATCCGCCGTTGAATCTTCCATCGAATCCACTGTTGAAATCTTCCATCAAATCCGCCGTTGAAATCTTCCATCGAATCCACCGTTGAATCTTCCATCGAATACACTGTTGAAATCTTCCATCAAATCCGCCGTTGAAATCTTCCATCGAATCCACCGTTGAAATCTTCCATCAAATCCGCCTTCCATCGAATACACTGTTGAAATCTTCCATTGAATCCGCTGTTGAATCTTCCATCGAATACACTGTTGAAATCTTCCATCGAATCCACCGTTGAATCTTCCATCGAATACACTGTTGAAATCTTCCATTGAATCCGCTGTTGAATCTTCCATCGAATACACTGTTGAAATCTTCCATCGAATCCACCGTTGAATCTTCCATCGAATACACTGTTGAAATCTTCCATCGAATCCACCGTTGAATTTTCCATCGAATACACTGTTGAAATCTTCCATTGAATCCGCCGTTGAATCTTCCATCGAATACACTGTTGAAATCTTCCATTGAATCCACCGTTGAATCTTCCATTGAATACACTGTTGAAATCTTCCATTGAATCCGCTGTTGAATCTTCCATCGAATACACTGTTGAAATCTTCCATCGAATCCACCGTTGAATTTTCCATCGAATACACTGTTGAAATCTTCCATCGAATCCACCGTTGAATTTTCCATCGAATACACTGTTGAAATCTTCCATCGAATCCACCGTTGAATCTTCCATCGAATACACTGTTGAAATCTTCCATTGAATCCGCTGTTGAAATCTTCCATCCACTATTTATAGTGATGAGAACAGATCTCATACTGCTTTCACTTCTAAATTTATATTATAATGAATTGTAATCTGAATCTTTCTAATTATTATAATACTATTCTATATAAGTAGATCTGAAATATTCTTTTATATCTTTTTCTCTTATGAAGTTCTCAACTGTATGATACAAAAAAGCTTCAAAATCTCCATCAAATCTCTTCAGAATTGAAGAGATATCTGATATGATCTTTGACTTTATATCACATATTGAACAGAGTTCTCTAGCAGTTTCAAAACAGTGAAGATTTCATTGAATTCAATATACACAGGTGATAATCAATGCTTCGCACGATCTCAGCAGGCATATAATCATTCTTAAGAAGGTATACAATCTTGTTGGTGGTGAAATTACAGAGTTGAGGTGACATATTGATGATAAAGATAAGAAAGACGCATATTTGAATGATATTTGATTGAAAAAGATGTGTATTGGATGATATTGAATGATTCTAGAGAAATGCAGATATTTTGATTTTTTGGTGGTGTTTTGCTACTAATTTTCAGGGGGGGCTGGGAAAATTCTGTTTTCGCAAGTAATATGTCCGCCACAATATCCTTTCCATTGGAGCGGCGTGTATTATTATCATAGCATGGTTCACCATCATTCCATCAACCATTTCTCCATGGAAGCTGTTTCACTGCAAACATGCGTCCGTTTCACCAGTCGACAGGATCTTACAAACAGCACCTTTGATAGGTAAGATTTCCCATGTATTGACTATACAGAGGAAGGCGGGGTTGTGTCTTGCTGGGCAGACAGCTAACTTTGGCACCACACTACAGATGGCCACAACGACTTTCCATACTTTATTCGGGCCCTTTACAACAATGATATATATCACAAGAACTTCTCCAATGGCATAGAGCTCCCAGGCCAGGTGGACTTCCCACGCTTACGAAAGGGTGGGCTGCGAGGCCAGTTCTGGAGTGCGTACGTGCAGTGGTGAGTTACCGCAAGAGGCTGCTCAACAACCGCTGAATCCTCAATAAATAACTAACATCAATTACCAATTCCTCCAGCCCCAGAAATTCCCACAACTTTTCAGACGAAACCTACCAAGAGACTGTTCACGACACCTTCCAGCAAATAGACCTGGTTCACCGCCTCGCAAAAGAATTCCCACAACACCTACGTATCGTCTCCTCCGCGAATGACGTATGGACCAATTTTGCCAATTCCGACACCATATCCAGCTTCATTGGCGTTGAAGGCCTGCACCAAATTGGTAACAGTGCCAGCATTCTGCGCATGTATCACCGTCTGGGCGTACGCTATGTAACCCTCACCCACAGCTGCCACAACAAATATGCCGACAGCGCAACACCGGAAAAACCACTCCACAACGGCCTGTCGCCTGCGGGAGAAGCCATGGTTCGCGAGATGAACCGGCTAGGCATGATCGTGGACCTGGCGCATGTGAGCAATAATACCATGCGCGATGCGTTGAGGGTTTCTTCCGCGCCGGTCATTTTCTCACACTCATCAATATATGCGCGATGCGCGCATCCACGGAATGTGCCCAATGATGTTCTCTTGGAGCTGAAGAAGAATGGTGGTGTGATTATGATTACGTTTTTCCCGGCGTATACGCGCTGTGATGGTAAGGGGACGGCGTCGCTGTCGGACGTTGCGGACCATGTTCAGTACGCGGGGGAATTGATCGGGTACGAACATATTGGGCTTGGAGCAGATTTTGATGGAATGCCCGATGCAGTGAAAGGACTAGAAGACGTTTCGAAGTATCCCGATCTTATTGCAGAGCTGCTGCGGCGCGGGGTGTCTGAGAAGGATCTGCAAGGGGTTGTGGGAGCGAATGTCCTAAGGGTGTTGAAGGAGGTTGAGCTGGAAGCTGAGCGGCTAAAGGATGTTAAGCCTTTGCAGGATGAAGTCAAGAAGCTGAATTAACGGGTTTTTGGCTACGTGCCCTGGATATGGACAGGAAATCAAATGCCTGACATCTTAGGGGGTCAATCCCGCATCAGCCTAGAGCGGGATCTGTTAAGCTCTAAGCAGGCTACTTGTGAGCCCTTACAACCCTTCAATAATCTATATCAGAAATATATTATTACGTCACGACCATCTGGCCACACATCTCACAATGATGCTTACATGGATTGGAGCTATAAGGCAGATCCCTCCGTGTCTAATTTCTATCTAGCTACCAGATGATAATTACCCCCTCAACTTATCTCACACCAAGTTCGAGACGTCTTGTTAGATTGCATTCCATGCTACCAATTTGGATTGGGTTGTCATAGAACGAAACAGCATGCATTAAAGAGTTGGAGATCTACAGCTTGACCCTTCCGGCCTTCAACGCCTCCCACTGATCTGCTTCGAAGGGAGTATACGCATTCCCACCAGGAGGGAGCCAGAACAAACGACCACCTGTGCCGTTTTCCTTGATCTTATCCAGGTCGACTCCCTCAGCTCTCAGCTTTCCCTTCTGCAACTTCATCGTCCCTGTCGTCTCAAAACTGGGCACAACACGCACGAAAATTGGCACCGCATATCGAGGCAACACGCCAATCGCATACTTTGCAAATGCGCCAAAGTCGAACGAATCGACCGTCATGCTGTCTGCCAGCACGAGGGCTGCACAGCCAGCTCGTCCGTCCGCATGAGGCACCTGCACACCATAGACGTTTGTTTCGGCAATGTTGCCGAATTTACCCAGCACATCTCCGACTTCGTTCGTGCTCACATTTTCGCTCTTCCATCGGAATGTATCTCCTAGGCGGTCCACGAAGTAGAGACAACCATCTGGGTCTTGGCGCATCATATCCCCCGATCGAAACCACAGGTCTCCCTTTTGAAATACATCGCGGATCTTCCGTTTCTCGCTCGCCCCCTTGTTTCCAAAGTATCCAACAAAAGCAGCATTGGGTGCGGCAGGGTCCAGTTTATACAGTGTTTCGCCGGGTTCGCCATCTTTGCACGCAATGGCGAACCCATTCTTATCCCGCTGAATTTCCTCGGTTACAACATCAATTTTCACCCGTCTCTCATTGCTTCCGTTCACCCAGTGCCAATATAATCCCCGTACCCCGATAGCGCCAAGTCCGAAATCGCCTCTATTGGCGTTGAAGCTTGATGATACCCCATCAGTGGCTGCGTAAAGCTCGTTGATTGTTTCAACGCCGAAGCGCTCACGGAAAACACCCCATACATCCGGTCGCATGCCGTTCCCCCAGGCCATTCTCACGTTGTGCTTCTTATCTAGCGGTGAAGGGGGTGCATTGACGAGGTATCGGCACAATTCACCAACGTACTGAATAATATCCGCTTGCGATTCACGAACCTCTGGCCAAAAGGTCTTGTGGCTAAACTTGCGGCTGAGGATCACGGTTGATCCTGCATATATTGATGGATTGATACAAAGCCCGTGAGCTGCGCCGTGGTAAAGTGGTAGACATGTATACATTTTCGTGCCGGGTTTGAGACCGAGGTATTCGCACGCTCCCCTTGATGTGGTAAGTTCTTTCCGTCGAATCATATTAGTGGCCTTGGGGAAGCCGGTCGTACCTAAATATCAACGATCAGTTGGTGCACAAGGGAACGACCGTGGGCGTTACGCATGGCCCAAAAGAGTCCGTACCCGAAGTATATATCAATGACGCCAAATCTTCCATTCCAACACCCGCCCGTCTAGAATCGGGAGTGGGTGTGCTATTTTTGAGCAAACCGATAAACTCTGAATCATAATATATCGTCTGGACATTCGCCTCTTTCAACTCTTCCTCACAAGGCCGGACCAAATGCTCCGTCCCCCGATCCGCTAGCAAATACCTCGCTCCACACAACTTCACACAATGCACCAGCGGCGCGGCCGTAAGGTTGCAATTGATAAATGACGGACAGGCAACTATGGATTCCAGCCCAAACCACAGCAGAAGATATTCAGGCGAATTCCCGCCGTCCAGGGCAACCAGCTCGCCCCGTTGGACCCCTAAATCGTTCATCAGCCAGTTCCCGACCCGATGTACATCATCAAAGAACTGCTTGAAGGTCCACGAGCGGTCTTCGAAGACCAAGAAAATATTATTCTGATTCTCTCCCCGGGCATGGGCCTCGAGGCAATGGTATATGAGAGTTTTGTCCTGTTCCCAGCGCTCTGTGAGAAATTGCAAGGCATCTTTTGCTTGGGCGGAAATTGAGCCGGCAGAAAGGTCGCGGCGGACTATGAATTTGGCATCCAGGTATGCGGTTGCGGCCAGCGCACCGGCTACGGAAGCGGCGATTTTTGTCACTGCGATGAGGGCCCGTTAGTACTGGATTGGAACATGATATGGGACATTAACTTACAGGGCATAGTAGATTTCGTTCAGGTTTCTACAATCATTTACTGGGGTGCGAGAATGGAGATGAATTGTAGAGTAGAAAGAGGATTCAGCAAGGCAGATTGGCGGAAGCGCAGTAAATATCGGCCACAATAGATTATTCTGCTTCCCCTCGGTGAAAACTACCTAGGTAGAAGAGGTGTAAACTGCTCGGGTAGATTGAGACAGTATAGCTCCGCTCTCCTCTGTCTAGATGAACACGATTGAGCTCCGGCTCGGCTGAAGCGTTTATCCTCCTACAAGTCAAACAGAGAACTAGAGTGTTTGAACTAGAAAACCGAAGCATTCATCAAATACGCTGTAGATTCTAGTTCTGCACAACCTCGCAATCTATAGCCATTTACCGAGGCAAATCGAGCTCCGAGCTGTCAATTTGTTTATTTCATGTTGAACATCAAAGAATAAAAAGAATAGTATTCCCCCCCACGACTCCACAAGAGCAGATTATCCAACATCCCCCGCATTTTGCTTCGGCAACACCTTGGCAAATCGTCAACTTCCCCGGCCTAGCGAGCGGCTCGCGGTAGTAGAGCATGCCACTGCGGCGCTCGGCAGCCGGCCCAGTGGGAGTTGAGGGGAAACGCGAGCCTTAATTTCCACAATCAAGCAGGCCGAGGAAGCTGTCTTGTCTTCGCCTGGAGTCTGCGGAGAGTGTTTTCATTATTTGTATCAAAGAGGCAGAGCGCTCGCTCTTCTTGATCATTGAGCAGTTAAATTTTTCTGGGGCTGGACGCCGGACCGGAGATAACTATGTCCTCCCTAAGTCCCCGTTATTGAATTGGATTTACGGAGTATGCACTGTTGAATCTTGGGGGAGAAAGTCTCAAGCAGGCTATACGAGATGCTTCTATTAATTGCATGGAGATGCCAATCATTGTCCGTGTTCAGAGCCACTAAATAAGCAAAATACGATGATGCTTGGCTTCTTCAACTTCAGAGTCCGGTGGTGGAGACATATCGAGCTTCATTGACGCAACTATATATCAACAGCGCTATGAACAAGGAAGAATCGTATTCATCCAGATTCGGATATCTATCCCGCGAAGTAATCTTGTGCCCGAATCCCCCAAGGTCCAAGGCACACCCTGTCCGTCATCCTAGTCTACGTTCTGCTTCAAGGAACCAGGTAGTTAGTGATGAAACTTCAATTCATGGTGCTTTTTTGTTTTTTTAAAAAAAAGAAAAGAAAAGAAAAGAAAAAACCTCAATAACAATCAATTCCCCACTACGTCTATGCGTTCCTTTTCGCGTCGTTCTGCTCAGTGAAACAACGCTTTCCCGGATTGACTATGTGTGAATCTGATAACTGTGGCCTCAAATGACAAACGCCCTTCGCTCGCTCAAACCCTATGGTCGATGGAAAAATGTTCGAGATATGTCAGCAGATTAATAATTGTACTCCCTTGTCCGAGGTCGCTCGGATTTAGGTGAGCAGTGCTTGACTGATAGGGTCTCATTTTCGGCTTGCGGATGTTGAGAGAAGTCACTGCGGATTGAATTTCCGCCACAGCCTCGTATGCCAAAGGAGACGTTGGATCATGCAGGATAAAATCTTCGGAATTGTTTCCTGGATTCCACAGCAAGAAACTAAGTTCGCAGAATGCTAACATCAAGGAACGGAAGATATTGGGAGATGTATAACTGGGTTGCGGACAGTATTTATTCGAACAAACGTCCCATCTAGTGTGGTGGCCATGAAAATCAGCTCCTTCTTTAAAGTTATATACACATATATACATTCCCCCACGCTTCATAATGACGAAGCTTAAGTTCTGGTACTGGGCAGGCTCTTGCTCTCTGGCTCCACACATCCTCCTCCGCGAATTGGACTTAGACGTGGAAACCATCCGCGTAACAGACTTCTCCGCCAATGGTTTAGGCGTCATAAACCCCAAGCGGCGCGTCCCCGTGCTCTCCATCGACGACGAGATCATCACAGAGGCGCCCGCGATCCTCACTGCGCTTGCCCAGCTTGGACCCCCGGATCGCAAACTGCTTGGCAAAACACTCATCGAAACCGCCAGAGTGTATGAGTGGATGAATTGGCTCTCTGGCCATCTGCACGGATCAGGATACGGCGGACTCTGGCGCCCTGAGCGATGTTCGGACGATGCCAGTGCGCTGGATGGTATTAAGGCGAGGGGAAAATCGACTATCATAACTGCCTATGAGCTTATTGAAAATAGCCTCGGGGGCCTGTATGCGGTTGGAGATGCGTTCACTGTTGTGGATCTGTATTTGTTGGTTTTCTATCGGTGGGGAAAGGAAATTGGGTTGGAGATGGTGAAAGAATACCCGAAATATACAGCTTTGATTGCGAATTTAGTCAAGAGAGATGCTGTCATTAAGACACTGGAGGAGGTGGGGTTGCCTTCGGTGTTTGCGCCCAAGATCTGAGGGTGGGTGACTTGGCCTGCAGTTGTGAACATTGTACGAAGGATAAGGAACAATATGGACGAATGGTGTATATGTAAATCAATATGGCGACCGTCACAATATCTTACAATATATTCCCGGCTGCCATAGATGCGCTTCATCTGCAAGGGATCGGGTCCTTGGAGCCAATATCCAATTCCGGGACAGAACAAGTCCTTCGGGCCCATCGATGATTACAACATTGCTTTTATCCTGACTTGACAGGGTGGAAAGTGGAGGGTGTCATATTCTGCAGCCAAAGCTCATTCATCTGGAAGATATTCAGGGTCCATCGGGTCAGACTATTAGTGACCTAGGAACCGGTGCAAAATAAATATGCCGTTTATTTAATTGGGCCAATCCCTGTGACTGCCAGGAAGCTCCAGTCTTCCGTCAGAAATGGGATATAAGCTGCCAAATGAATAATGTGTATATATGTTCCCAGCTCCTTCTCGAGGGGTGAGGGATGGTGCGAGTGGAGCAATCAATATGTCGGGTCAGAGGAAAATCGTCTTCCAAGAAATTGACGCTTGAAACTTGGGTAGCGCAATTGCGGCCCGTGTTGTTCTAAGGGCGCATAGAAGTTATGGCCCTGGCAGTCTGAGTGTTTAGAGAAACAAACGCGCTCAGCTAGAATGATGGGGGTGGTTGAAGAGTGAATAATAGTAATGATTGATGAAGCATCCAGAAACTTGTTCAGCCGCCCGAGCCCTCGCTTATTATTTAGTGTTAACTTATAGTTAGTTAACGTTTAACTATTTAAAATAATCGCTCCCGCGCTTCAATGTCTTTCTTTTCTTTTCTTCACCTGCTCACTTGTATGCAATTATGCATTTCATGTATCTGCTGAATACATATATCAAACGACAAGATGTGTGCAAGATGCCGTGATTTAAACCCCTTTTAATTCGACGAAGGGGACATGTCATCTCATCTTCTGCTCCTCTGCACCCTTCAATATGAGGCGTGTGGAACTACGCTCAAAAGCCAGTCTAGCCCGCCCAGTACCGTACCCAAGGTAGACTGAAGTTCGCGATTGTGGGTGCCGGAAGTCGTGAGCCTCTTAAAAAATATTTTGAGCTTTCCTGTCATCGACAGGTTCCACGTTCAGAGCTTCGCGTCATATTCTGGATTGTCACGACCTTCCAAACTTAGATTGTTTATTTCGTCAATATAAACATACATATGAATCGCTCCCCATCTTTATACAGATGCCCACCATCGAATATGCTGGCTTGTGTAAAAGATGACACAAAGAGAAGATAACCAGACCCCCTGTCACAGTCTCACAGGCCGAAAATACCTGCCAATCTTTACTGGTGGAAAAGTGAAGACATATAGTTATAGTGCAAGGACTTAGTTTGCAAGCAAGGTCGACTCTAACGGATACGTAATCCGAGCTGCATCCGTAGCCTACCTATATCGAACCACCAGCCCCGCTGACCACTTTACGACTCCAAATGCAGTGCCGTTTCGATTCTGTGGAGGGCCTCCTGGAGCCGGTGCTCCTCTAAAGCAAATGATATCCGTACCCACCCTTTTTCGAAAAGTGTTCCGTGGTAGCTTCCGCCACCTCTAACCACCACTCCGTTCTCCTTAAGTGTCGTTATCATATCCAGTTCGTCCTCACAAGTCTTTGCATTTGGAACGAGCCTTGCAAATATATTTAATCCTGCATTTACTGGAATATAGTCGATTCGATGGCGAATAAAGAATGAAGTGATGAGGATATATGATTCTGCCAACCTGGCCGAGTTCAAAGCGACTAAAAGGGGTAGTGTGGGTGAGGAAAGAAGAGCGGTTGTGGATAATACAGATGGCGATGAGACCTGGGCTTTGGGTGAAGCTGCAAGTCCAACAATGGACTCTCTGTTATCTTGTGATACTATACAACCCTTTTGTTATTTTTTGTTTAGAATTAGTAACCCAATTTAAAAGTGTTTAGGGTGAGCGATACTTACCATTCGACATCCGCTGACGCCGAAATCTTTGCTGGTACCCCATATCATATGGATACGAGAACGGTCACATTGCAATGCACCAGCATCCAAGGACAAGACCGAAATGAACGGAGTTGGGTCAGAAATCTCCGCACACGAAAATGTCGTCATCGCATACACTTCATCAGAAACCATGTGTATTTCCCGTCGCTGACAAAACTTCAGGCAGGCTTCCAGAACTTCCTGGGGATAACACTGCCCGAATAAATTATGTGGGTTCGTTAAGACGAGGGCTCTTATCCTGCATGTGGCGTTATCCATCGCCTCCTCCATTTTGGGTATCAAGTTCAACGTAAAAATGTCCGTGAATTTTTCCGTTTTGACTAGAACTGACTGGACGGATGAACAAGTGCGAAAGTCTACCTCATCCCCGTCTATAAGCGCTCTATTATGTTATTCACCTGCTGCAATAATCCTTGAGACAATTTATCGCGAGCCTGGAGTATTTGAGGATGGAAACTCACTCCAATATGGCCCTGGCACTAAGACGCCGTCTTCAGGATCGCAGATTTTATAGAGCAAGGTAACAAGACAACTGTTCGTCCCTGAGCCTGCAACTATGTGGTGTGGCCTGACAGGTACACACGGATTAAAATAGTTGTTAAACAATTTTGCGAGGCTTCCCAGAAGGGTTGGTTCTCCCGCGAATCCTTGCGCAGACGAGTGCTGATATCGTGATAATCAGCCAATATTTTCATTATTCAAGTGGCATAAATGAGTCCTACATGCGAGTGTAATTCACTGTTGGCTCCGGGTTTGCAGATGTCGGCTAGCTCCTCCCGAAGAAGGCAATTTTCATCTGTAGACAGGTCGATGTCTAACTCATCAGGATCGCGACGGTCGGTTATTCTCATCCCTATCGATGGTGTGATCGGTGAAATGCTGGATGTTCGAGTAGGCAGCTGCGAATAATTCATTTTGGTGACCATCGCAGAATGCAGGCACTGAGCGAAAAAGAACTGTCGCTTGCCGCTGAAATTGAACGTCACCTTATGCCTCTCCTTTATGTGAAAGATTTCGGTTCGACTGACAACACGAGCGGTTTAGGGAAACAAAAATAAATGTTGCTCCAGATTCCCTTCACCTCCTTGCCCCAAGGCGAATTTAACTCCTGCTCTGGCAGTAGCGTTAGGCGTTTCTGCCTTCTCAGCTGGCGCCCAAGCTTGATCTGATAGATAATTTTTTTGCTGGCAGCCAGGTGAGAGGTATGTTAGTTCAATTACCAACTGTTACGTTGTCCCGCCTTGGCTTTATGATCGGTTAACCTATTTCATACGCAGCATACAGCCGACATTTCCTTTTATGACTAGAGCAGGTAAATTTGATTGCCACCCGCTTCTCCAAAAATAGTTATTAGCCATAGCCGCCTGAAGCCTTGCGGCATGGTTTAGTGAGCTGTCAAGTTATTCACGAGACCATGTGAGCGGATTCAATTCGACGTGGCCGAACGTCAGGACCGAGAAGGGAAGAGCCGAAACAAAATCCTCGACATCCACCTCTTGTTCATAAAACAGCGGAACTTCGCTTCAGATGATGATAAGCTTTTCGATGGCAATTGAGCCAACCCTGCTTGTTTCCACGGCTCAGGCGCAATGTCTCCTTGTACCACTTGCCTATCTTGACTAGACTCCAGATTATGAAGGCTAAATCTGAGGGACTAACACAATATGCCTGCTGAAGGTGTTCCACTGTTGACCTGTCATATCTTGTGCCACAGGTGTAGCTCGATTTAATCTTCAAGTCAATGCTGAGGATGGAAGTGCTTGGTTTGCAGCTTCAATTGAAATCATAGACACTTCAAATATCCGTGAACTCAAACATGTAATCACTTGAGTTTCGACCCTAGCCGAGAGCAATCCCAATTCAAGTTATACTCTCTAGCGTTTGAAAGGGGATGGCAAGGGAAGCAATCGGGCCGAAAGTCTTGACTCGCTAACAATACTTAGGGAGGATGATACCGATATATACGGTGCATGTGCGCGTACACTTCGTACGATCATGCCACGAGCGATCCATGTTTCGAGTTTCGACACCCCGATAATTACTGGTAAAGACCCCTAGCTGCATAAACGGACCGGTCTTTGAGGCTTTAGTCCCAGTTTTCGGCGGCTTTCCAAACAAGCCAAAAGAGCAGATTTACGGCAGATTCCACTGCCCATTTTTGGATATTTCTCAGGCAATTCCCATCGGCCGCAGCGATGTGCGGCCAACGTGACATGGTATCGACCCACAAAGCCCTATTCCCAGCCCTGCCAGGATATTATTGATTCCACGTTTAGAAAATTTCGGGGGGATCACGACAGATTCCCTTTTCCCAACTCTTTGAGGCTGGAGCTGTGTTTTTAAGGACCATGCCCATTGGGGAGAGGCCTACCGATCGGACTCCGGGCTTCCAGTTGCTGCGCAAAACTGTGGTTGCCAAGCGGTTTGGAAAGGTTGTTCCCATTTTTGGGGGTTTAAATGCATGGCGGGCTGCAGGGCAAGCATCTGTTGTCTGACATGCTCTGTGGGAGTATCCATCTGAACTTAGACAAACGCTTGCCGGACCCCAGAGAACCCTCCGCCACTTACGAGGTCAGTGGTTTATGACTGCTCCATTCTCCTACATGGCTTTGAAGGCTGCCATCCACCTCAAATACAGCTTTCCAGTAGCTGTGTCCTGCTTGCATCCAGCAGTAAGAGGAGGGGGGGAAGATTCCCGGAGGTTAAGGCCTGCATCCAAAAATGGAATTCTGGGCTTGGCAACACTTTCGGTCCCTTGTTACCTTTTTAGGTAACGTTAATTAGGGCTAGAACGGATTTTCTGGCCTAACAGCGTATGTCAACTCCGGCAAAGGTTTATGCGAAACGACTTTCCCTTTTGAGAGAGCACATCACCAAACTCCGCCTACGACGTGCGTATCAAACGTCTCCACATCGTTGCATTTGCGCCCGCGCGCTTCGTCCAAAACGGCAAATGAACTCGACGCTCTAAAACACATATTTCTCGTCTTGTTTCTCTCTTTTTTCCACGTTAACCATCCTAATCACGTTAGATTGTTGACGAGAATTCCTCTCGGTTATGAGCTAACTTTTCGAGAAAATGGATAGGGTGATGGTGGTTAGCTCCTGTAAAATCCAGATAACATATAGTATTGATCAAGCCATTACTTACGATGCCAAAATAACAATGTATAGTAGCACTCAATTGCAAACTCTGCATTCCTGTACCAGGTGAAGTTTGTCCTTAGGGTTACGTTTGTGTGACGCCATCGGCACGTTGGCCCTGGCTTGCTCAATGTAGTGAGATCCTTGCGATGTGGTACATAAAGCCTTCCAGATCTCTTCTGCGCTTTACCATAGGCGAAAAGCTGGGCCACTTCATTACATCGATAGGCATACGTCTGTAGAGCTATTCTCCACCTGATTCGAAATAACTGCAATTCTGTTGCAAGCCCTGCACGTCTGCCGGTATAACTGTCCTGTCTGCAGCATCTAGCTAACTCTCATTGCTCCCGACTAATGAAATGATGCTTCGTGATGATCGGCCCGTTATGCGTTTAGCAAGGCTGAGGACCGTATCTCTCATGGTCCAAGGTGAATTGGCGACATGCCGAATTGGCAACCGGGCGTATTTATTCTGCCGAACCTTTCACTTGGGCGGCTTCGAGCATTCCCAACGGAAAAGTGATGAATGGTTTTTCAAATCCGAGACGGACCACGGATAATGATATGATATCCTCATCTATCGAGCAGCGCAAAATAGGAAAATGAATGCAAGTATGAATTGATTCTACCCATTGGACAAATTGCTCTTCCTTAGGTGTTGGACCTGAACTGGATCCTTTGCCTCTAAGCGCGGAATTGCCGTTAAGTCAATAAGCGAACGGCAATTTTTCACCGTGTAAGAGCCTGAGAGAAAGCATTTGGACCATATCACGTTCTAGTTGAGGGCCTTCAAATTTCTTCTCAAACAATTTAGGTTTGTTAAGAAGCCTAAACCAAGATCATAGCAGAGGTATATCTCATTATCCCATGGTTAACCGAGCGGTTGAACCACTCCAACCACCAACAAAGATACATGGCTGCTCAAAGCGCGCGCGCGCCCCATATTGATCGGGTGGTCCATCCATTCAATTCCTAGCTCAGTCCTTGAAGGCTTTGAATAGCAGTGTCCTTTCACGCCGAAATCTATTCTTTCGCTTCGACAATCACCACCCTTGAAGGGATTGTAAGATCAAATCGATTATTGAGCATCCTTCGTTCGAACCCAAATACGAACCCCAACTCTTACACCGCGTTTTTATCGTCATTGTTTGGAAACGGTTTTCTTTCCACTCCTAGCGAAGTGTCAGGGTAGGGTATCAGGATAGCGACAGATGCCTGGGAACATTGGTATTTCCCTGTATACTGCGACTTGACCACGTATTGACGTTCTACTGGGATATACGTAACACTTCTGTCCACTACAGCCGTCGTCATGTCCACATGGGTTAGCCCACCCCAGAGTGGCAACCAAGTGTTCTATAGGAAGAATCAACGAATCAGGGACTATAGCTTACTACCGTGCAATGGAAGTATTTACCATTGAGACAGGGTGTTGGTCATCTTCAGAGTTTTACAATCTCTGGATCTCCTGGAAATACCATGTACATCGACAGACTCTATATGCATGGTACCAGGTGTAGATCATGATCGGATAATATTAGATAAAGATCTTGGATTCCATTCGTCTTCAACTTTCTTTCACTTCACGTTGTCGTTCACGTGGTAGCTGCCACATCCATGTAGGCACACTTTTGCCAAATGAAAAGCGAGGCTCGCTCGGTAAAACAGCTACCAAAGTGTGTTGGGCTAGTAGTATAAAAACGGCACGAGTCAATTGCATCTAGTTCAGGTTGTACGAGCTGTTGGCCCGAGTTTTCCCAACTCAAGATTTGCGCGCGTTAAATAAAAAATTTCAGTCCCAAAGAAGCCTAGTGTGGCGTCCCAGCCGCATCTTAGACGCGCGGTAAATGCAACGTGTGGCGGCAAAGCTGGTGCTCCGCTTTTGCTCGTTCAACTTTCAAGTCCAGCAGCATTTAATCTTGAACTCATTCCCAAAATTCTTCCAAATACCCATCCTGTCATACGCTTCATATCTCGGTACATTTGCCTATTCTAAATTTTACTGTCCCTTTCACGACATTTGAAACCCGATTGCTGCTCTCTCCTTTTCTGCTGTTGGATGCACTTTTCTCCCAATTTTAGGTAAAACGCTTGGTCGCAATGGACAACGCCAACCTATGGACTCGCCGCTCGAAGTAAGTAGCCTAATAAATATCTTGAGTCTTTGGATGTGACGGTTCAATGGTCCTTGATATTGACTCTAGGTAGCACTAGCAAGCTGTCCCTGTCCATGTCCGGCCCGGACAGCAAAGATAGTAGTGGAAGACAGGATTCCTCCAGAAGTCATCCGTCCAAGCGATTCGGTCCTGACAGCTCTCACGGCCGATCCAACCCTTTCAACGCAATCTCCCCCCTTACTACAAACGCACCCTCCCCCTCCGCCGGCGCCTCATCCGCCTTTGGCTTAGGATCCGGTGCATTTGCCTCCTTCGGCTCGGCCAAAACACCGAAAACTCCCGGCGCATTTGACCTCAGTACCCCAAAACCCACCAGCGAAAAACGAGAAACGCAACCAGAAAACGAAGGGACGAATAATAAAACTGTGAAATTGAGGGCATCATCCTCTTCTCTCAATAATACCTCTGCACCAGCTCCAAAAGAGCACCCCATACGGTCCACTTGGATTGTCTGGTACCGACCCCCAACGCCGAAGCATTCCGACTACGAAAAATCCACCATAGCTCTTGCATCGATATCTTCTGTTGAGAGTTTCTGGGCCGTTTACTCACATCTTAAGCGGCCCTCTCTCCTCCCGGCGGTGTCGGACTACCACATTTTTAAGAAAGGAATACGGCCAGTTTGGGAAGACGAAGCAAACAAACGAGGAGGGAAATGGATTGTTAGATTGAAGAAAGGAGTTGCTGATCGCTATTGGGAAGATTTGCTTCTGGCAATGGTGGGCGATCAATTTGCAGAAGCAAGCGATGAGGTGTGCGGGGCAGTCCTGAGCGTCAGAAGCGGGGAGGACGTTCTGTCTGTCTGGACAAGGATTGATGGTGGGCGGAATATTAAAATTAGGTATGATACTTGATGTTATATCAGTCAGGTTGGTGGTTACTGCTGCTAATATTTCTTTCAGGGAAACAATCAAGCGGTTGCTAGCGTTCCCGCCGGACACCAACATTGTATGGAAAAGCCATGACGATAGCATTGCCCAACGCTCCGCCATCGACCAAGCCCGCCTGGACAAAGCCGCTGCGAATGCCGGTCACCACCACCAAGGCTCAGATCGTCGTCGTGGGCACAACCAGGATGACGCTTCCGCTGATAAAGGGCGGACAGCAGCATCGTAAAAGGTCCAGATACGAATATGGGCAGTGTACAGTAGTAGCTCTTTGCGTTTTTCCCTTTTCTTTTAATATTTTTGTGCTGATGTTGTGTGGTCCTGTCATTGCGGTCAGGCAGGCTTTCGCAGATAGCTTCTTCAGAGAGTCCTTTGTTTTGTCCGTTGCTTCTTCCTTAATGCTCTCTCTTTGTATCAAGTGGAGAAGAGTAGTAGAAATTCTGTGTTTGGAGTGAAGCTTTTCTTCTATTCTGATTAACTGGTGGATTTTAGCTAGCCTTTGGTTTTGTTTTAAGTTTATTTTTGAGGATTTCACGACCTGGAAGGAATATGATGGCAGGAATAGAAATTCATTTTGCCTCTTGCTACTGTTTCACTGAATATCTCACATCTAGAAATATCTACTGATGACACCGAAAAGAACGGAATGCTTGTGCCAGATTTTTAAGTCAGAATAGAGGTTAATGATTCTAAATAATGTTAATTATTCAAAATCCCATATATTTATGCCAAAGAATTTTCGGAATCCTGTCCATCCCGGTTGGACCGTTTAAATTTTAAATTCCACTCTATCCGACAAAGCGGCGTTGGCGAACAGTATTTTCCCTCCCCAAACCTCTGCCACCAACATCACTTTATTTTAAATAACCTGCAACCCTACCCTCCTACACCCCACATCACACATATTTGCAACGTAATGCCTCCTCCCCAGCGTAAAACGCCGTCTCAGTCGCGAATGCTCTCCCCCACCAGCTTATGAACTGGCTATACAAGCTATCTCACCTCGTCTGGCCGGAAAATACCACCCGTAGCACAGCGCAGGAACCACGAACCCGCGAGCTTTCGAGGGGACGGCGGCGGCGACGACACGCAGCTAATGGTGTCGAAGATATACCAGCCCCGCTCCAGATGTCCGGCGTGAGCAATCGGCTGTCTCCTACAAATGGACAGATGAGCAACTCTTTTCAGTTCTCACAGCTAGGAAAGGTACGGCAAGCATAGCTCCAAAGATTTTATTTTCCTGTGTTATGGCAATTTTATTCTTGAAACCTTTTAGCTCGCTCCCGATGCTAACTTCTTCCTTTTGCTGGAACGTGCAGGACGCTTCCGGAATCCGCCCGAACACCAGTTTGCACCGAGATAATTCCAACCATACCACCAGCTTCACATTAAAGAAAGGCGGCACGTACGTTTGTGGATTTCCGCGTGTTTTATATGGCACAGTTCGTCCAATACTAACTCTGATACAACCGCAGTAAAACTACACCACAGAACGAAGAGGAATTACAGGAGGAAAGGAGATTATTCGGAGGTTCCAGGTCCGTGACAAGCCGCCGTTTTAGATCCGAAAGGGTTTAAAAACTGATTTTTGAGGTGGATTGAGCAGGAGGGACCCGAACGCCGTTCGTATAACACCAGGAGCGCTGGCGAGAAAAGGACGAGCCGGCAAGGATTTGAAGGTAGGGTTAACATTGTCTCATACCTCTGCGGTGCGGCGTTGTTCTAGTTACTGAGTTGTTTGCCGTTACAAAGTCTTTTGAGAACTTCACTCCACGAAATACCCTTCACTCCACCTTCCGGGGAAAACCACTTGATACCTTTGCTGGAAGGCATCTTGATAGGACTACACACTCGGGCTCACATGTACAAGGTGCTTCGGGAGTGGTTCAGGAGTTAGAAGGAAACAGACCTCGTAAAAGACGAAGAACCGACGAGATTCAAGCTCCCGCGGAGGTCATTGAGGTGAATGATGATGATTCTATCATTCACACGGAATCTCCTTCATCTACTCGACCTAGAACTTACAGCCTGTCATATTTGAGCCAAAGTTCCCCAATAATCAACCACCACGGCTCTGCTAATCAAAAAGAATCTATCACACATGAGTTCTGGAACGTCGAGAGTAGGATGCAGGATTTTAAGAACAAAAAGCCGCGCGTTCCAGATTTGACCGAGGATGAACTCTTCACCATGGAAGCCAAGGCACAGCGGCTCGGAAACAACATCGGTACCAACATTTCCCAGTCTGGTGGTTCTAGTTTATCTAGACCTTCTGAACCAATGGTTGCTATTGAAGTCTCACCGATTGGTAATTTGGGCGGAGCGGAGGGGACAGAAGAGGAGACTCAGGGCTCTGCGGGCAGCCTTGCCGATTCAACTGTCCAGACGGATAGTCAGCTTCATGATTCTTATACACGTGAGAGCCCGGATGCACTTCAGGGAGATAAAACCGTCCCTGAGAGTTGGCGAAGCGGTGTAAAGGACCGCCTGGGTAGAATGCCTGGTGATATTAGCCCGACAAATTTCTCCATCGTGAAGAAGGACCGCAAACGTGCGGATAGAAGGCGCAGAATCTCATCTAATCATACGCATTCATTTCCTATGTCTATGTTTGATCACAAAATGGAGACTGTTGAGAAACAGTGCACGCTTATTGTTAAAAACGGCTCTTTTCTCGTGACAAGTGATACCGGCTCTTGGGTATCCAAAGAATTTTCTATTGACAAAATCAACCTAATTTGGCATGGTGGACCCAGAGTTGCAATGAAGTTCCCCATGGCTTCAGGATCGACAGACGACCTAAAACTACAATTTTCGTCTGAGAAGGAAGCGGTTGAATGCTGTAACCTGATGGGGGAATTGAACAATACTTTGAAATTAAGGGATAAGGGGAGGTATGTTATCACACAAGCATCTTGAAAGCTCAGAGTTCGGAAATCTGATAGTTTATTTAGTGAGTGGATGGAAAATATGTTCAAACGCTCTCTGAAAAAAAGACAAGGAAACCGTCAACCCGCGAGTTCGAAACGCGAAAGCCTTCAGGATGACCATATTGACGCCGTCGCCCAGCCGTCAACACAACCTAAACGACAGAAGCTCAGTGAGAGCCTACTTGACAGTGACGGAACAACGAGAAAGTCTCCGCTAGAAGACTCACTCCACTCGCGCGGACCCCGCAAGCATGCTCAGGATGATATGTCGCCTCTCAGCCATAGTCATCCAGATGTTGATCGTCCTATAACTATTCCTGTCAAGAAATACAGTCCTACCGTGAGCTTGCGTGTCACTCGCTCACAGGGGCAACGGAAACCTACTACAATTAATAGGTGCGTAATGTTCTTCTGTCTGTCCATTTTGGGATTCCGCCCCTGATTAAATAATTGAATCCAGTGACCATGAACCGTCGCCTTCACCTCACCGATATACTCGTATGTGGTCAAGGTAAGTGCATCGTTCATCAAGTTTGTCGAGCTACTATTAATGCTTCATCTAGGCCGCTTGTATACCCACCTAAAGGTAAAAGGAAAGCCGAAGTAGAATTCCATGATTTGGAACGCTTGGGTGATGGGGAATTTTTAAATGACAACCTTATCGGGCTTTACCTACGGTTTCTTGAGCATCACATGGAAATCAAGAGGCCAGATCTGGCTACACGTGTTTACTTTTTTAACTCTTACTTTTTTGCAAGCCTTACAAACACGCCTAAGGGTTTGAGGGGTATTAACTACCAGGCCGTGGAAAAGTGGACGAGGAATGTGGACCTTTTCAGTTATGATTACATCGTCGTCCCAATCAACGAAAACAAACATTGGTATATGGCCATTATATGCAACCTCCGTGCTCTGCGTCCCACAGGATCCATCGCCGAACGCAATGAACCTGAGAGCGACAAGGTGACTCATGATTCGCCGTGCAGTCAAGCGAGCGCTGATTTAGGAAATCCAGATAACCGGCAAAGCGATAAAGCCGGGCTTCAACCTGGGGAGAATAACAACACCGTTGCTCAGACCTTAGAGCATGGTAGCGAACAACTCCTCCAAGAGGATTTCGATTCAATGTCGTTGTCGGATAATGGCCCCGAGGTCAATTCGAAACAGAATGACACAAGTCCATTGAAGGAATTTGAAACTCAAGACAGGAATGAATGGCCGGACGAGGGAGAGAACGGACCACTCGTTTCTATCGTCCAAACTGAGGAAGAATCAGATGTCGCGCAGCAGCCAAAATCGCTACGCTCTGGGAAACTGAGGAGTTTAGAGCCCCGAGCTAAGATATCTCCCCGGAAGCTCCCATGTGATCCAAAGGAACCCGTTATCATCACTTTCGATTCTTTAGGTTGTGCTAGGTACCCTACGATAAGAATTCTTCGACAATATATCGAGGAGGAAGGGAAAGCTAAGCGATCACTTAGCGTTGACACGAAAAAAATCAGGGGCATTGTTGCTCGAAATATACCATATCAACCTAATTTTTCGGATTGTGGGCTGTATCTCTTAGCATACCTTGAAAAGTTTATGTGGGATCCGGACGTGTTCATTAGCAGGTTGGTGAGAAAGGAGATGAGTGAATATTACGATTGGCCACCGATGAAATCCCATATTCTTCGGCGGCGGCTGCGGAACTTCCTTCTCGAACTACACGAAGAAGAGGGAAGATCGAAGCAGAATGAAGCAGGAGAAGAACGGAAGCTGATCGATACCGATCCACTGAAAATACTGTTGGTAGATGATCCACCCACAGAGGCACCGCAAGGTGAACCTTCTACTTCGAATCACTCGCTTGGACTAAAGCAGCACTCAGAAACCAGTCCTAATCCCAGGTCCCTAGAAAACAAGCTACTCGCACATGATTCCGAGAAGGAGCCTCGGCAGGTAACACCTACTCGCGCACTTACAAGGCTCAATCAGAACGAGCAAGTACAGACATCCATGGACCCGGCCATCATTGAACATGAAGCTATTCAGCACTCCGAGGCGAAATCGCTGCTTGAAGGCATTTTACTTTATGGAGGGCAAGATTCTACAAACAAACAAAATATCTCAGAAATTCCTAGGACTCCTTCTCCTGGGAGAGAGGTACGCGTTTCTGGAATACCTGATTCTTCTTCGCACCCAAGAAGCCCAAGTAGCCATCCTCGGATACTACAGGGACAGGACCAAGAGATACTAGATGGAATCGAATGATGTAAAGTTATTTGATAGATATTCATACCGTTGAAGGGAAATTTTACCTGAATACAGATGCTCTTTCCTATTTCTTTTCTTTTCTTATTTTTTTTTCCCCTTCTCCTTTTATCTCTTCGACTTTCTTCGCTTTTTCTTTTGCCTTCACCATTTGTTCGAGTCATTCTGATATCCACCAAAGTGTTTCTCTTTCTTTCCATTTTGTTTTCTTTATTGAGAAGCAGAGACAGAACACATTTGTTGCTTTTCTTTATCCTCTGTTACATCCCAGACATGCATTGAATTGGCGTCCCTATCGGTTGAAGGTTGAGGAAGATAGGCTCTTCGTCTTTTAGCAAATATTTTACACAAGTATCATGGCGATATTGTATTTTACTTTTTGACGTGTTCTTCCCTACATAAAATATCATGCAGAGCAGAGACAGATTTTGTCCCCCTTTGGTCACTTCAGTATCGGGCAATGTTTGCTCTGCTGCCAAATATGCCAAGCCGACAATTGGACACGCGACACGCGCGACAATCGTGGTGGCGCTTAGATAACCGCAACAGCTGCGGCATTGACATATCTGGCCGGATATCTCTTGTAGACACAAAAATAGCAAACCTTCTGACATTTCTCTCTCGCGTATTGTCGGCGTCTGCGCAAACGGCGGTTGATTCCGCTCTTAAATTCTGCAGCTATGCACTCCGCGCTCAATCGGTTTCAGAGCGTCTTTGGATTCTTCACCACAGTTGCATTTCTGCTGAGTGCCCTAACAGCGCTGACCGTTGTATTGAGTCCTGCGGATCCGGTTACGAACGTTGAGCTTTCGAACATACAAGTGTAAGGCTTGTTTTGATTTTGATCCCTTTATCGCTACCCCAGGAATGGACTATATGGTTGTCAATAGGAGTTACTCTATGGGCAGCGGACAGTTTGGGCTAATTCTGGATGTGTATAGAATTAAGGGACGACCGCATTACTATGCAACGAAGCGCGAGGAATATGCACAGATTAGATTCGATCTTGATGCTAGTGAGAAATTCCGATTCATGCGCATATCTTCATCTTCCATTGCTGAAAGTCTCAATAATTGGGAGCTCCCGCTTGTCTAACAAAGCTAACAAAAACACCTACCTGCCCCCTATCCAAAGACCTAACCTCCCTCTTCAACTGGAACACCAAGCAACTCTTCGTCTACGTCCTCGCCTCCTACCCTACATCACCCTCTTCTTCGTCAAACCTAACCACCGAATCCATAATCTGGGACACCATAATCCCAGCCACCGAATCCCCTTATTCCATCCCCGCCCTAACCCGCCGTTTCTTCCCCTCCAAAAAGTCGAAATCCTCAAAATCCTCCAAAACGAGCAAAAACACATCCACGAACTCTAATAAAAGTTCCAAGAAACCAGGCCTCCTCCGCCTCCGTAACCAAAAGAACAAATACCAAATTACAGATATATCCGGCCGCATGGCTGAGCGTGAGAATGCGCAGCTTGTCGTGGCTTGGAATGTGCAGCCGTGGGTGGGGGCACTGATGTGGAGTCCCCACAGCAAGGTTGCGGAGAATATTGGCGGGGCGTTGGGTGGACTTCTTGATATGACTATTATTACCGGGGGGAAGGGTGGGAGGAGTAAACCATTCAACTTCCCCGCGTTGAAGGGTTCGAAGAGGAGGGAGGGAGACAACAGCGGGTAGGGATCGAGCTGAACTGCGTGTGGATTCGAGACTGGGGAGAGTTGAAGTGGCAATCAGTTGCATGAGCTGTATGGTTCATTGTTTCTACAAGTCTCGTTAGTACTATTTATCATATTTCTTGCTTGATCATTTTCGGGAGCGAGCTATACTGCCATTTATCCATTTGCTGCTTTTGTCAGCACAGGTGCCCTTCACAGGCTACTTACTCATCATATAATGCCGACAGGGGAGCAGGTCATATTATTGTGAACTACTGAATCCCTTGCCAATGATTCCATGTTTAAAGCTGAAGTATATCATTTCATAGCCAACAGTAATAATACAATGTAGGGATCCGCAAGTGCATAGGGAATTGTTAATTTGCTGTGTGAGGGCAAAAATGAGAGTGTACTACTACTGTATACCAACCACCTCCCGATAAGCATGTATGGATCAAGGAGAGATAGCAGGTGTATCTGTCGACAACCCCAAATAAAAAATAGTGTACAATGCCTCTCCTTAGCTCGAAAGAAACCAACAGAATGAGATGAGTGTGATTCCAAACGCCCATAACCATGATTAGTTTCTCCTCCAGAATAAAAATACCCATAACTTCAAAAAAAAAATCCCATTTTCATCGGCCTCGTTAATTCCATCATGTCTCCCTTTTGAGTACCTTGATTCGTTTTAAGCACCAACCCCCTTTCCACAGATACAGGGGTGTCTATGAAAGGTGTGTCCATGAAACGACCCCACTGGAAGATTGATCCGCAAACGGGTTCAAGACTCCTGTCAAATTCAATTACCGTGCCCACCCCGACTGTTGTCTTGGGGGTACTTGGGAGCCTGAATATGGTGTGGCTGGCGCTGCTGGTGTCTGAGCAGGCGGGGCAGGGTAATAGTATTCAGTTGTCATGTCGCCACCATTTTGAATGCGCTCTGAGAAAATGCCCGGGGCGCGGGCACAGGCTAGCCGCCCTTGATGGCCCCTTGCGCGCCGGTCGTAGTAGATGTACTCGCAGTAGAAGGCGTGGATGTGGCCCGGGAAATATCTGGAAAAAGACAGAAGAGGGTGGGCGGGGAATTATTAGCCGCTGCACAACAAGCTCTGTCGACTGTTGTAAAAGGGGATGCAGAGCTTGGATATAGGGGAGAAGAGTTTACACGCACCCAAGTAGTGTGAGACAAATATTAATGAGGAGGTCTGGGGAGCATCCGCTAATGAAGAAGACACCCAGCGGCGGAACTATGTAAAGAAATGTGGATGTTAGTGCCATATCATCATAGAAGCATTACCAAGAAAATAACACATCGACTGGGCAATTTATGATAGGCAGGGGTGAAAGCAGCAATCATGCAATGCCCCCGCCCCTATTCCGTCTGTCTCCAATCGTCACCCCTTGTAGAAAATGGATATACAGTTCACATTCGCCTATCACGTAAAGAAATCGAGGGATAACAGCTCACTTACTAAAGATTGTAATAATGATTAGGAAAATAGCACCGAGAGCGTCCGCTGCCATGACTTGATTTGCTTTACACCCCTCTAGACGGCGTTTCTTGCTGTACTAATTGGACGGTTTGATCAAAACAGGAATTGAGTAAAGCATCAATCCTCAGAAGTCCGCAAACGTCAACGGCAAAGGCGTCTTATAGAGCGTGCACTGGGAGTGGATATGGCCGAAGGAGCAATACTAATGCCTGTAAAAGCAGTTTGGGATTGGTACCCAACCTGGAGAGCTGAAATAAGCTCGGATGGATGCAGAAGGAGGGGAGGGGGAAAGATGTTGTTAGGTGAAGATATGAAGCCCCGGATAGCTATGAAGGTTATACAAGTAGATGCACACCCATAGAAGGCGTTCAATTGGAAAGGAGCAAGGTCTTGATGAATGTAAGAATGCCTTAAGATGGTATTTTCGGGGGGGGTTGATCAGGAAGGAGATTTTGCCGGCAAACGATATAAAAAGATACAAACATTGAGGAGCAGCATTGGACACTTTCCTAAAAGGGCAACTGAGGCCCTCGAAAGTGGAAACAAAGTATAGCATGACGTCACTCTGCGACAACCAGAACCTTATTTCCACGTGGGAAACTAGCCCCGGTCGGTCTAGGCGGGGAAATTAATATTTCTCATTTGATTTGAATGAAGTAGAGAAGACTAACAGGGTAATTTAAGGAATGACGACTAGGCATAAAAATGAATATATGAGCCACTGCGAGACAGCCAAAGTATCCCGTCATACTCCCTTTGTGTGGATTTCCAAAGACAGACAAAGGGGCCGCAAAATAATACGAAGCTCCCCAAAGAACATACAGTATAGTATGTATTTAATGACAGAAGGTGAATAGAGTGTGCCGTCCATCCACTATGAATATGTGTGATACAAAAACCAACGCCGAAAAAAATGTAACACCCTTTTATGTCCAGAATATCGCTCACATAAGCAAACATTCTTGGGGAGCCCGTTGACAATGAACATCCTAATGTCCTTCTAACCCCTTGGTGTAATAATATCACTAGTCTCCGGTGGATGAATCGTACACAGGGATCGGCACCCCTTGATGTGTTTGACCGGCATCACTATACTCAACATCAGGGATACTAAACCCCTCCTCATCAGTGTCGACATCCTCCCATTCCCCCTCAGATGTGCTGGGCGGGGAGGAAGCAAAAATATCGCTAATATCACTCCCTAACATCCGACACTCTTCTTGTGCGCGCTCAACGATCATTTTCACAAAAGCAGCTTTATCTTTTTCACGAATTAGAGGTGGTGATTCGGTACCATGGTGGTCACTGCCCCTTTCAGCCTGTGGATTGGTTGCGCCGGGATGGTGGCAGACTTCGAGACCACGAGTGCATGCGTCATTAGCTGGCGGTGTCCATGGCACATCTGTATTAAACTCCCATCCTGCACGCATGACCCTGTAGGGATTCAAGAATCGTGAAACATCGATAGCCAAAGCCTCAGAACTCGAAGCTCTTGAGGCATTAAAGTCTGGGCTCCGGCTGTTACCACTGCGTTGCTGTTGATCCGAGGCAAGACTCATCATCTCGCAGTATTTCAAGATGTACGCTTCATCTTCTTCCTCCGAGTTTGTCTTAGAGAAGACTGCATTTCTTGGTGGACGGTGGTCTTGGAAAGGATATCCATTCCCTTTCTTCTGGACAGATACCCCAGTGCTTCGCCAAGATGATCGTTTTCCACAAGGACGGTGCCTTGCTTCTAGCTCTTCGTCAACCTGAGTGGAGTGAAGAGGCATATGCAGCATGTTGACGATATCGTGATGTAACCGCTTACCCCCCAATTCGGCTCGAGGGTGGTTGGGACACTGCGTTTTCATTCGCGGGACAATTGTCGAGCCTAGTTTCCTATCTTTTCCGACAGGATCACGTCTTTCCAAAGAGCGTCTCCGGCGGCGACGAGGGGAGACCCGCAAACCAATCTCTCGCGGTTCCTCGGGAGATAAATCATTGACTTCGCCAATTTGGTCACGATCCGACGATGTCGATAGATCAGTACCGAGGCTGGTCCCCAGTAAAGGCATCATGGTAAAACTCTCGAATGGATGGCGACTTAGCAGCCTGCTCTCACCGGAATTGAAAAGACCTAGCGGTTTTAAGAGGTCCCTCTCAAGTGCGCGCCCACTAAAAAAGGCTCCGGCGCCAATAAATGGGTCATCCCACAACTCAATCTGAGGGTTAGGTTGCCACAAAGGGTTCCACTCTATCCATGAATGGTTCTCATTACATTTGTTCTTGTCTACTCCCAAGAGGTTTAGAGAATGATCTGGGGTGGGATTGACTTGTGGACACGTTCTTTTCTTAACGTTGATGATCACCCTAGATCTAACTATCTTCTCGAACCTCACCGCCGTACCAAAATATTCCAAAGCGGTTGCTGTAATCATTATCCGAAGGGCGTATATTTTAGATCGGTCTCCTAGAGGATCCTCTACCGGGGAAGCTTGTGAATGTAGCATTTGATTCTCCGAGTCGGAGCAGGTTGGCACTATTCCACTAAAGCCGGAAATTGAAGGATCCCATTGTAGCCAAGGCGCGGATGTCTTATAAACGATATGGTTTGGTGCTGAGTAGCTGTCTGGTCCAGCAAAATTGAATGACGGGCTATAGCGTGGCACTAAACGGAATTCGTGGCCTTCAGTAGTGATAGGGTCAAATTGATCAAAAGAAAGCATATCTGGGGTCCAATTCACTTCAACCGGGAAGACGGTGGTTTGCAAGTAATCATTCGCGTCCAATAGTTTGACTCCTATTCTAAGGTCGCCAGTCGGCGGGAACAATCCATAGCCCATAGCAGGGGCAACAAAGCAGTCGTGAGTGCGGACAAACTGTGCTACAGTTCTATAAATATTCCCCATTGACGCCAGCCAATGGTACGTACGACGATGCTCTCTGTATATATATACCATAGTTGTCGCGATATCAATCATGCTAATTGGCAAATAATGTATCCTATCCGAGTTGCTGCGTTGGTGTTGTTCACGGTTACGATGTATCCGGTTGGCGGCTTCGCACTGTTGTTGTAAGAGTTCAAGTTGATCATGCAACAAGTATTCTAGGACCTCTTTAAACGTTGACTCCCAGAAGAGCAGCTCTTCGGCCTTATCTGAAGAGAGGCCTTTCCATGATTTTGTAATATCAATATGAACAACTCTAGGGCTCTCGTGATGGAATCCAATTTCAGGTTCAGGGGTTATGTCGTGTGCGGCTCCCGGGTAAGCTTGAAAACGTGGGCGGTACATATCACTCATCCTATTACATTTAGGAAACGGGCTGCCAAAAAGACTGAAAGTGATGTTAGGAAAATCGTGTTCAGGATTAAGGGGGCGTGGCTGTATCGTATCCTCTTCTGTTAACCTATCTCCAACATATGCTACCTGCAAACCTACAAATCAGTCATTAAAATTCCCTCTTGAAGTACTGTCTGATTGTCCGATATTGTGGGAAGGTGGGGGGACTCAACTTACCTCCGGAGCATCACTTTTGTCGACACCTCCAGTGGCAACAACAAAGCCTACCAGCGGGTTGAAATAGTAAGGCGGGGGGATGCTGGAGTATCGGCGCTGCCCTTGTTCGGATGGCAGGCTGCATGTTTGGGGCCCCGGCACGTCATAAGAGTATCGGAATTCGTGCGGATATTCGTATCTATCATTATGCGCGTCCACACCTTGAGATTCTCGTGGATGGGAAGTCATAGGGAAGGATGATCGGATTCTAAAAGGGTGCCGTGATGTCTGTCAGAGTATGTCAAGCACAACTCTGGGCGAGGGACCGCCTAATTAATATCACCTAGCACCCGAAGTCAGCCTAGAACAACTCCTACCTCATCAGAGTAAAAACATCCTTACACATAAGCAGATGTTGAACCACAGAAACAAGTTTGGCTCGGTAATTTTGCAGAATACCGAATATACTCGTGGGGTGGGATGCTTTTTGAGGTAGAGAATCATGTCTTCGGGCTTCTCACTTGGTAAAGGAGTAGAATTCCGCCCCAGCATATATATTGACTGTTGATGCCTGTTATTGTTATATTGGGAAGGCTCGTACTATTGGCGACTGGGACTTCCTCAAACGGAATCAGGGTGTAGGAGGGAAGATTACCTAGAAGGAAAGAAGCATTCACATGACAGGAAGGTGCTAATGCTCTCCAAAGAAACAGTGTATAGCACTCAATAGTGTAGTGCAAATGCTAACTTGAGAGGAGTTTGGAAGGTCTCCAGTGTGCGAAAAGGAAAGGGGAGAGTCCAAGGAAGAAAGACGAAATAGGAAAATGAAAGTTTAACAAAAAGAATTAGTTTGCATTTCACACTGCATCTATCGAAGCCCTCGTGGTTACCTGCTCATTCTTATTCCCAAGTTTGGAAATTTGCAGGAACGCATCGACACCATACCCTTCCAGACTATGCAGCTCCAAACTGCCAGCCCAGTACTCTGCGTAAACCCTACTCATCGGAAGTCCCATGCCAAGCCGCAAATTCGGAGGGCGAGAACTAAGGGATGCCAATGAACTGTCTCTATGCGGATGTCCATTGGTATTGTAGTAGTGGCTTTCTCCCTGCTCATCGAATCTCGTGCCGGAAACTTTCACTTCTTGCATGGTCGCCGCCATGGTAGGTACCTGCTCCAGGTTCCGAAGGCGGGCTTGAGTATGCGGTCCCTTGCAGAATGACCATAGGTACGGGAGAATCTCTCTAGAGATGCCTCCCCCTTGATCAGAAACCCGAATAATGACATGCTGTGGAGCTTCGCAGATCAAAACTTCAATGGGAGGTGGCCGTTCGGGCCTGCCGCTGAACCTTTCGATAACTGCCTGGAAGGAATTTCGTAGTAATTCCCCGATAATATATTCCAAATGACTTAGGATATAAGGAAATGTCGCTCCCAGATGACCCTGAACAATCACATCGGGAACCTGGCAGTCAGTTCCGAGTGATTGTTTTAACAACATTGTCGCGCGTTTGCCGCAATTTTCAACGACCTCCTTGGCATTGCATCTCAGAAATACCTCTCCCACGAAGTCTGCGTTGAGGTCTGTCCTGTCCTTGGAGTCCGGAAAATGCGAAGGTGAATTGAATGTATCTGTGAGCGCAAGATGTTGTTCGGCAATAACTCGACGTGATATTCGCTGTAAATGGATATTATTATCAGCTAGCTAATTTTCACCATCACGCAGAAACAGACAAAACCGAGGCAGGTACTCTTTTACGCACCGCACGCAACAAGGTATTCATGAACCGATCCATTTCTTCCGGTTTTACTAGATCTTGGCACTCCAACACACCCGTTGCAAGATTCGGTATTACAGTTAAATGTTCCTTGAGCGTGGCTCGCAGAATATCGCAGTACTTGTCATTGTCTTCCAAGGTTCTGATTTCAGGGACACCGCGGAACTTCTCGAACGCCTTGTAGTAGAGTTCATAAACGTGAGATAGGTGGGGGTTCGTGACAACAACGTAGGGAAGTTTCTGCATGTCTCGAAGACGGTGGGCGATTCTGGCAAAATGATCAAATCAGTATTTAGTTAGGTGCCTTTGGATATTAATGGTTTCAAATGACTCGATAGGAACTGACCTGGTGGGAAGCTCTGTACGCACATAGTTCGCCGAGCTGATCAACCGTGACTCGGTGATCGTGCGGCCAAAGAAAGTCAACTGACGTAAACTAATCGGCCTCACTTCACGTTCAACCCATCTAGAATGTCTATAGTCAGCAAAGGATGAGGCCATACCAAAATCTTATATCAATATTACTCACTCGTCTAGAACGGAGCCTGGTCGCCATGGCGGGGGGCCTTGCCTGTCAGCTGAGAGAAATCTTGTCTGTACAACAAAAGCTCTCAGCCGGACGGCCTTGTGCCATTGAACTGATTGCCGCTGGAGCATCCTGGAATGCCATTCACGTCTCTCGCACGGGGGTTGGTTTCCAAGAGACGTTGGACATGGGCCTGCTTAAAGATGTATATCTCACCGTAACTCATTGTCCGCGGTGACTAGCACATCCTACACGGGTTGGTGTAATGCTAGCTCAAAGAAGCGAAAAAATGTCAAGTAGACGGGGAAGCGGGTGTGGTTCAATTGGGGGGTTGGAATGTCGATGAAGATGAGGATGAGGACGCGGAGTTGGAGTTGGAGTGGGTTTGATATTTAACCCGAGAGTTGCATGTGTCATACCATACATACCATACCATACCATACCATGGGCGGCCGCTTGGCGTGTGTGGTGTCTGTCTGGTCTGTGTGCTCAAACTTTAAAAGCTCTCCCTGTCAAGCTTCCCGCCTCAACTTCCAAGTCAAGGCGCGATTGGCGGCGGATTCTGGCGCCCAACACCTTCGTTATTATTGGCCAGCGATGTGAGACGGACGGCCAGACCGAATTCCTCATGATAAGGAATTCCTCTTGTTCATTCGCCCGTCAGACATCTTACGCAGACCCGAGGCTAAAACGCCTGCGCCATTCCAGGGCCAAATGAGCGATACCGGCCGCTATTTCAGCCAGGATCTGACGAGTTAGGAATCCTCCTGCTAGTTACTACTGCCAAAGGCCAGCCTCGAGAACCTCTCTTCGATAGTAACGTTACCTGGGCGGCGCACACTGGATCCAGGATATGGACGGGCACACAGTTATTTCCCTAGTAGTAGGCCTCTTGGGTTTTACATTAAACAGATAAGAAGCGCTGACAATATCTACCTACATAGTAAGACCACTGTCAAAGAGCCTATCGGGATTAGAAACAGTGCCCGCTGCAACCTTGAGACAAATAAAAGGTCTTAGTGCATGGTTACTCAAAAAAAGCCACCACCATGGTTGCGGGGATCAAGCATTCGAGCAAGAAAGCCACTGACATACGCATAGTATATGCCTACCGGCGGGGGGCGGCAATTGATGAATGACAATGGGTAATGAGAATTTTTGCTGCGCCCAAGCTTCTTAAAATTGGGATGATTGGATATATCATATGCCCTCCAAAAAGGCCATGAGAAGTGGCTGGACAAAGAAGCTTTTCGCATCCCTGAACAAGCAAAGAACGTCTGATTGGCAACCTACCGCTCCCAAATGGGCGTTGTGAGCCGATAATGCCCTTTTCCGGTCCGAGACTTCACCTGATGAAACCATATACAATGGTTGAACATTCGGAGACACCGGAATGAACATTATTTATTGGGACGACGCAGTTGACTATCAAGAAGCATATGGCCATAAAATCCCCTCAGCTTCAAGAAGCTGTCTCAACTAAGCCTAGCTGTGGTGCTTAGGAACTGCTATTCCCAATCCAACAACCCTAGCTGGTGCGCCCCAGTGACCTCAGTGACCAAACAACTGGGGCAGCGAAGTCTTGCATGGCCTATTGCCTGAGACAAAAGCGTCTTTCCTTCGCATCAATTTGTCAATCAGCACAGATCGGAGTAGCGAGTTCTTCCCGATAAATTCAATTCATTCATTATTAAGCCAGTACATGCTGAGGGAGGTATTTTCAAAAGTCGCACGCGCCAAGTTCGAAGCACCAACACCACGCTTAAAAGGTTATACCAGCCATGTATAGTCTAACAGCCAGTACATGTCTATAAATCGGCCGTGACGTTTAAACCAAACATCATAACTCAAAAACAATGTATAAACATACTCATCACTACTCGTCACCTTTAGGAGGAGGATTCCTCCCTCACGACGCCATTTTTAACAGGCTGGAATCCAGCCTCGCTCTTCTCAGCATTCAGCAGCTCGTCCAATGCCTTCTGTGCATCCCAATTTTCGTCATGCAGATTATCCCCAGCGAGGTCAATCCACGCCCTCCATGCTTCAGAGTTAGGAGCTGCGCCGCTCACCCGCACCCAGTCGGTGAACTTGGAAACATGAATAGCTTTCCACAGCGCCTGCGTGTATGTCTGCGCGTCTGTGTTTCGTATCTCTTTCATTTCATAACGTATAAGGTTCCAATGCCATCCTCTAGGGAACAGTGCGGCGATCTGATAGCAGCCGTTGAGTAAAACGTATGAACCGCCGAGTGCCGCCTGCATGGTCCAGGTAGAATTTCCCATCAGGATCACCGCGCTCATGAGCAGAAATGTGCCCACCCCAACTAACGCGCGGAATATCTGGTCACTGACGACGTAGCTACATTCTTCTGTGCCCGTGTAGAGTTCGCGGGCGATCTCTTCTGTACACCGTATGATTATAAATGCGCCCTGTCTCGTCCGAATAATCAGGTCACCGTCCGGCACAACTGTTTTGCGTTTCCGCACCGTCAAGTTTGGATGCCACATGGAAGATAATCCAATGATACTAGATGTGAATGACACAACCACGATCGCAATGACCGCTACACCATCTTCGAGGATAATAGCCCATGCGCACAGGCCAACCGACAGAAGGAATGAAGCAACTGAGAGAAGAGCTAAGGGCGAAAAGGGCTGAGCATGAATGACACCCTTTGGCGTTCGAAGAATACGATTTCTAAGTTTCTTTTCATCACTGAGGGTGTCTGCGTAGCCTTCTCTATGTTTGATCCGGATCTCTCGAACGGCAAAGCTAGGAAGATCGATGTTGTAGACGAGGTTTGCAAAATGGTTGAGCTCCAGGAGCAGGGTGCCGGAGTGAATGCTCACGATGTGTGCCGGAATGGAAGGCAGACGTGTTGGCCGCTCGTGTCTGAGAAGCGCCTGCGGAGCAGGCAGGATACGAGGAAGCAGACACAGAATTGAAGCTGTTAGCGGTTGGGAGTGCGCCGACATGGCACTCTCGCCAATGACGGCGAGCAAACTAACAATATCCAGACTCCAGTCATCGCGGTTCTCGGGGAATCTGAGCATCTTGCTGGTTTGTGTCGATTGGTCGATTCAGCCTGCTCGTTTTTGTGGAGGATATCAGGCAGACAGTGGCTGTCTCTGTTGGCTCGAGAGACACGGGCTTTGAAGACGTCTTGGACGTCAAGTAATTTAACACATCGTAGTTTAACCCACTATTGACGCCCCGAGGATAGATTGAACAACTAGAAACCGATCTCTTGTTGCCAAAATTCCCCATGCGGGCGGCTGATAGAAGGCGGGCGCTCGGTTGTGCCGCCTTGCAGCCTTGCATCCCGTGCACTCCAGAGCTTCTGGAATGCAACAAATGCAACAAATTAGCCTATCAAAACTTGTCGGGTCTGTTGGGACCCGCTGGGCGTGGCTAGTTTAGTGCAAGAAACGGCCCGTGTACGAAGGCCAATGGCCAGAAAAGGAGTGGTGTGCGGATTCAAAGGCATCCCATCCGCCGCAGTCAGTCACAGCCACGCGCCAGTGGAGGCCGCTATTGGAGACAGGAGAGATCCGAGATGGATTTCAGCCACTTCTTGAAATCCGTCGTGGATTTTGTTGACAATTCGACCACCGGTGACAGAATCTTCCAACACAAAAGAACGAAGAAAGGAATCCTCATCACGAAACGCCAGCGGGGGGGGATGAAACCAGCGGAATAAAGATTGCTTTAAGTAAATGGATAGAACAAAGCACCGCCTCACTGAGCATTCGATGCTCAATTTCATGATCTATATATTCCCGAGGTGCTCACAGTTAACAGAGTCGTAATATTATTGAAACGGGGAACAAGCATCTCAGGGTGTAGAATCGAAACTCCCCAGCATATCGAAGATCTCAACCCTCAGAAAGGAAATGGTCCACCTCCAATGGATACAGGAAACTTTTTCCTACAACAAAAAAACTCAGAGGAATAAACATTCCTCGACGCACAGCCCAACCTCAACCACCCCGGCGTCAGCAGCAGATTATTTCGAAGCCCTCAACACACTGCAACAGCAAGAACGCGAACTAGCCTTCGATGCCGCCGCCATCGCCAAAGCGTCTAAAAGCGAGAAAGATGCAGCTTCAGTTCTAGAAGCGATCCGCGGCCAGGAGCGGAGGAGATATCTGGCATCGGGCGCCTCGGACTATTTTCTCGCGAATACTGGCCTGATCAATCATGGTAGTGACTTGATGCAAGTAGCCCAAAGGCTGCCCAAGGGTGCGCATCTGCACTGCCATTTCAACACTATCCTTCATCCTTCATTCCTTGTCTCCCAAGCGCGCAATATCAAATGCATGTTCATCCGGAGCACGTTGTCTTTGAATGCACAGCTTGGTAATTTGAACAATACAGCCATAACATTTTCTGTCCTACGGGATTCGACTAAGGGAGCAGATATTTTCGACACAAATTACAAACCTTTGGCTTGGATGAGATATTCCAAGTTTCTAGAGGATTTTCCTGGGGGCGCGGAAAGGGCGGAGGAATGGCTGGTGAATAAACTGCTTATTTCGCCGGAGGATGCCCACGGGATGGATCAAACTTTAGATGGGTATGATTACATCCTTATTTTCCCCCTTTATATATGACCAGAACTCTCTTACTAAAAATCCACATGTAGTGTTTGGGATCTATTCAATCGCAGCACACAGATGATGAAGGGGCTGTTCAATTATGAATCTGCGTTCCGAAACTATATAGGAAAAGCTATTGACAGTTTCGTCGAAGACAACGTTATGTACGCTGAAGTCCGGCCAAACTTCTTCGACAAGTACATTCCAAGCGACGACGGCGAGAGACAATTAGATCACCGTGTTTGGATGCAGATCATCCGGGACGAAGTTAAGGCTAAAATCAAGCAACTCGATGCAGACGGCAAAGGCGCTGGCCGTTTCAAGGGCTTGAAAGTAATCTACTGCGCTCCACGCTCTATTAAAAATGAGGACATGACCTGGTGTCTCAAAGATTGCATCTCGTTAAAGCAGGAATTTCCAGAATTGATCTGCGGTTCGTGATTTTCATCCCCCATTTTTTCCCACCCACAAAAGCGTTGTCGCCATTTAACTAAAATCCCCCTACCCAAATAGGATTCGATATGGTCGGCTGCGAAGGCCGAGGCAACCCAATCCGACACTACATCTCCGAACTCCTGCAGTTTAAAGCTGCGTGCACCGCACTCGACTTGGACATCCCGTTCATCTTCCACGCGGGGGAGACGCTTGAGAGCCAAGGACCAACAGACAACAACCTCTACGATGCCATTCTGCTTGGCTCCAAACGCATCGGCCACGGTTTCTCGATGCCGCAACACCCGCTACTCATGCAGCTATGTCGTGATCGTGGCATTGCGCTAGAGGTCTGCCCTATCTCCAATGAGGTCCTTCACCTATGCGCGTCCATGAAGGGCCATGTGTTACCAACGCTTCTGGCAAATTCGGTGCCATGTACGATTAATAGTGATAATCCGGCGTATTTTGGGTGAGTCCTTCAGACATGCTTTACTTTTGAAGACCCTTGTGTGTGTGTGTGTGTGTAGATCGCGTGGCTAAGCCAATTTTCTTCTCGAACGATAAGCTCTTCACTCTCACACGATTTTTACCAAACCATCCTACACCACGACTCCATGACGCTTTTTGGCTGGCGTGTTCTGGCCGAGTGGAGCATTGAACATTCATGCATGGATGCAGAGCAGAGGGCTGATGCATTTAGGACGTGGGAGGCTAATTGGGCGAAGTTTTGCCAATGGATCGTTGAGGAATTTGGACCGGAGTATTTGAGCTTTCCGGTCTCCACGGGAGTGAGAAATCCGAATTGACCGATCTTTAGTTATCAATGGTTGGGAATCTAGAAACGGGGGGAGGGATTGTTCGCCATATATAGATGATACCGGGTGGCATACTGGTGGAGCTGGTGTTAGGTGGGCGTGGGAGTTTGGCCCTTTTTCCTGTTTTCTTTTACCATATATACCCCCTTTTATGAAGCCTTAGTCTACGTTTACGTTATTTCAATTACGATTCGAATGAATCTCAATGTCCTGGATTTTGTTTCGCTCGTTACGGGGACGGGCAATTTATTCTTGCGATTCTCTCTTCACAAACCATAAAACATAGGGACAGCCTGATTTTCAAAAGTAGGATAAATTCCGTATAATTACAAGGTATTAATGTAATATCAAGATCAGTAGGGTATCTATAGAAATCATTTGCTGTATGGTGATTATTTGGGGAAGTGGTATAATACGTAGATACAGAAACCCAAACGCCGATGCTTCCATGCAATGAGGACGGTAAGAGACACCACCCTAGTTGAGAAAATCGCCGAATCAACAACCCAACCTTTTTCTTGTGGCCCAGCATATGGACACTCACCGAATTTCAATCCTCTCATACCCCAATTCCTGACTTTTTTCTAAAAATTCACCTTCCATCATTCCATGAATATACGACTCGCCCACAAGGGTAGAACAACCCCTTCCACCACCATCGCTGCCAACACCAGCACTAACATCCATCTCTCTAAGGATAAACGGTGTAAACCCTCCACCCAAAACTGCTACCTTATCTCCAACCTTCACCCTCGTCTTTCCCTTCGGCCCGATCCCCATATACCCCTTGCGCGTGGTGAAAAAGGCCCGATCATAGAGCGTCCGGCGTAATTCGAGTAAATACAGGTCCCATTTCTCTGTGGGGTCCGGCTTGAGGAGGTGTTCGAGGTCATTGAAGAGGCCTTCTTGGACAATGGGTATATCCACGGTTGTCATGCGGTCGCGGAGCAGGTAGAAGAAATAGCGTTCCGCCTCGTCCAGCGCCGGGCGCACGTTGGCGTTGTTGGCGATTAAAGTGCGGTAGAGAGCTTCGTTGTGCGATTGGTTTGTAGTGGTGTAGCTGGTAGTTGTCGTTCTTGCTTTCATGATATTTATGAGATTGCGAAGGATGAAGCGTTCGTTGGCCGTGGTTACGACTTCGGACGCATAGCTTATTGTGTCAAAGATGTTGCCGTTGACGAACAGGGAGGTGTCTGTGCAGTGGATGTCGCCTTTTATGAGTTGGCTTAGCCGGTCACTTTGGCGTATTAGAGGGTGGAGAGGTTTTGTGTTGGCTGACCAGTCGGGAACCCACGACGGCATATCTTGGCGCTCTCGGGCATTTGGCGGGTATTCGTTTGTGAGAAGCTTGAGGTTTTGTTCTTCCATGAAGATGTATGCAGCTGTTTCACGATATACGTGTTCGACTGGCTTTGTGTAGTCCGCTTTTATTTTCTTCGGTTGCCTATCGATGGGTGAGGTATGGTTGCCACACATGAGACCAAGTAGCGCAAACACTTTGTCGCGGGGGTCTAAGGCTTTCGAGGCGCGGAAATGGCGGAGGAGAGTGCGCAGGCGCAGGTCACGCTTCTCAAACCTCCGCTCAATGCGCCGTATAAGAGCGATGAGGAATAGTGTTGAGGGCTGAGGCTCCCGGAATGCTCGAAACTCATCTTGGACAATGTGATTTGCAGCTCGATGGAAGGAAGTCCAGTCCACTATCCACCCCCCGCATATCACAGAGGCAGCTTTGGAGACGATGATCTCTTGTATGATCCAGGTCCGTTTGAAGTACGGTCGAGTGAATACATCGATGATGGAGTTCCATAGGGCTTTATTGGACGGATCCAAGAGTTGGTTTGCATGGGGCTCCGCCGTAGAACGGGGCGGCATAGGTGGAGGTTTGTCGTCCTGTGATCCCTGCGCAGCCCAATTCTCTGCCAATGCCGGAATAATCTCAAAGGCCGCACCTGTATGTTCCTTCTCCTCTCCAATCCAAATTAACGCCCTGTGAGCATTTCGATAGATGTCCCTCATCAGCGAAACCTGATGAGAGCGCTCCTGGCTATTATCCTGATCAATGCAGATGGCGTCTACCCATATCAATCTCCTCCGGTTCGTATATCGCAGACGTTTTAGCCCTGCTCTCAGGTTGGCGGACAGACGAAATTCTTGCGAGCCACATTTTACTGGTCTCAAACCCAAGTTCCCTGCCCATTCGTATGATAAAGCTTCGTAGGCGGGGGCGTTTTGCAGGGTCGTATGTTGTAAATTTAGCTGTAGGTTGTCGTTGCTCTGGCCTGGTAGGATCTCCGCTAGCCGTATCGAGTCGCTCTGTTCCAAAGCTGTATGGTTATAAGGCCGGCGTGTAGGCAAAGACATGCATACAGCATGTTGACTTTTAGCTGAACAGAGGAAGCGGGCGGGGACAACACGAAGTTCATGCAAGGCCAACATATCTCGTTTGTCTGCACCCTCCTGTAAATACTGCAACTATGAGAACATTAGTAAATTAGAATTAATTGTTATTAGGGGGCATGGTTGTGTAGTAGCTGGCGCTTCTTCAACGACTGTGTTTGTCCAATCTGAATTGGAGGGAGAGCGCCTGAAGTAACTATTTGGGAAACAGGAGCGGTATTATAAGTTAATCTTTCTAAGATGCTTCTTCTCCAGTGCAATGAATGCCTCAAATCCTAGCCATTACGCTCCCGGGAGACGAAAACCGCATTGGCAGATGGAGCGAAACCCCCAGGGCTTTAAATAGGACCGATTGAAAGAGCCTCAAGGAGGCAATAAATAGCTTCCAGCCTTGCACATAGCCCCCTGTCGGAGCTCCAAATAAAAATAAATGCCCCGCAGCTCCCAATTACGAGCCTAGGCTTTGCAAAAGGAAGTTGAGCTATCTGAAATTTCAGGTTAAGCTGCCCCCATGTTTCCGCTGCTGGGGGGGAACCCATTAGTTACTACTTACTATAAATAGGTTAATAATATTTAATTGGTGAACGGCTTATGCAAAAGCCAGGGAGCCCCAAACCAGCATCAGCTATTTATTTAGGCTAGTTCAATTGTTCTTGCAGACTTGCGCCAAGTCATTTCGACAGGCCATGATTGCAAGCCGCGGTTGGTTTGTTCTTGAGCAGATTTGTTGATAATAATTGGAGGAACATTTTCAGAATGAGTACATCCGTACAGAGTAGTGCGGATATCCTGGTATTATAACCTCAACGAGACCCATCTGGACAAGCCAAGTGATGAACAGAGCAGAACAGGAAACTGCTTAGGAATAAAGGATCTCTGGTGGTCATTTGTGAGCGGCTTCATCTTCTTCCCCAATCCCAAGTTTCGCTGGATTTCAACTGTGTCTAGGTGTTGGCTGCACTCTCCTCCTCCTCCTCCTCCTCCTCCTCTCTCACAGTTCTTTCAATCTGCAATTTGTGCTTTTTGTCAATAATCATCACTTTTCTAACGATCTCCAGGATGACCTGGGGATTTGTTTTCAATATTCAAACACTGCAGAATGGCGAAACAACATGGGATGCGAAGCCCTCCTTTGCCACGTGGATATCCTCAAATGAATATACTCAATTGAGTAAACTCTGCTCAGGCTTGCAGCTAGGATAGCATGGTGTTCTACACCTTTGTCAAATTCCAGGTAAGCCGATTTGGGTCCTCAGGATGGAAACCACAGGTTGAAGCCATGGTTGGTGCTGAAATGAATGCTGGGGGCGGCGGACCAGTTTGTTTCATGTTGTGTAAATAAATATCACTCAAGCTGTCATTCTGGTCATCCCGCCAACGAGCTTCAACAGTGAATATGTTTGCTGCAGGTATTGAATGAAGTCGGTGATGGGCCCACATTGTGGCTGTGAACAGTGAGTGAGTGCTTTGGATATTGATATTTGTGGAGATAGCACCGCAATAGTTAAATGTAACTTACTGTTGTCAGTGCGGAATAAACCGATCTCGAATTGAAGGTATGAATAACTATGTAGACACCTAACAAGCACATATCTATAGTCCGTAGATGGGCGTTCGTTGAAATACGTCATTGCATGATGCCGTAGAGGTAGATTCTGTTTTCTCAACGGAGGGATATTATATTATATATATATATATATATATATGAGCAATTTATACTATAATAATATTTATCAAAAGACACTTTACAAGCCAACTTCTACAGCATTCAGTTGCCACTTACATCCATGAATAGCGCGCGATATAACGTATAGCTGCCGCATGTGTACTTGAAGATATAAATTACCAACTGATATATCTCAGAATGCCATCGTGACAGTGTAGAATATTATTTAATATCAGAAGTGGCTTGCGACTCAAATACTGCCGGAACAAGGCGTTCGTTCTCCCACCAGCAGCGGCTTAAATATTTAAATATTTCCGTGTATTTATTCAAGTCACCATTTCTGCGTTGTGAATAGAGGTAACTAAGTATTTAAACTAACTATTATAACAAGGTTCACACTTATTAAGTTGATATGATAAATATGATATTTAAATGTCGGATATTAGACTTCGCTGTTAAATACAAGAAGAATTCCCGCCACTCAGCCCTGTGACACTGATCTGGCTGCAGGAGAAACGATATTTTAAGTCGACTATTTATTTAAATCAATACAATCAAAAATAATAAAAAAAAAAGTGAAATAAAAAAGCAACATCCACACCAACTACTCTCCACCTATTTATCTATCCCCGGTCTCGCTCCAACCAGCAACATCTGTTCACAACACAGTGTCTACCTGTTTGTTTTTTGATTCTGTGTCTTGAATTTTCGGGCCCCAAGAGGCACAAGCCGCACTTTGCCATTGCCCCGGCGATATCCTGCCCGCAAATAATGGACAACGTGAGTGCTTTCCCTGGATCCTTTCTCTTCATCTGTATATTTATAATAACTACACCATGCCGTATCAAACCTCCTCCCCCGGTCTTCAACCACCAGCCTTAGCCACTATGGGCGACCATGATGGAAATACGACTGACATGCCCTCGTTAATGGATAATCTGCAGCTTACGGATAATGATATGATTGTTGATGGCTACGACCAGTACGGTAATGACCGCTCTGATGTCGTCGTCGTTTCACCCCCGGGATCCGCCAGTGAGCCCGAACCGGAGCCTCTGGCTAACGACTGTATGTTTTTGCTCTCCCTTCCCTTTCTTTCTCCCTTTCTTTGCTCCTCTCTTTCCTCCATGGCAATACGAATTATCCAAGCCCTCGTCTCTACCGCGTACGGTGCCTTATCGATTGCGATGCCCCGCTTGACCTTGCTGCAAACCTCTTGTCGGCAGCCCGCCACCCGCCGCACACCGACACGCAGCCCCCCCTCCTCTGCCATAATGGATCCTGTGATGGAGTGTCATGTTCTTTGGGTTGGTCTATATTCTAACAAACCATCCTGTTTGTAGATGAGGCGATGATGGCAAAGGTGCTACCCGAGAATCCGGATTTAGAAACAGAAGCCCAGACATATCACACATGGAACATCGAGAACTGGACAAAAATGCGGCGAAAGGAACATGGTCCGGTTTTTGAATGCGGAGGAGCTCCATGGTGCGTTTTTCCTGATGATTCCAGTCCCCAACCCGTTATGCGATCGTTTACGAAGTGAGAGCTTGCTTTCTAATCCCCGGGAATTTTAGGCGGGTTCTGTTTTTCCCATTCGGAAACGGCGTCGAACATGCATCGTTCTATCTCGAACACGGCTATGAGAAGTCACCTCCGGATGGTTGGTATGCTTGTGTACAGTTTGCGTTGGTCCTATGGAATAAAAACGATCCTTCCCTGTATATTACACATGGTATGCAGCTCCTTTTCTACCTCCAAAATAAGATATATCAACTAACACCTGGACCCCGGCTATCTTTCGGCTCTCTAGTCGCACACCACCGCTTCAACGCAGAAGAGGCAGACTGGGGTTTTACACGGTTTTGCGAACTGCGGAAACTATTCCAGCAGTCTTTCAACGAGAAAGGTACTCCCTTGGTAGAAAATGAGGCCGCCAACCTTACCGCATACGTCCGCGTTGTAAAGGATCCAACAGGGGTTTTATGGCATAGTTTCCAAAAGTCTGTATATCGCGTCCTGCCACTTCAACTCTACCCAGCTAACAACCCACTGCAGTTATGACTCGAAGAAGGAAACTGGGATGGTTGGGCTCAGAAACCAGGGCGCCACCTGCTATCTAAATTCATTACTACAGTCCTTATTTTTCACAAACTCGTTCCGAAAGGTGAGACTCCATCTGGCCCCGTGCTAACAACATCCGCTGAATCCGAGGTGGTAGGCCGTGTATCAAATACCCACGGAGCAAGACGCCAATAAGTCAAATTCCGCGTGGACCCTTCAACGACTATTTTACCATCTCCAAACTAGCGATCTTCCAGTGTCGACAGCCGAACTCACATCCTCCTTCGGCTGGGAATCGAGACATACCTTTGAACAACAGGATGTCCAAGAGCTTTCAAGATTATTGATGGACAAACTGGAAGGACAAATGAAGGGCACTCCTGCTGAAAAAGCACTCCCTTCACTTTTCGTTGGAAAGACAAAGACGTATATATCTTGCATTCACGTTGACTATGAGTCGTCCAGAATAGAGGACTTTTGGGATATCCAGCTGAACGTTCGGGGTAACCGGACGCTTGATGACAGCTTCAAAGATTATATTCAGGTGGAAACATTGGAAGGCGAGAACAAGTATGATGCTGGAGAGCCTTATAAACTTCAAGAGGCAAAAAAGGGCGTGATATTCGAGAGCTTCCCTCCCGTTCTTCACCTGCACCTCAAACGATTTGAATATGACATCAACCGAGACGCGATGATGAAAATCAATGACAGGCTTGAATTCCCAGAGGAGTTTGACGCGGCACCGTACCTTTCCGAGGATGCGGATAAATCGGAACCTTGGATCTATCAACTTCACGGCGTTCTTGTACATAGCGGTGACTTCAATGCTGGGCACTACTATGCATATCTACGTCCAACAAAGGATAGTGTGTTTTATAGGTTTGACGACGACAAAGTTATTCGCTCAACCATGAAAGAGACCTTAGAAGAAAATTTCGGTGGAGAATATCCCAACCTCGCTAATGGGACGGCCGGAGTCAGACAGCCATATATGCGAGGCTACTCCACAAAGCGCTCAATGAACGCGTACATGCTGGTTTACATCAGGAAATCTCGAGTGGATGAGGTCCTCGTTGATTTGAAGAAAGATGACGTACCTGCACACCTCGGTACGTCGTTCTATTGTGTATTCCTTTTTGCCAATAAATTAAAAAATTATCCAAATCTACGATTGCTAACCCCGTCTAAATCATAATAGAAAAGCGCCTTAATGAAGAACGTGCTGAATTAGCGCGGAAGAAAAAGGAGCGAGAGGAACAGCATCTTTATATGAACGTTGGGTTGTTAACCGATGAGTCCTTCAAGTCTCATCACGGATTCGATTTGACCAGCCTGGATTTGGAGCCTAATAATCCCGCAGCTGCCAAAATGTACCGTGTCCTCAGGACCAAAACGGTTGGCGAGTTTGCGGCTGAGATTGCCGATGAAAGAGGATTGAAGCCAGAGCATATCAGGCTGTGGGTAATGGTTAACCGTCAAAATAAAACTACTCGCCCTGATCAACCCTTGAAGGATCTCGATATGTCTGTTGAGGAGGCATTCGATCGGTTTGGCACCAAGGGAAACCAGTTCGGCTTGTTTGTTGAAGAAGGAGAAATCGCAGCGGATGGAAAAACAACTTGGCCGGAAACACAAGGCAGTAATGCGACAAGCCTTGTCTTCCTGAAGCATTTTGATGTTCTCCAGCAAACTCTAACTGGAGTTGGTCATGTTTTTGTTCGAAAGCACTCGAAAGTGTCAGAACTGGCTGGCCCAATACTGGATATTATGAATTGGCCGGCAGGAACCCCATTCCTATTATATGAGGTATGTGTTTATTTCCCACATTCCACGACTCGTAGGGCTTACCAGAACAACTAGGAAATCAAACACTCCATGATCGAGCCAATGAAGTCTAAACAGACGTTCCACCAGTCGGAAATACAGGACGGTGATATCATCTGCTTCCAACGCCAAGTCAGCGATTCTGAGTATGAATAACCCTGAATATTCATTTTTCCTTCTTTTCTTATTTATAAATGCTAATTCCTCACGTAGACTCCCTCCTACTGTCCTGTACACAGACGCCAGACAATACTATGACTACCTCCTCAATCGAATCTCAGTCAAATTCGCTCCCCTAAAGCCGGATGATAGCGTAACTTTCGATTTGACACTCAGCCGCAAAATGACATACGAGCAATGGACAACGAAAGTTGGAGAACATTTGAATGTCGACCCGACTCATATACGATTTGCGCCTGTGCTACAGAACAGTGGAAAACCCAAGCCGTTCATTAAGCGAAATGCGCCACAAAATCTCCAACAGATACTCACCGGCCAGTATTCAAGTTACGGATACGCCCCGCATCGACCAGATGCCCTTTATTACGAAGTTTTGGAAACCAGTCTAAGCGAATATGAAACGAAGAAAATAATAAAGGTCACTTGGCTACCAGATGGCGTTGCCAAAGAGGTTTGTTTTTCTTCCCCTTCAATTGATTAACCGTTCATGTTCTGGCTGTCTGACAAACTCTATCTGGTGCAGCAACCATTTGATGTTCTCGTCGCTAGGAACGGCACCATTGGTGACCTCGTCTTGAGCTTCAAGAAGAGGGCCAATCTCGATGAGGAGACGTCCCAAAATCTGCGTGTTTATGAAGTCTATGGCGGCAAGGTGTTGAAAGAAATCCCTGAACACTTCTCCATTCTCAGCCTCTCAGACTATGTGATCCTCTACATCGAGAGGATACCACAGGAGGAACTTGAGATGCAAGAAGGTGAATTCACGCTTGACTGTTTCCACTTCGATAAGGATCCCAACAAGCCGCATGGTATCCCGTTTAGATTTGTTGTGAAGCCGGTACGGATATATCCATGTTTTTCAGAGCCCAGATACCGCTCTCCAACCCTCTTGCACACCATGAAAATACATTGCTAACCATACTTACACTTTATAGGGCGAGATCTTCAAGCAGACAAAGGAACGGCTCTCGAAACGAACAGGTTTTCGAGGCAAGCAGCTTGAGAAGATCAAGTTTGCCATGGCCATACGTCAGGGATTCTGTGTCCCAAGATATCTTGAAGATGGTACGTCGTCTCCTTTAGAAGTTCATTCATCCTTTCCTTTTTCTTCTCCAACGGGTTGGACACTGTCAACCCTGATGCCGTATTATTTTTCTGTCGCTAACCTGTTTCTCTTTTTCACTATGGTCCGTTTTACAGACGATATTCTGGCAGATCTAGTTACCGAGCCACAAGAAACGCTCGCGCTGGATTATGTAAATAAGAACAGAAGCTTCTGGAGAAGTGAAAGTTTCTTTATTCGATAGACGCATGATTGAAAATGGGCCAGGCGTTTGATGTTACTTTTATTTTATTTTACTTTATTTTATTTCGATTCTTGTCTTCGTTTTTCGCGCTATATGGTGGTTTTATCCTCTATAATTTCGACCTGTTTCCATTCCTATTTCTCTTCTTTTTTCACTCTCCCCGTATTTCTTCATCCCAATATTTCTTACTTCTTCCTTCTTCTCGTTCGTACGGAGGTAGTTGCTTTCCGCCCTTCTTTTTTCAATCTCGACATAATTTCTCTATATCAAAAACTGAGATAAGAACTGTTGTATTGCAGTACTTGCTATGTCCGAGAATATTTTAACCGAAAACAGGGGCCTTTACGCCTCGCGTTCTCATACGAATGCGAAGATATAAAATTTATTTAGTTAGATGACAGTAGAGGACGCAAATGACAAATGAGCCAGATCTGGATTTCCGCAATCATCCTAATGGAACTCCGGACTGTCTTATCCGTTTCATGCTCCGTGCTGTTTTTCTGGCTCATGAGCCTGAACATGAATGTCAGTGTTTGGGGTAGAGGGATGTGTTGGAGCTGGACCTGAATGATAAGGAACATTATTGGTTTCGAATTGCGCATCTTCTTGATATCAACCTTTTTTTTTGGGTCGTAATATGTTGCTTATGTCACAGATAACTGAGTTAACTAAGTATGCAAACAGTGCAAACAAACCCCCTGTTCGGGCCAAATGGCCAAATGGAACAACAAAGCTACCTGTCGACATTTATTTATTTATTACTCTTCACCATCTACAAACGACTAACTCTCAATCCCACGACATCGCACGAGGCCCGGCCCATTGTAACAATGCGGTTACATACAGTTGCACTCAGCCTGCTGGCCTACGGGTTCACCCTCGTCTCCGCAACTGCCCTCACATACAAGCTCGATGCGAGTGAGAAGGCCTGCTTCTATTCGTATGTCAATGAGCCGCCGGCGAAGATTGCATTTTATTTTGCGGTTAGTATACATTCGACAGCTTTTTAAAAATGGTGTCTGGGATAAAGGGGAATTTTGGGTCATTGGGTTTTGAATCGTTAGCTTGTCGTAGCAAATGTGCATCATATGAACTGCCGACTAACTTCTGTGTGATATTTTCTTTTCTTTTATAGGTACAATCTGGCGGTTCCTTCGATGTCGATTACTCAGTGGTTGGTCCTGGCGAGAGGGTAATTGTCGACGGACACAGAGAGAGACAGGGCGACTTTGTCTTCAGCGCAGATACCGCAGGCGAGTACCGGTTCTGCTTTGACAATGAGATGTCAACTTTTGCGGAGAAGATGGTGGACTTTGAGATTGCGGTATGTTTTTTGTTCCCCGCATCTTTCACACTATGTATGCGTGTAAGAGCTTGCTGGACCTTGTTATACCTAACCGTCATGCGCTTCGTTTTTCCCTTGCTACAGGTCGAGAATGAAGAAAAGACCAAACTCCCGGCGAAGCAGGGGGCGCCTCCCGAACAAGCGTCTGCACTCGAAGAATCCATCTTTAAGATCTCAGGCCAGCTGGCGACAATCAGTCGAAACCAGAAGTACTTCCGAACGCGCGAGAACCGCAATTTCAGCACTGTCCGCAGTACCGAGCAGCGAATTTTCAAATTTAGCGTTATCGAGGGTTTGATGATGATGACAATGGCCGGATTGCAGGTGTTTATTGTTCGGTTCTTTTTCCAGGGCGCGAGGAAAGGTATGCCCTTTCGTCTTCTACTACTTCTCCCTTCTTTCAATGGCTTCAAAGGATTATCTCCCCAAAGTAGTGAGCCATTGTCATTCTTTTTCCAAATATAGAATTGCTAATACTCGATATTTGTTGCTTCTCTTTAGGCTACGTATGATAAAGCGGCTATCGGCGGGGATCTTTTTTCTTTCTTGTTTGAATTGACTTTACATTCAGCGACAGGACGACATGGGCTTTTCTTATATTAATTTATGGTATAAATGAGAATGAATTTGTTCATATTCATATATTATTGATAGTTCGGCTGGCACGCAGAATCTGTTATAATGATAGAGCCTCATTTAGTTTATAAGGGTCTCTACTACTTTTATTATACCTGTCCGATTAAATCCTCGTTGCAATTGTCATGTGTGTGTTGGCTAGTTATTTATTTATATATTTTACTCTTAAATTACCGTACAGGCAAGCTGGATTTTCCATTTCTGTGGCATTGTGCAACCTTCTCCCTCCCTGCATGTGAAGATCGAGATTTATTCTACTCCGTTAACATCATGAATGGATCATTGTGGCGCAGCAATATAATCACGTGATAGTGTGTTGAGGCTGGATAATGATGTCATGATGAGGTCGCCTCATCGACTGCAAACCAACCTCACCTTGAATGTTCAGGTGGTGACCAGTTGTGACTATCAAAAAAGGCCAACAATGCATATCCTATCCACTAGTTACCTGGCTAATAGACATTACATTTTTTATTATGGGTTCAAGACTCCAATTCCAATTGTCATTGTGGTGAGTGTGGGTCTTTGGATAGAGTCGAAACCAGAATGTCAATCTTGCAGGCGGCTAATCATATATAATGTAGGATCACAAGTGCTCTCTTTTGCCAAGGGTAGTTTGTTATATACGTTAACCTTGAAGCCTCTCCACCGCGCGGGTCTTAGGGTTTTTAGCTACTATAACGCGTTCTATAGCAATGAATAGCACGTGGCGAGGCCTTTGACCGCCATCCTGCAGTTTGGTTGCATACGAGACTACTTGCCCCGCAAGAAGATCAGATAACAGGATATTCAACGAACTGGGTTACATACTTCCGTTCCTGGACGTCATACTTGTGGAGGCCAACATATCCTTGACCTCCGCACACTTGGCATTTTATCACTGTTGGTCTCCTGCCTGCATGGTGTGGAAGGTGTAAAGCTTGTCACCGCCATGGTTTAGCTGGTACCTTGTGCAGATATTTTCCCTCTGCCTGTAGTGATATCACTTCTTCATTCCTCATTCCTCATTCCTCATTTCTCATTTCCTTTTTTCTTATACCCTACGATATTTTCGCTTAGGTCTTTTCCATTGATACCCTGACGCCCAGCCATTTCATAACCTACTTCATGCTCTACCTGCTTTTTGTGGGCCATACTTCCGGCATTTATCCACGCACTGGATATTCCGGTGAAGCATATTCTTAGCTTTTTCGCCTTATGCAGGATTTCTTATTTTGAGGCCTTATTATAAGAGCAGGATGACCTGGCTAAATTCTCTCCAGCGCCACTCCCAACCTATTGGGCTTGTGTGGAAGTTGGAGGGACTATCATTTATGGCCTTTCTCAACCCCTTAAACAATAACCATCCACAACAGCTTCCCGGCTTATAGTGCTGCATTTCTCTTATATGTTACTTATTGATCTTGGACTATTTGGCCCTGATGCTTCTATATTCAGTAAAAGAACCAAAATCTCACAAATCACAAAGCATCTAACAGCACCTATTTCCATTCTCTCCCGCAACCTCCCCCCCCCCCCCCAACTATCCATCCTTTTTCATATGCAGGATTATAGGCGCTCGGCTATGGCAGGATCACATCCTGGCTCGACGGAGCGTCATCGACAATCTCCTGGGCGCCAAGATGACGCTCCCTCCTCCATCATGACCTCCGACTCGCTCCACGAGGCACAAACGTTGGAGGATTACTCTAGAATTATGCACCGGCATACACAGCGGCAGAACGAAAGGCTTCCATCAGTAGTTGGCCAAGACGGCAGCGATCGAAACGGGGACACTGGCCGCTCGCCGCGGGTCAGTCAACACAACAAAGAACAGTCAAATCTGTCATCTTGATAGGCGGGGGAACCATTAAATTTGAAATTACGGAAAGAAGAAAACGTCCCATCCGGGAGATGATGGCATTGGATATGTCTTCATCAATTTATTTGGGCATGCTTTTTCTTTACCTTCATACATCACGCACATTGACGTCTTCGTTTGCATGTCATCGCTGTCTTTTACCCTACCTAGGGAATGCTCGATTTCTAAAGGGCTTCAAAACGCGTTAGCCCTCTGCACCTAGTCCCATCCAACATTGGTAGATGGAGCAATGTGTACAAGGTATTGGTTACGCGCACATGAGATTGCGTTGCAGATCTATGACCAACTTCGTCCGCTTTCTTTTCTTTCTTTCTTTTTCCTTTTTCCTTTTTTTTTTTTTTTTTTTTTTTTGTATTGACATTGACGCTGGGCACATATTTCCAATTTGGGGTTCTTACAGCGTTATCTACAAATTTCTCTAAAAGAAACATGTAGCGATCTACCATCTATTTCATTTGGCTTCGAATTTCAGATCATCGCTTAGGGCCTTATATACTATAGTCTGATTTAAATATGCTTTGTTTTCTACTCTACCGTTTATATTCGTATTCCGTTTCCACCAACGATGGAGTACGTACATATTTATAATGTCATCCGAAGGGCGCGACCATATTTACATGGAGTCCTAGTGATATGCAAATTGTTCCTCATATAAATGGCAGAGGGTTGACCAATACACCCGCTAAGTTCAAGCTCGCAGATCTAGACGATACTGAATCGCAAAATAGGAGACAGTAAATCTTGCCCATCATCCAGGTAAGAGTCACCAATAATGCTTGAAAAGCATTACATGTGAGCAAAAACATCATTCCCATCCTACCGCATCTCCTAATCCGTTTGCCAAAAGTCATACATTCCTGAAACCCAATCAATATCGACGACGATCTCGTATCCTGCATTCCCTTCCACACACTAGGAAAAACCACAATAGTAGGACTCATCTGCTCACCTCATCGACGCTACTGCCCACAGCCGGAAAATTCCCTTGATGTGACGTCATTGAGGCCACATGCAAGTAATAAGCATGCATCACTCAATTTTGGCAATCTTCCTCAGCGGGACAACAACCCGATTGTAAAATTCCAATGCTGGGTGCCAATCAGTAAAACCCTCAGTTGCAGTAGCGGCAGCAACGGTATCAGCCGCAGCGTTCTTGCATATTGTGCTATCGACGACATCATTGTGCTGATCAGCGTACTCCAAACACCATTTTACAACATCAAAATATGGGGTGCCAACGCGGAACGCCAACTCACGGTCCGCTCGCGAGATCACACGTCGTCGAAGCTCTAGCGCTTCCGGCCGCTGGAAACGTTTCATACTGGAGGAAAGCTGTACCGCAGTAGCGGGGTTGCTAATAGCTAGAGTGGTAGTGGTGGAGGACCGGATTTGTGTCGATGACGATATCGACGCTGGAGCGGACTCAATGGGCACCTTCGCATCTAGGAAAGACGAAAGAGGTACCCACCACGCGATCTCTGACAGAACCAGCCCAAACGAGTAGATATCGTAATCAATCCGGTATCCCTGGGCCGCCTCACCCTGGTAGTTCGGGTGCCTGTAGATCACTGGCCTGATGTCGTCATGGAACTGGTTTTTGTCAATTGTTTGTGTCTCCGTCTCCTGGCGGGAGTAATGGAAACCTGCAACGAGCGGTGACAAGAGCAAGCTAGAGTTGATACCGGGCGACAATGGTTCCCTTTTGCTGTTCGACTTCCCTCCATACAGGGCTGGAAAGACGATATTTTCACTTCGTATATTCTTGTGCAGCCAACCGCTGCCGTAGAGCTCGGACAACGTAATGGCGAGCTTGCTGGCGAGACAAAGTCGCGTTTCTAATGGTGGGCGCAGTTTCGATTCTAGCAGTGCGAGGAGCGATACTGGTTGGGCCAAGACCGCATTCGGGGTAATCATTGGTATGCCCGTGATTGGAAATTTAAAGACTATCCACCAGCAAAGGTTTGCCGGATCGTGAATAAGTCCAATTGCCTGTAAAGTTTGAAAATCTGGAGATTTGTGCGCGCTTAATAAGAGAACGAGACGGTTCACTCTCATTGTTAGAATCTGCTTATCTTGCACGGATATATCACTACCATAGGACTTCTTTTCCAGCAGGACATATTCGCTGGGTTCGATGCTTTTAGCTATGAAACGGCTCTGCCCATGATATCCAGGAGGAATCGAGAAATCGTTCAGCGTCAAGGGGCTGAGAGCTGCCGGGCCGGAGCGTGTCGTTACAGGCCGCCCACCTGCCAGTGCTTTTCGCTCCACCAATGCACGAATTGATGAAGTCTGTGGCTCTTGTCCAAGAGCATCTCGGATCCACTGAAGAGACCCATTGTCATTGGCATTCCCCACAAAGACAATATCAATTCTTTTCCGATCTTCTATTAAAGATCTCTGTTGGGTTTCTGAAAGTAATTGATTGAGCTTTTCGACGTGTGATTCGAGGTCGGTTATCAATTTCTGAAACTGCTTCCTATCCCGAACACCCCATCGCAGTCGTTTTGCCCGCCCGACAGGTCGACCTACCTCAGATGCATAGGACTGTTCATTTCCATTTATTTCTTCACTTTCTCCTCTAACATCGAGTTTAATGCCACTCGCTCGAAGTGATTTTCTCATCTTGGTGATGAATCGCTTCACTTTGTCAGGTTCCAGCGCTTCGGACTGGGAGGCACAAAGTCCATACCTCTCCCGTAGCTCATCCGCATTTTCAAATAGTTGGCCAATCACTTTTAATGTTCTTTCCACGATTTCGTAGACGGGAAGTAAGCCGGGAGAGAGTTCGCCCTCCTCCAGGCCAGCATTTTTGGCCCATGTTTGGAAACGGAAGCGTTCAAGTTCGAGTTGGAGGATTAAGTCTTCTGAATCTGAAGCGTAGTGTAGTGTGTCTTGGAATATGTGCCACGCATGGTCTGCGCCTTGATATGCGAGGAGAGTCAATGCAATAATCGAGCCTGGGTCGAGCATTGTCGTCGGGAACGGAAAATATATATATATAAAATGCCAGACTAGCGCGACCTGCAGTGTTCCGACGACCCTATTTCGACGTCAAACGTTCAACCTCACTTCGCTTCAGTTATTGCATTCAGCTGTATAGATCACATTGTGTGGGAATTGCCAACTCATTTATTAACGTCTTCTATCTATTAGGATGGCATTCAGCCTTCTCTCCGCCAAGGATGAACACGCTTCTTATTTCAGCCTCGTGCTGGCCAGAACAGACTATCTGTGCTGCCACGCTGCGGGGGAAAAAAAAATACACCCTCGAGGGCTTGTCACTGGTGTGGGTTTCACGATTGCATTCGGTGGGCCGGTTCATAAGCGAGATGGCTTGGAGGCGCTTTCATGCGTGGGCTCTTGAGGCTGAATACTCCGTAGAGAGTATGCTTTGGAGGGGTAAGGCCGCATTTTAAAGGTGTCCAATACATATATACATTGAGCGGAAAACGAAGAGGATGGGAGATAAATAGAAGAGGTTGCTGATATCCCATGTGTCGATTTTTGGTGACATTAATTGGGTTTACTGCATCGGGCTATCATGACAACACTACTCTACGAGTCTGCTTTCACGTCCGAGCCTACGGAAGCTTCCGGTTATAGGACGGAGGCGCAGACGTCAGGCTCCTCTCGGGACCCAGAATGGTCGCCTCAGGGAAGTCTTGCATCTTTCATATGCCATGCTTCGCATTTACAGAAAGCACTTCGTACAGATGACTCGATCTTTGTTGATGACAACAACGGAATCAAAGCGTTATCCAGGCAGAAAATAGGATCAGGCGCTTCCTTTATCGTCGAACGTGCTGAATGGATAGCCGGAGTTCATGAGAATGATGTATCCTTGTCCCGACAATTCTCTAAATGGGGGAAGTATATTGCTATCAAGAGCGTCCGCGAAAGGCCCAATTCAAGGTTGGTAGTTGTATTATTTTATTGTATCTTTCGCTTTCATTGACTCTAGATGTTAACATACGACTCCAACCAGTAGTCGGAACAATTGGAGTGATGTGTCCCTTGAACTTCGCGCGTTATTACACAAACCGCTGCGATATCATCCCAACATTGTCCATCTGTTGGGATTCGGATGGGGATCATCTGCGGAATCAGATTCTGCATATCCGAAAGTAATTATCGAATATGCCACATTCGGTTCCTTCCACGATCTCCAAGTCTACAGACCCCCACTGCATTTTGCCATCAAACAGAAACTGTGCCATGATATTGCTCGCGGGCTTGCTATTCTTCACGCATGCGGAATCGTCCACGGCGATCTGAAGCATGAAAATGTTCTTATTTTTGTCAACAAATATGACATCCCTAAAGGGCAGCCATACACTGCAAAATTGGCTGATTTCGGCGGAGCGGTAATGGATATTGACCAGCGTGACTTGTCATATCTTTCGATGGGAACCTACCCGTGCCAGGCACCTGAATCTTCAAACCGACTCTCCGCTGATGGAATAAAGCAGACGGATGTCTACTCCTTCGGACTGTTGGTGTGGAGAGCGTTTATTGACGGAAGAAATATTGCAACGGAATTGGGACTGGATTCTAACCCTACGGAATCGTCTGAGAGACTGCTCCAGCAGCTAAAACTCAACAATGACATCCTTCTAAAGGCCGTATGCAGTACTCAGGTTTATGCTTCAGACCATGGAATCAATGAGAACGCACTGGCATTGATCTTATATGTGCTACTGCAAACAATCGTTGTTGACCCAATGGATAGATCTCTCCCCCGAGCCCAGGCAGCACTGAGAGGTATGCATTTTAGTAAAATTGATTCGTTTCTTCAGGGAGTCGCCGCTGCAAATGACGAAGGAGATAGGATCGAGAGTATGGAGGCACCGGGTTCTCATGGACTAACCGTTGACAATCTTGGCTTCTTCCTTGGGAACTTGGGCAGCGATTATGATTGCCAAAGAAATACTCCAGGCCATCGACCAAAAATATCACCTCCAGATATAGCGGAATTTTTATTTGAACCTGATAAATTAAGGACCATTCTTGACTGGACTCAACAACAACAGATCGTCAGCGACTTCAAGGAGGCTTGCCAGAAAACGAGACCTGGAACCCCCGATGGGCTACAGCCATGGAAAGCTGCATATTATTTGTTCCAATGCAATCTAACGGGATTTGGCGTCACATTTGACGAGAAGCAAGCCTGCCGTTGGCTACATGAATCTGCCAATGTAGATGATAAGGGTGATGTCGACTACTGGGCGATGGCTTGGTTATGGCGTGTTAGCACCGCTCTTTCTGTGCCACCATCTCTTACGCTGGACCAACTGCAAGAGTACATCCGATGGGGCATTATAAGAGGTCATCACAATTGTATGGAGGATGCAAGAGAAATAATAGCGAGACTGACTAGTATAGATGAACGAGAACGATGGGAAATGATGTTGACGGAAGCTGATTGGGCCAGGAGGACCATCGCAGGCGGGGTTGGTATGCCCCATTTTGTCCCTCGAAAATTACGCCGATGCTACAATCTGAATGACACTGTAATCCTTGAAGATCAGATCAAAGACGAACTTGGAACTGCATATAATTCCTGTTTACGGAAGAAAGGTTCACATTCTTCTGCGACCAAGAACGCCGAGTCCCCTCAGGTTGAGAAATCCGAGTTTGATAAAATCTTTGTCAACCACAAGGGCCACGGACTCCTACATCTGGCTGCAACCTTGGGAAAACTGAAAGCACTTAAGTACATGGTTGAGACATATCTGTGCTGCATTGATCTTCCAAATAAATCCATGGCTGAATCTCCCCTTGTATGTGCTTGTCGCAGTGGCCATTTTGACTGTGCCATGTATCTCCTCGATCGCGGCGCTAACGGAGGTGGAACAGAATTTGGTGAAGAAGTACCCCTCCATTGGCTCTGCAGCTTCACTCCTGAGAAGATGACTCCGCTTGCATTAGCATTAGTAGATGCTGGTGCTAATATAGAACATGCTACCGGCACAATGCGAAAGGATGTTAGAATGATAAATGCCGACTGGGAGGACAATTTTGGCATTCCAACAACGCCGCTAGGGAGGGCTGTATTGATGAGAAGTCTTCCTGCAGTGAAGGTTATGCTTGGTCTCGGTGCGAACCCCTTAGCAAAAGTGGGGCATAAAGACAACATTACTGTTAAATCGCCGACTGAACTAGCGGCTGTCCTCACTCTTCCTCACATTCTGGAAGTATTGCTCCTCTACATCGATCAAATGCTTCCGGAGAAAAAGCCCATATTTGACGAGATCGGAATGCTCCAAGCTGCCCATGGAAGATGTATAACTCCATATGATCCGACTACCTTACAAAGTAGGTTGGTCCGTTGCGGTTCTAGGTATAAGCGGGATATGTTTCAAACTCTTCAGATCTTACGCCGAAGGCACGAAAAACTTCGAGATTGGAGAACTCTGGATTTTGGGAAACCGGTCGAGGGCATGCAGTTATGCCAGGAGGTGAGGCTGGGGAATGCCGACATTGTGGAGGCACTGTTGGAATTGGGACAAGATCCAAATGGCTCGCCTGACCATAGACCCATTGAAGAGGCAGTTTTGATGAACCATGAAGCCATATTTCGGCTTCTAGTCAACCGTGGCGCAGGAACGGGAGTAAAACGCACTGTTGGCAATGGAAGACAGTTCTCTTTGCTCCAGCTATCGGCGAGCCGTCCACGAACATCGCGCAATGGAATTTTTGTTGCAGAGTATCTGATCCGATCTGGGATGGCTATCGAGCCATTACCAGATGGAAGTCCTTCAAGTGTAGCGCTTGCGATCAAAAACCGCTACTTTGATCTCTCGGATTTACTTGTGGAGAAAGGTGCTGATATTAACGCATTGTATCAGTTTGATAAGAGGGAAGAGTGGATCACTGTCCTTGGTGAACTTCTTCTGACGCATACGGAGGCCACATTGCAATCAGTGGACTATATCCTTCGGAAGCTAAATGTCAATTCTAATAATGTGAGTGTTTCGGTCATTTTTCTTGCCCAGTAATGGAAACTAAGTATTACCTAGCCCGCCGGTCAAGTGGAATTCATTGTCAACAAAACGCAAAAGCTGAGCGCCCTCCATCTTCTCGCGCTTTGCCCCTCAAACGCGCTAAACGACAGGTCTCAAATTTCAGCCAGGGTTATCCAAGCCGTTCTTGCAGCTTTCCACACTACCGAGTGTATTAACTATGTTCACCCTGTTCTAGGGACTGCGCTTTGTATTGCCAGCATTACAGGACACCTAGAAATGGTGGTTGCGCTTCTAGCCCACAAGGCAGATGCAGAAATCACAATGCGGGTCGATCAGCTAAGCGAAAAGCATATACAAGACCTAGGTTTACCCAGTACGTGGTCCAATCGGGAATTCCAGATTGGGGAGAGTACTCCCTTGCTTCTAGCACAATTTGCCTTTGAAGTACATCTGTCCGAACTCGAAAAATCATCCTCTTTCGAGATCAGTAGCTTATCGAAACTGGATTGCTTCGAGGCCATGGTTCCCCTATTTCAAAGCGCCGGAATATCCGATTCAAATGCAGCCTGGATATCTTTGAGAAACAGAAGGAAGCTCCTCGAGGACCGAATCGGGCTCTGCACCTCGATGGCGCAGTTGAGTCAAATTGACCTTTCAGAGCCTGTGGATCTCTCTGTGCTGACGGATGAAAAGCCGACGAATTGGGAAGAGGGGGATGAAATGAATCAGGAGATGGCGACAAGGACTATGCTGAAATTTATGAGAGGAGGCTTCGATTAAAGTTTTGCCGTTATATGGAGACAGTTGAGTGAGGGACGATCAAGATTGACCGTATGCCACTTCTATATGAAATACGAGCAATGATTCTCGACCTCCTGATTGGCCTCTAGAGTGTAGGCGGCGCATAAATGCGATACGCGTGAGAGAAACCAATAAGCATTGTCCAAGATTCTAAATCATCTACCAGTCAATGTATTTGAATCGAGAGGTTTTTTGTGCTCGTTTCTGTTAGGAGTTCCTGGTGATGTGCTTTCGGAGCTCAGGATAGTTAAAATACCTGCGCAACTTTTCTCCCAACCCAGCTAAAAAGTGCCAGCACTAGTCAGGTTTAGCGCCCGTTTCTCAGCCCTAAATTTTCCTACGCTTAACCAATTGAGCACTTGCGTGGAAGTTAACCAGCCAGTGGAATCGTGGGCGTGCTCTTTGAATACTTACGTCAACATCCTGTAAATTGACCGACCCGGTTTCCCCTTTCGGCTTCAGGATAATTCATTCTAGCGCGGCACAGTGCCGCATGGTGGGGTGGTAGGGAGGAGAAACCATCGTTGAAGGGTAGTTTGAAAAAATCACGGAGAGAGGTCCTTCATTGATAGCATCCTCCCTTGCCAGTTGTACTGAGGACAATGATATGAAATCGACCTACCATGTTCAGATGTTTGGAACTGAGGAGCGAAATTGGACTCAATAAGCATCATGAACATACTTATATGGATATCAAACTCATGCAATTAACCACCTACTCACTATACCGCGGCGCATTATCGAATTCACTATCCTCCCAGCGAAGACTCCAAGACGAATAAAGGAGAAATAATGAGTTGGAGACCACATTAATAACATGATGGAATATGACGAAACTTTCTAGTCTTCTTCCACCGTTCCTCCGCCTTGTATACTCCAGAATTATTATAAAGAGATGTGAGATAAGGAAAATAGGAAACTTAGATGCGACCACTAACTAAGCCCATCTCCACGCATACTCCATGATCCGCGCACACCTATGCGCCTTCGCAACTCCAATCTTCTCTCGCTGCCCATCCTTCCACACCTCCAACTCGCTCACCAAAAACAACGATGCATCAAGCCCACAGCTAATCCCCCCAGAGCTAATAACCCTCGCCCCAAACTGGGGACGGTCGACAGTAACCCACCTCCACGACTGCTGCTGCGCATTCGAGTACCCTTCATAACCTCCATCTCCTATATCAGGCTCGACAACTGTCCCCTCTCCCGCTATCCTACAATATTCTCGCAGCTTTTCGAGTCCCGCATAGTGGGTGGTAACAATCATATTGCTAAAAACCCCTGCCAGCCCCGCCACGAGCGCCCCAGTGCATATAGACAGGAACACGCGTTTACAGCCGCGCGGAGACGGCGTGGTCGTTTGCGAGAATGCTAAGAGCAGTTGTAGATGCTCCTTCACGCTAGACGGGCTCAACCCAAGCTGCGCTGGATTTTCCAAGTACTTTTCTACTTCGGATATGCCGGCGCCAGGCTGGACGACGATTTCGTACTGGTCGAGCTGCTGCATCGCCTGGGAGATGCTGAGGTTTGGATAAACAGGGACCTTCTCTGCGCTGAGAGTTGGTTGGACAATTGCGGCGATGTCAAATGTTATCTCTAGTCCGCCGATGGCCGCGCCCTTACCCAGGACTTCGATCGGAGCATAGAGGTCCAAGGTGTCGAAGTTTGGGAAAGGGAGGAGGAGAACTTTGAGGGAATTGGATTTAGACATGACTATAGCGATGGTGGGGGTGGTTCTTCTTGTGGATGTTGGGTGTGCTATATTGATAGATCAATCTAGCTAGGATTGATATGTGAGCTGCCTTTACACTGGAGAGTGGGGATTTTGAGGCACCACAGGCATGGCAGTGGGATTTATTTAAAGCGTCACGCCCATGCTTACTTTCATCTATGCAAGGCTTGTATCCACTTTCTATAAATCTCTTTTTCAGCTGCAAGCCTCCTCGATCAGGTTAAGGGTAGGAATGAAAGTCTCGAATAGTAATTGGATGTGCACATCCAGAGATTCTCATATCCGAAAATTGAGCTCTTTATGCTTTCAAGAACGGACTTCTAGGAGTTCTACGGTTCGTCATTCCCGGTCCTCAGGAGACGGAACGAACCCTTTCTTGACAATGATCACCAGCTCCCAGCTCCCAGCACACCCTAATCCCCGCCAAAATACCTCAATTGTGCTCAAGTAACATACGTATATGGACAAGGGTGGTTTTTCTGATATCTTCGAAATCTTTAAGTTGGAAGATGCGCATATCTATTCATGCACGCTACAGATGTATGCTAGAACATGAGTGACATCCACAGATACTTTCGTAGAATCTAATTTTTGAGCATCCAATGAGAATAGAGCTGCAAACCAGATTTTCTCATCTTCAACAGCGTTGGATCGATAACCGCTTTGCCAGAAGCGGGGTCGTGCTTATCTTCCCGGAGCACCGATCGATACAGCCTGTGGAAAACTAAGTAATCTGTGCTCGTGATTCGTGGAATCCGGGGAGCGGCAGAGGAAATAACAGTGGCTTTCTCGCAAAAGAGATTTCTTGAGAATCGGTAAAGGCTGATAATGTTTTCAATGCTCTTCATCTGCTGCTCTTCATCTGCTGCATTCAACTATAGGAAGATCCCCTTCACTTGCATCCATAGTTCATGCATCTAGTAATCTTACAATGCTGCATCAAACTGTTTTACAAAGAAAGCCCTTGTAAACAATCACAAAATTTCAGCTCACCAGGATATGTCTGAAGAATATGACTCCAATTCTCTCGTATATCCAGTGGTCCCAAAAGCTCAGATGAATCCCCCACACAACCAGCCAATGTAAGGTAAAAAGTTAAAAATCGTAAAATCAAATCAATACCACCCACCTCTCCCCCACCCTCCTCTTCCACTCGTACCATTTCCTCGGCCTCTACTTCCACCAGAGCCATTCGCATCTCCGCCAGAGTAGGGCTGACGCCCAGGTCCCTGTCCCTGAGGAGTATGCGGTGATGGGAAATGGTATGATCCAGGAGGTGGCTGGTGAGACGGATGTGAATGAGAAGAGAATTGCGGCGCACCGCCACCAGCAGGAGATTGGAAGCCGGGAATATTCATATTCACGCCCATATTCACAGGTAGTGGAGGTGGTAGAGGCGGTGGGAATGGTGGCGTTGCACCATGATGTTGAGAAGGTGGAGGTGGGGGTGGAGGCGGCCAAGGTCCGTGATACCCTGGCGGTCTCGGAGGAGGAGGGGGAATAAACATGCCACCGGGACCAGGGATCGGTAGAGGATGGGGAGGTGAGAATTGTTGCGATCCGCTAAAGGGATATGACATTGGAGGAGGGATAGGCGGAGCTGTTCCTGGAGGTGGGAAAGGAGCATTCTGATTTTGTGAAGGAAAGGGCGGTGGAGATAAGGGGCGAGGAGAGTAAGATATCGATCTTGACCGTGATCTCGGACGTCCTGAGCGGCCTGGAGCTGTGCGGGAACGGGAGCGGGAAAGAGAGCGGGAGTAGGAGTCGCCCCGACTTCGGTTGCCTGATCTGGATGAACCCGATGATCTAGAGCGTCCCCTATCGTCATCACTCATGTTATCGCTATATCGTCGCCGTTTCCGTGCGCTATAACTCCGGCTGCGGCTGCGGCTTCGGCTGGGACTGAGACTTCGACTTTCGCTCCTACGCCCAAGTTTGCCATCCCTCCTTTTCTTCATTTTCTCGCAGAATGAACGAGACCAACCATAGTACGTTTCTCCGTCAACAACTTCTCCCGTCACTGGGTCACGAACAATGATCTGACCAAGCTCATCAATCTCTACATCGTCTCCCCCATCCATCGCTTCCCCATTCGAGTTATATATTTTGTCGACGTCATTTAGAAAGTTTTTTACGGCCGTGACTAGAGACTCATCAGCAGGTCCTGCAAGAAACTGTAGAGGTTTCACTGCCTGTGGTCGGATTGGGGCTGTCGAGTTGGGAATTATATGTGGCATTAGATTCCCCGCGGGTAGCTCATGATATGGCGCAGAGGGGTCTCCATGTGTCGCCGGCATTACGTAAGGAGCGTCCCTTGGAGGGATCTTGTTCGGTGTATCTGAACCAGAATCTTTGGGAGCAACTTTTGCATTCAGTGCACCAGGAGACGAGGAGTTATCCACGGTTTCACGGAGCTTGTTGATGTAATCCCGGCTATAGTAGCTATTACCGGCCCATATATCCAGGAGATCGTTCAATCGTTTGTGATGCTTTGGGTTCTTTTCGCGAGAAAAACCAGCCGCAAGGCTAATAAGGTCAACTAAGAATGGTTGAAGGGAACCACTGAGAGTTGAAAAGGCGGAAGTTGTCTGTTCATGGTATTTGGTATGATGCAACAAATCGTTCAGCAAATACAGGATATGCAGCCTTTTCCGTTTTGGAGAATTCTTCGAGGCTTCAACAGCGGCCTGTCCAGCAGCCGGTGATTTATCGCCAGGTTCGAAAGATCCTGATAGAGTGACAAGGTATTTGCCCAGAGCCCCAATCCTCGTTGAAGAAGGAATCACATTTTTCAGCAGCCACGATTTGCAAATCTAGTGGAGGTACCCGGATCAACGATTTAGTAAACCCATTTAACGCCGACATGAGGAGTCATTGTTCAAACCTGGATGTTTCCTGGAGAGCAGTGCGTCACTGCCCGGTCGAGCGACGTGTGGAAGAAGGCGATCTCATCGCGGTAGACGGAGGTGGGATCTGGTCGCAAGAGCCCAGCTGAGAAAGTAGCTTTCGCAATAGCAACCAGATGAGTCGTCATGATAGGCGTAGCTCTATGTCCATCTGCATGTCGCGGTAAAACGGGGCGTAGATAAGCTATTAACGTCGTTGATGTTGGCTCTTAGCGGCTCCCAAAAATTATGATATCCACTGGATTACATTAGTTACACGTGACATTTAATCACCTGATTGGAGTCACGTGAAGAAAATCCCAGCTTAAGTTCGGCCAGATTGAAACAACAGCCTGGCTTCGTCTTTTGTAGAGTCTGCCAGTTGAAACGGAAGAACTCATTTATGCGATTGCGAAAGTTTTTGAAGCCAGGCGTCTAACCACGCCTGTTGACAGAAACGCTCCTAGCTCCCGAGAAACAGTGTTTTGTGGGTGGTGCAGCGAACTCTCCTAATACACAACCTCATTGAAGAAAGTATCGACGCATGGTGTTAATGGGCCCGGGCAATGTCAAACTCAGACCATCAACCCGATCCGGGTCAAAGTTGTGATGAAGCCTGGAGACGGATAGGATAAATCGGAGCTGAACGCTGGAGCTGAACGATGGAGCTCAACGTACGGCTGAGGGCTGCGCATCAAATTATTCGCGGCCGATCTTCTTGTTTTATTTGGAGGGCAGTCATCTGCTATTCTCGTTATCAAGCAAGTTAGGTGGCTGTTGTGGATTTTTCAACAGATGCCAGCAACTGGCAATCCTGAAAATATCGGCTTCTGATACAATTTGTAGGCCCAGGAGGAGTCACTAAAAACATGAACAAGGAATAATCTCAAAAAATGAAGCCTTGTAAAGTACACTTTCGCTTTATTGTCGCCGCGATCCTGTACGAACCAATCAGCTTGACTCCCCTGGTGACTGCTTACTGTAAGAATTGGCATTGCTGGACCCATCCATGAAACAGCCTGGCATACATAGCGTTGCTAACCACACAGATGAGATGAAGTACATTGCTAGAATAACGACATATAATTTGGGCGAAATCCAACTATCATCCGATCGGGAAGAGTGCCAATCCCAGAGGCATTCGCTGCTACAGGCATTCGGATGGACTGTCTGTCTTGGGACAGCGGCAGCATATGCTTACTGATGTATGTTTATGTCGCTTTGGAACTTGGCTGGGACCTGGGATTGCTTGTTGCACGCACCTCTTTATTGTGGGAATAAAACATATGTCTGAAGTGTCATATTCTAATAATAGCAATCGGCATCTTGACTATGAATGCCGAACCCCGTTGCAGAATGCCTTGAAATGTTGAGCTACCTCTGTGGGCTGGAGATACATGCCCCTTACAAATCTGGACTAACTGCTCAGCCAGGTAGGTAGCTCTAACGCGCTAAAACTCTGGACCAGCGGACGTATCGACGGCTAAAAATTGTCTTAATCATCTCCTCCGCCAATGAACAGTCTTATCTCGCCCCTAACTGTTGGCTATCTCAGCATTGCCAGCCTTACGCTCCGCGGTACGAGGATTTACCGCTCAGACCACTCAGGCCTCTCGTCCTCAGCCTCACCCTGATCTAATGCGAGCTGGACCAGTCTGTGCCTGCCTAAAGAATCTTTACAGTCGACGGTAACGGGCAAGCTATCGTCTCTCTTGTGAAAGAGGATGGGACGCTTAAGGAACTTGCATTGTCGAATTTTGAGAACTGGCAGACTACCCCGGGTGGACATAGACACCCGATCACAGGCACCCCTTGCAAGGAAGTGGAAATTTAGACTTTCTCTGAATCCCAAGAAAGCGAATGGTCGGATTTCACTTGTTCAGAATAGCAACACTGGCTGGTATGTTACTTATAACGTCACTTGCTGATATGTTAAGTGGTCAGGGGAATCCGGAGGGGATGAATCTTTTACGGGTTTGTTTTTGTTTTTTGTCAATTTTGTCATGCTTTTCATGATTATAATGTTATTTAAGCGGAACCCATAGATATGAACTGATGTATACCTACATAGAAAATATAGACTAATCATATTTTGCTAATGACAAAAAGTCTTAAACTCCAAGAACAAGTTTTCCATATTGATAAACTATGCATATTCATCTCCTTGATGCTGAGTAGGGGAGAGTAGTCCAGTCCAGACTAAACCGATATTGTCAATTCTTTCCATAAACCCGGTAACCAGTACAGTACACTAATCATAGATCTGATCCCACAGCCACCTGGGTTTTTTTCACTCAATATTTCGAACGATGGTATTTGAATCTGAAAATTAGTGAGAAATTGCTTTTGACAGGGCCGTAGTTTGAGCTCATGGGCGCCGGAAAAGGATGCTGAGCATATCTTACGATGGATGGCCGCCCCACGGCAAGGGTTGATCTGCTATTGAGATTAGTTAGTCCAGTGCAAGGTTAACCGTTACGCCGAAAGAGCCCACAGGTCTCCAAGATCTGTTCTTCGGTCCATTCACATCCATCGTTGAGGCAGAAGAGCATGCTATATATCGTAAGATGGATGACTCCACCACCTCCTTCTGATGCCGTGGATCGCCCTACCATCATCAACTAGTTTTACCAACCTCATTACTACTTATATATAGATCGATCCTCCAAACAACCAACCCCAAATGACCTGCGGACTCTATTATCCTATCAACCTCCACCTTAACGAACACAGATGCCCCTTTCCCTCCTCCCTCCCCCCTCTCGTCTTAAGAGCTGGCCATTCACATCCCAAGCTCCCCGACATCTTGCACTTCCTAGTGCCTATGCTCAACTAGGGAGTCAATCCCCGCCACCCCCGCCACCCCGCACTGCGCAATCAACCACTCTCACCTCCCTTCCTTCCCCTCCGCGACGATGATACGAGTGCCAATCCGCCAATTCTCCGCCCGGGCACCAAAGCCTGAGACTCGCGCTCACAGACTCCTAACAATGTCTGGGATCACCTCTCTAGTCGTGGTCCCCTTTATCCCGCCCGCCATCCAGAGTTCGCGCGAGAAGAAGCTAGGCAATCCGCATGCGAATAGGTTGAGTTGATTTTATTTTGCATCACTCAGTTCTTCCTCCTTTGCTTTTGGAACTTCCTGAATAAATATCTAGTCCGATTTATAGTTAGTTATTGAATAGCTCTGGATGGCAAGCTAATGAACGGCGCACTTCCCTTAGATACCCCCCCCTCTGCTTTCATGCCCGCTAAAGGGCGTCATGAAATCCATACATACATCCATACATATATACTACTGGCCCGTTACCTATAAATATACCGATAACACTACGTACGTACTACATATCATGATAAATGACCTACCTTTTCGCCAGCAGTGGGTATTTATTCGGGGATTGGTTGGGGAATGGAATATTTCGTTTTGGAACGAGAGCCGTTTAAGAATGAGAGGTTATGAAAACGGCGTAACCGGATGAGCGATTTGCTGCATCGTTGTTTCTAGGTTATATATTTATATACCTAAGGGCACTTCGAATGGGGTAGATTTGGACAGACTGGTTCATTTCTTTGTGACATAATGTTTAGCATGGGCTGTGGAAACGACTTACAAGAAGCAGGTTCAAATTTTGGCGTTAGGGAACTGGGGTCGGATTTGCGAAGTGATCAACATTTTGTTTTAACTACCCCTCCCAAACAAGAGTATGTACAGTACAACAAAAGGGAGGATTCTCAAAGGATCGTTCCAGCAATTTAATCGTACAACATTTTTCTACAATATACTTCACACAAAGCCCGCCACATACCTCAAGATGTTTCCAGACGTCTCCAGTCCATACGACTATCTCCATTTTTTTGTGTCTTTGGCACACCTCCCCATTCGCGCAGGTTAGCAGAAAACCCATTGGTCAAAAAAAAAAAAAAAAAAAAAAAAAAAAAAAAAAAAAAAAAAAAACTCCCAAACTTCTCCAAAATTATAAGCTTAAAGCCGATTCCCCTTCCTTGATGTAAATTTTTCTGCCGCCTCATACTTCCCCTTCTCATCAACCCTCTCCGCTGACGTCTCGGGCTCATGCCTCGTTGCGGCAGGATCATGTCCAGCTTCCCTACTCGGACTGCCCGTATCGTCCATCTCTGCCGCGGATTTCGCGCGGGTCATATTTGTCAACCCCCCACCGGAGGATGACGGCGACTTTGCGGAATGTTCCCTTCGAAAGGCTTCCTCTTTGCGGCGCTGGGCTTCTTCGTGTCGTTGGGCGCGGTCGGCGTTTATGGATTTTTTGGCAAAGTAGTATGCGCCGCCGCCGGCTGTGGAGGGTGGCGAGAAGATAGGGAGGGAAACGGTTAGATTAAGATAAATGTATTGGGTTTAAATGGGGTATGTTATTTGGGAAGATTGGAGGGAGGGCTTTTTGCATGGCGTTACGTACCGACGCAGAGGGCGCCCCAGCCAACCCTGTTTGTAATAAGATAGAAATACCGGTCAGATGCCGTAGAAATATATGCCCAAAAGGTTATGTGACGGTGGGATAGCTGTTTGGCAAGGCATGCTGCTCTGGGTGTATGTGGTAGACGTACCAGGTAGATCTAATCTGAACACCACACATTGAGGATTAGTATTACTGATATTCTCGAACTTAGGGGGTATTGCAACGTACAGTATTCATTTTAATATAATTGAGACCACTCGATTGCCGGTTCTCTGTTCAACTGGGTGTTGGTAAATTGGCCGTTGGAGGCTATACACGAGCAGGAAAAAAGCAGGGGATTCTGGCCGGGCAAAAAGTTGCGGGCCGGAGCTTGACGTCGTTGAAGTTTCCGCCAGCCAATCAGAGTCGAGTCAGCGTTCCTGGCTCAGATACTTGGAAATAATCACGTGATGCAGAGGGCGTGTGATGTATCATAAACCTCAAACCAATTGCCGGGAGACCGGTTTCTCTTTCTTGCCAACAACCACCGGCGAAAAGACTCATCAGCAACATTCTCACCGGTATAACGTGCTTGGGATAAGGCAGTTATTTGGCTCTGAAGCCGGATGCTGTCGCCTCTGTAACGGCTGCAATACACACACCATAGGTAAAGTTGAGGGTTTGTCGCCACCTCGCCAGACGTGATTTGCGATAGTATGCCTCCAAAAAGGAAGGCAGCTGGCAGTATGCTTATCCCTTGTTTGCTAGGGTTTGCTTTCACTGTCACTGACCAGTTCTGGTAGGTGGTAATTCAGGACGGGCTTCCAAACGATCCACTCCGGTCCCGGTTTCTGCTCCCCAGAGTGTCCTGAGCAGCGATGAATACTCAGACTCAGGGGCTGCAGACGACAGTGAATATGACGGTGATAGCTTAAAACGTGAGTCCAAACTCTTGCTTAGGGAGGATTCTTTTGATTTCAAGCTTGCGTGCATTTCGTTGCTAAATGAATGTACATTTGCCCGGGAGCAGAGGTGGTCGAGAAGTTTTCTCTTCAGGCGTTCAGCCAAAAGAAGAAAGCGGACGTCCAGCGACAAGATCCACATTTTGGTTATAAGGATTTCTCGTCCTTGCCTTTGAAGCCCGACCATGCAAACCGACCACTATGGATCGAGCCATTGAAGGGTACCATTACCCTGGAAAGCTTCTCGCCCCTGGCATCCCAGGCGCAGGATTTCCTTACGACGATAGCTGAGCCTCTATCGAGGCCTACGCATCTACACGAGTATCGATTAACGGGGAACAGCCTGTACGCTGCAGTATCGGTGGGCTTACTACCTGGGGATATCATTAACTTCCTAGATCGTCTGTCGAAAACGCCGCTACCGGAAGCGATCAAGTCCTTCATCATTAATTTTACCAAATCGTATGGAAAGATTAAGGTCGTTTTGAAATACAATAGATTTTTTGTGGAGAGCTCGGATCCAGCCACTTTGCAGATGCTGCTTCAAGATGAAGTTATTGGGCCGCAGAGATTGCAAAATTCGGAGGGCATAATACAGCAGGCCGCTCCCAAAATGGCAGGGTTGGTTATTCCCGGAACTAAGGATGCTGCTGGGGTGAAACAAAACCCAGACCAGAAACAAATGGAGGGAGAAACAAATGGACGGCCAAAGGAGGATGACCTCTTGGTTGATTTGAGGGAAGAGGATGATGACGACGACCCAGCTCAGGTTCACAGCTTCGAGATCCCAAATACTGCCGTGGAAGCGGTAAAGGCTCGGTGCCAAAGTATGGGCTGTCCAGCCCTCGAGGAATATGATTTCAGAAATGATGAAATCAACCCTACTCTAGACATCGACTTGAAGCCTAATGCGCAAATCCGAAGTTACCAGGAGAAAAGTTTGAGTAAAATGTTTGGCAACGGACGAGCTAAGAGCGGGATCATCGTGCTACCCTGTGGTGCAGGAAAAACTCTAGTCGGTATAACGGCTGCTTGTACCATCAAGAAAGGGACTATCATCCTCTGCACTAGCTCAATGTCTGTTGTTCAGTGGAGGAACGAATTCCTCCGGTGGTCTAATATTGACCCCAGTGATATTGCCGTTTTCACGTCTGACAACAAGGAAAAATTCCGGAGAAATACTGGAATTATTGTGTCCACGTACTCCATGGTGTCCCAAACAAGGGCTCGTTCCCATGATGCGGAGAAAATGATGGACTGGATGCAATCTAGAGAATGGGGTTTGATGATCTTAGATGAGGTCCACGTCGTCCCAGCATCGATGTTCCGGAAAGTCACTTCGGCCATTGCTACTCAGACGAAACTTGGACTCACTGCGACGCTACTGCGTGAGGATGACAAGATCAAGGACTTAAATTTCTTGATTGGGCCCAAGCTGTATGAAGCAAACTGGATGGAGTTGGCTGAACAGGGGCACATTGCCAAAGTTCAATGTGCCGAGGTATGGTGCCCCATGACAACAGAGTTCTATACAGAATATATGCGTGAGAAATCCAGAAAGGCAGCTTTGCTCTACATCATGAATCCCAGGAAGTTCCAGGCGTGCCAGTTCTTGATCGATTACCACGAAAAGCGTGGAGACAAAGTCATTGTTTTCTCTGACAACGTTTACGCTCTCGAACGATATGCTCTGAAATTGAACAAGGCCTACATCTACGGTGGAACGCCTCAAAACGAACGACTACGGATTCTAGAGAACTTCCAGCATAACGAGCAAGTTAATACAATCTTCCTGTCCAAGATTGGCGATACCTCTCTAGATCTGCCTGAAGCGACTTGCTTGATACAGATCTCGTCGCATTATGGCTCTCGTCGTCAGGAGGCACAGCGTCTCGGACGTATCCTACGAGCAAAACGAAGGAACGACGAAGGATTCAATGCTTTCTTCTACTCGCTTGTGTCAAAAGACACAGATGAGATGTTTTATTCCTCCAAACGGCAAGCTTTCTTAGTTGACCAGGGATACGCGTTCAAGGTGATCACGCACCTTGAAGGGATTGAAAACCTTGAAGGACTCGCATATGCCACCCCAGCGGAACGTCGTGAACTTCTACAGGAAGTGATGCTGCAGAATGAGACATCCGCAGCTGTGGAAGAAGTCGTGGACGATCTTTTCAGCGAGCGCTCAGGAGGGCCGAAAGCGCGAGGCGCAGCAAAGAAAGCGGCGGTGAAACGCAGCGCGGCGACCTTGAGCGGCCTTGCTGGAGGTGAGGACATGGCGTATATCGAACATAATAAGAGTAGGAATAAACAGCTGAGGGAGAAGGCCGGACAGCACCCCCTATTCAAGAAGATTGAGAGAGATCGCTTGAAAAGAAGGAAAGCACTTGGTCTGGATAAAAAGTAGACTGGAAATGCGTTTACTTTATTCTTTAATCGTCCGTTGGACGTATGAGATTTTGGGTATTTAAGATAACTGTTTATTTTATTTTATATTTTCTGTGATTCCCATTGGCTCTGGTCTACTTGGACGATGAATTGGATGCTAGGGGAATTGATCTGACGGATATAAGATGTGTCGCCTGGGTTTATCTCGCCTTCTTGTGGCATGTACTAATAGAGTCAATAGAATGAAGTCATCATTTATTTATTTCCTGTGTTTTTGATCATACCTCCCACTTACGCGTAAACCGCTATGACATCAGATATACGGAAATCTCAATGGGATTAAATATTCATATATTGGGAGAGGATGCTCAGTATACCATACCCAGCTTCACACATCGAACGTCCACACATTTCTAATACTAAACTCGTTTAGAACTAACTTCTACGTTCTCAGCTTGTCTCGTTCTGAGCTACTCTCAAAACCAAACTCAAACGATATTCAGTCCAATCTCTATCTAAGCCATCAACGAGCCGGATGTGCTATTTACATCACAAGGGCGCTCGTAGTTAGGCGCAGGAGGGTGTCACCAGCTTCGCCACCAAGACCAGCACTCTGTATTCTTATCAAAGACTTTGTTTCCACCAACAGGGGCATATATTTATTTCTGATTTGGATCTTTACTCGGACGTCCAGACCTCCAGCCGAACACCAAACTGCTAATCAATATCCCATCCGCCATAGGTCCATTCCCGTGTTGGACGGAGTCGCTTACCAATAAACACCTTTTGGGCTTTCAAAGCCCCTAGGTATGAAGCCCAAAGAATGTAGCTACATATGTGATGGTTAGGCTAAACGCTTCAACGGGTTCGCGCGACCGCAGAGGCTTCTAAAAATCCAGGGCAGGACAAAAGCTCGTGTTCTGGCGTTGAATCATGAATAACGATCCTTCTCCCCTCTCTGGCCCTCCTAACTGCTGCCCCGCATTTGATGGCGCCAATGGACATATATAAAACCCCCCTTGCGCGGATCTGCTAGGGTGGCATGGAGAAACTGCAAAGCAATCAAGGAGGCAGTTTGACACATTATTTTGTCTGCAACCTATAAATTTCCACCTTATGATCGGCGTTGTCAAACGGCATCGGCACCAGGCAGCTAAGAATATACCTTGTTGTTCCCAGATACCCACCCGAGCATCCAGAAGAACGCTACAGAGGCCTGCCTTCACTTCCTCAACCAGGTGCTTGATCCTGGATACACCGAAAGCAGCCGCGAGGACAGCCAGCATTGGGTCATCTCCTTCTCCCTCTCGAGAGTCCAAGTCGCACTTCGCCCATATCTTCAAAGCAAACGCGAAACTTGAGCCCGTTAAGAGCCATGGCTACCGCCACCCATATCAGCGTGTCCCCCAACGATACGGGGCTTCTCGGGCTTCACCAGAAGGCCGATTCTGCAAAAAAGGCATCCGAAATGTTGCAGGCGGATATGGAGAGATACCATGTTTTCTTTAACAACGATAAGGGTTTTCACAGTATGTTCGGTTGTTTGAATCTGCAGTTCTAATTTTCCTGAACGCTGCCCCGCTTGTCAAAGATTGATATACAAGCCCCTCAGGTTACATTAACAATGCGTTCTTTTCGTATTTGAGTTCAATCAAGTCAACGGTCTGCTTGGCAAATAACCTCACCAAACTATATAGATATTCATCCTGGCCAAAATGGATATGCAACCGTCCCATCCTCTCCACATTTCCGCCCTATTGTCCCTTGTACAGCAGCTTTAACCATATCAATGAGACTAACCTCCGGCAGATCATCTGGCCCACCACATTTTAACCACCTATGCTTTGGGGGCGTCCCCAGATGTCATCCAGGAGGCTTTCGACCGCACTGCTGCTTACCAGCTGCCTCGTCGCCTAGTCGATGAAGCGATAGTGCAGAAGCTGAGTGACAAGATCCAATTCAATTCTTATGTAGGAATACCGGATCAATATCCTAACTTCCTAGCATATTTTCAGCGCCAAATTGAAAACAGGGGGATAGAGCCAGTGGTGAATGAGTACCTTTTCGCCGGGGATAAGCTAGCGGATGATATGCTTGTCCGGCTCTTCGCTGGTATGGCGCTTGTGCTGGTTTTCCGCCCATCCCACCGTTTCCCTGCCCGTGTCACTGGCTGGCATACTAACGGAACCCTGCCCTACAGGAGTCATTCACCCGTTCATCCAGCTCGGATTTGGCTTCGAGTTCAACCAGCCAGCCATTGTTGCAGAGGCACTTGCCGAAACTGCAGTTCATGAATCAAACCTTACATTCCTCCTGCCTGCCGAGGAGGTAGCAGGCGGTGTTGGGAAAGAGGGGAAGAAGCCCCTCTCTCAGCTCCTGCGGGAGATTCGCGCAAACACCAAATTGCGGGAAGCAGGGCGCTGGGAAGATCCGAATAAAATCAACGGATTGTTGGCTCGAGCTCCAGACGAGATCATTGAAATTGCGAGCCAATTCTCAGTGGGTCCAGACCAGCTGGAAGAGAAGCTAGCCGAACTGTTCAACGCTGTTGGTACGTGACATCCCTATCTCCAAACACAACCGTGGTACCCCTACACTCCAATGCTCCCATCCCAGGGTACAGAGACCATGCATATCCAACCATGCTGCGTGCGTGCCTACATGCGCCCCTCCCCTCTTCATCAATCATGTTCCCCTGTCATTGTTTTCCACTGGTTCGGTGCGAACTGTGGAAAAGAGAGTAACTCAAAGTATCAACAGCCTATTTCGCTGGCGCAGCACAGCGTCCCAACAAGAGGATCAAATTCGATTTTTTCTACATGCACTGCGTTACCAGCACAATTTTCCTGGCTGCATTCGCCACCCAGCCGTGGATCAGTAAGCAGAACAAACTACGCGTCCTGGAGTGGAAAGGTCGTGTGGACCTCATGATGTACGCCTCTCGTGGTGCTGCAGAGCTCCGACTGGAAGAAATTGCAAGCTACAAACCAAAAATATCGTGGGAGGAAGTGTTTGCCCAGGCCATTCACCATCCCCGGGAAGACGGGCATGTGTCAAAGTTTGTCCGCACGCTTGCGTATGGGGAGAAGCTGTGTAAACCGTTTGAAGCGGATGAGAAGTATCAAGAGGCGTTCTTAGTCAGGGGAGATATGTGGATTAAGCTGGCGAACATGGGTGAGTTCTTTTATTCCAGATTTTTGAACACTTTAACAGGCTCGACAAACTCATTCAGTCCTCATGAATTCATTCCAAATGCATTTTTTCCTCGGGTTTCATTACTTGTGCCCTATCAGCGCTCTCACTCCTCCAAATCCATTTTGTACCCCTCCCCCGCCTCACCTGGAGTTACATCGTTGCGAGCCAGCGCTCTCCTTGGTCCCTGTTTAGCTGCACTAAGCCCTTACCCCTGTCTACCCGAAATGGCCCAAGTTCCAGAACCAACCACCCCCAAGCAAAAAAAAAAAAAAAAAAAAAAAAAAAAAAAAAAGAAAGAAAACAACAAAAAACAAATAAATATTTTAATTCCCGAAGGCCCGAAACCTGAATCCCATTTTCCCACGTTTCGTCCCAAGGAAACCCCAATAATAAACCTGTGAAGGCTCCCATGCCCCGGTTTTTAATCTAGTCTTAGTTATCTTCCCCGCCTGCACATTGTTCATTTCGACCACCCCTGAATCCTGCAATTGAGCTGACAAACACTCTTTACAAGAGTTTAACAACGCAATACTACTTTTAATATTTCCTAACAGAAAAAAAATAAAAATAATAATAATAATTATTATTTGCTGACATCCACCCCTCTCTGATCAAGTTATCGATTCCGTCCAGGGCGACGACGAGATGTGGATTAGGCATGTTGGCGACGACCGGGCGTGGGAAGGGGTTGCGGAGAGATAAAAGAGGCGCGCCTGAGCGAAACAATTCTGGGGGCTGAATCTGTGCATTTGTGCATTTGTTCTAGATGCTCGGGAACATGCTTGGGAAAAGAATGGGCTCTTTTTTCTTTCCTTTCTCACTTGTTTGTCGAACCATCCTGGGTTTTCTGACATGGGCTATGGACATTGCGAATGGTTGCTAACAGATAACGCAAAGGTAAACAACCATCCTATCCTATCCATGGGTAGTCATGGATGGTTATGGAACAGGGTCATGGTATTTTGCTGTTTTGTAATTTTTTTTTATCAATCTCCCCTTCCCACCTGCCTAAATTAACTTGCATTACGACAATTTGCTATTATTGCCAGTGGATGGATGATAGTTATAAACTATTTACCATAGTATATATATTCTGAGTGAGAAGTCACTAAATCTTAGAGAAGTTCTATTACTAGCTAGCTGAGTCATCATCCTAGAGATCAGTGATAATCTCTACTTGAACCTTAGCATCTTTGTTACTGTCTCATCCACTTGTAGGCCTAGAGCTCATTGATCAAGTAGTTGATCAAGCCCACCCGAACAGCTGCCCTTATATAATCATCCCTCAACATGCCAATTCCGAGGTCTTACCGCCCCGGCGCCGCCATGTTACATTGACTGAATGAGTTTGTTGAGTGGTGAATCATGTTAGAAAAAAGAATAAAACGCCGAAAATAAGCGCAACTTCATTCTATGTTTCTCATACACCAACCATCCCATGCCGTCCAAAAAAAAGAATAATAATAATAAACAAACAACTCCCCCGGCCCTCCCCCCTCCCCCCCCCCCCTCCCCTCTCCCCCTCTCCCCCTTTTTTTTTTTCGAAGGAAACAGGAGAGCAAAGTGAGATAATCAAAGGATCAGGTAAGACATAGATGCGTATATGTAGAAGACACCGGCCCTATTGGTAGTTGCGCCGGTAAAATGATGAAAAACGTCAAGGCTCGCAAAAAGGGGAGAACAAGGGCAGGAAAAGGGAAATGGATATCGTTGCAGGTAAAAGAAATGACTTTGAAAACATGCAGTGAGAAAAGGGAAAAACAAAAATCAGGCTGATTGGGGGGATTGGGGAAGATATCAAAGGTAGATAGGCCCCTACGTGAAGCAGACCTATCCCCGCCCACCTTTGTATCTACATGGTGTAGTAATAGTAGGCACATTGATACAGAGTACCATAATTGTATTTCGGACGGGGGCTCGATTTTTTTGAAGAATGGATGGAGCCTGAAAAGTGTTATATATCAGAAAGAAGTTAAGAGATTGACATACTATAAATGAAAAAGTTAAGTGTGTCCGGCGAAAAGGTTCTCTTACTCGTATCAGGTTTCCGTTCGGAGTCCGGGGTTGAGGTGGTGGTCCTCGATTTATTATCTTCTATGATCGAGCTGGCGGGTTTGTTTTTGAGGATTCGTTTTCGGAAGCCGGATCTAAGCAACGATCCCTTCCTGCTACCTCCAGAACTAGACTCAGTCCTTGTGGGGCTTTTGGGCCTTGTTGAAATGGTGTCGATCAAGGAGGGGGACATGAGGGAAGGGGATGTTGCTTCAGTCTGAGAGAGCTCAGAAACGCTCCGACTGGATTCACTGGAAGACCGACTTAGTGCAATAGATTCATCCGCTCTAGAGTTCTCTTCATTTTTTGACGAGCTGATCGTTTTTGGAGGGCTGATATCAGGTGTCGGTGATTGTTCAGGCGATGGCTCAGGCGTGTCTGCCGTGATGTAGTCATTTAAGTCATTTTTAACTGGTTCACGATAATTCTGCGCAGCAGACTGGATCCCCGCCATTTCGCAACGTCTGCATGAGTCCACCGCGAGTTCTAGCACTTTAACCTTGTCGGCGAGTTGCATTCGTGCGATCCTGGTGTCGTCGGAATCAGCTGCGATACGTTCGATTTGTTCAGTTGACAATTGTGCCATCATAGACGGAGAAATAAGATTCTCCAAGTTTGCCACAAGGCAATTTTCCACTGCAAGAAAAGCAACATTGTCAATGAATACTGGTAATGTGGCGGCATAATAAGTTTCCATGCAATCGAGAATTTCAGAATAAACATTGAATTCAGTGCCGTCATCCATGTTATCATCCATGCCGTTTGGACCACTTAGGGCACGAAGTCGATGGATTTTCGTAGTTAATTTTCGATTCAAGGTTGAAGGAACAATTTGTTTAAAGGGCGTTGCTAGCTCGTCTATTTTGCCGTTAAGTGCCTGCAACTTGTTGCTCATCTCCTGGTCTAGTATTTTCCTGAGTATGGCTTCGCCAACTGTAGCACCCGCAATGTGATGGAGGAGATCGTCCAAAAATCGCTTTACCTTCTTCCAAAGCTCGTATACATGAGATTTTGCCATCGGTGTCCATTTGAGCGAATAGCGAATAAATAGCTCGCATATGACCTGAGAATTAACCAATCCTTTTGATTCACGGCCTCCGTTTTGCTTGAATAGTTCAGCAAGTCCTCGAATAAAAGATGATCGTGGAACTGGTTGAGGGCTATCGGGTAAGGCTTGTTCTGGCATTTGTGGTGGGCCATCCGAAGACGTATCATCGTACAGGTTATAACTATGGCCACGCTCCTCCATATCCGTAGCAAAGTCTTCAGCCCAGTTTCGGATTACAGATCTCAATCGCCGCATCGACGTTTGTGGGTGATAACGGAAATAGGAATCATGATATTCGCCAGCCGTGGCTGATCGTGCGAGGGCTTGATATCGTTCAGCAATAGTTGTTAGATACAATCGGTGAGACGCACCCGACTTTCGATCCGGTCCGAGCTTTTGCAGTAGCACGCGGCTCGTTTCAAGGTCCTGTTGAAGTTCGGTAGACAGGTTGGACAGCTGCGACTCGATTTGGCCAAGTAGAATTTTGCTTAGTCGACTTCGAAGCGACTGAATGCCGACGGAATTTGGAGAAAGGGCCTTCCAAGGCCTTGTGGTAGTGAAAAACAAATTTTCCATGTCATCACGTTGGAAATGGCGATTTCGCCTCTCGTTAGAATCGTTATTCACTAGAACGTGCCATCCTAAGCGCAGGGGCGTATCTTGGTTTTTAGCACGTGCAAAGTAGTTTTCCTCGGTAGAAGAGCCGGGTTCTAGGTGATCAGGTTTCGTTATGATTGCCATTGTGCGAGGGCTGCAGGATTTCGTCATCCGTAACACAATTTGTTGAGATATATTACGCTCAGCGGATACAACGGCTAGCAGGATGCTCCGAGGGTTCCTCATGTAAGACTCAGTTAGGCTTTGGATGATAGTAACATCCTCCATTCGTTGATGGTGCCCTGGTCGATTGATAAGGCCGGGCAGGTCAACTACTGTCAGGTCTGGTAGTGTAGGGCCTGAAGCCTCCAGCTGTAGGACATCCAGTGAGTATCTTCCATCGGAAATCAAGCCCATGATCAGCCTAGCCTCTGAATATAGTTTGGGAATATCCTGGAGCCAGTTATGTGACCTCGAAAATATTCCTAGTTTGTGCCGATGATCCGGGGAGGCATCCGGGCCTGGTCGGATTTTCACTGAAACTGAGGCTTCATCGGACCTCCGCAGGATAACTTCCGTTGCGAACCTGGTGCAGGGTTCAGTGCTCGTTGGCAATGGGATACCCGTTATGGCGTGGAATACTGAACTCTTCCCACTATTTTGGTCACCGCAAACCACCAGCTGGGGCAGAGCCAGCTGGCGGCGAAATCCCAAATCGCGAAGTTCATCTAGCCGGGCAAGCAAATCCGCTTGGCCTTTGGATTCAAGTCGATGGATAGGCAGAGGGCTGAAAGGATCCATAATTCAGTTGTGGCCCGTTGGGCTACTTATAGAGAGTCAACAAAGCACAGGCCATAGGGGATGATGAACAAAACACGAGCGCAGAAAAGAACAATGATATTGGTTCAAGAGGACTATAAAATCAGATGATGGGTTGGACACAGCTATTATTATAACAGGCCCAGCATTTGAGAGAAGCGAGGATAAGGGAGGACAGGGATGCTCCACCCCAAGCAGAAGCCGAAGGACGCTAAAAGCACCATCCAACAGCTGAGGCCTGTCTGAGGTTTCCTCCAAGTACTCCATTGCCAAGGCCTAAAATCTTACCGAACGGCGGCACACGGCGGACGAGGGGGGAAATCGTGGAAACTATTAGAAAAGTGCATTTGCGATCCTTGAGGATCGGCAAGGATCATTCGACCCAATTGCGAGGATAACAAGTCTGGCAGCCATGGGTAACCAGGGTGCCATGAGCCCAAGCCCAAGTTCGTGGGGGGGGGGGACGACGTCTGACATTCCAGAAATATTCGAGAGCAAGGGAAAAATACCACCCCTCTCCACTCTCACGATAGACCCGGCTGGGTTGCCTTCGCGCGGGGGGAGGGTTTGGTGCGCTCACTTTCCAGGATGCAGTGGCAGGGATAAAACAGACTTGTGGCGCAACCAGTCCATTTCGCTTGGAGACTTAGATGGAGTCATCGAATAATTGCCGCATGGCTCATGCCGACATCAACGCGAGCGGAGTCCAGGTTTTCTTGGCTTTAGGGAATTCTGCTGCAGATGGCTGGCGTGGAGAAAACGTAGTCTAATATTTCCTAATCGGGACAAATGTTGCTCTTGATAGAGTCATGTGACTTGGATCGCACATTTTTTGCACTGCTTGGTCAAGATGACTAATCTGAAGAGCTCGCCTGAAGCGACTTGACCAATGAAAAGTCAGAGAACGGTTGGTGGGGCAACTTTCTCGGGAAAACTCTTCTCCCGCGCTCAACGACCTCACTCATCGTCCCCAACAGCAATGTTAGCTAGACGGACCCGGACCAAGCCAACCTGGGCTACTCCGTACGCAGCATCGTCAGGCAACGTTTTATTCTTGGCAGATAATCTGAGGATTATTCGATTTTTCATACGGATACGGAGTACTTCCATCCTATTTCTTGCAGATTCGTGGACGTGATCATGGCGGATTCTGCTGACCGCAATCACTCCCATTCTTCCAACCCTTCCAAAGGCCACCACCAACCCGATGAAGAAAACACCTTTATCGCACTTCGCCGCTATGCTGATGAGCATTTCTCTGCATTACTACAATCGTTGATAGGACTTCCTTCCGCATTTTCCCCTCCCTCACCAAGGGATTGGATGTACATCCAGGGAGGCGATCCCGCAGTCAGATTCCATCACCATAGGCTCCGCGCAACAGAAACTGGGGCTGGTACTCAAGACTCCCAGTCGAGCGGCTCACGACACAGCTCTGAAAAGTGCACCTGTGGGCGTGATGGTGGTACGACTACCTACACTGATGGGAATGACCCATCTGATGTACCGTGGTTAGAAAGTCGACGACATTTTGAGCATCAATTTCCGTCGTCTATATTTGATTCGCCGCTAGAGAACCTGTGGCCTCTTGACCCGTTGCACTTCTTCTCAATTCTACCCCGTTCCAGCTTTCCATTTTCCTTCGATTTCCTATCCTCCTCGACCTTCCAGGGTTGGCCCATCTCGTACCTTCTCTTTTCTCCGTACTCCCCACTCCACCTCGAACGCCAGAAAAATATGCGGCACAAGCCATACGAGAAACCCCTCTCTTCGCTATTCTCCGCATTAATACCTTCTCATGAGGCTCACGAGTCTGACACCCCGCGTTGGCGAGAAGCTTTCGAAGACCTATTGCGCATAGAAAATGGCAAAGATATGTTAAATAGTGACTTGGGGGCGGTCGTCAGAAAAGAAAAGCCAAAAGATTGGATATCCGGTATGATCGGCAGAGGTAGCCTTGGTCCCCATTGGACTCATGTCCAGAAGGGTCCAAACGATTATTTCAACTACAGATACAGCCAGCCCACCGATGGAGCAGGAAAAGGGAAGATGTCTCGGCCTGGGTCCTCCCACGAATATGATGATCGGGAACACTCTATGCAGGGCGACAAGTGGCTCACGGAACTCGATCTGTACGAGAAATTTCTGGACCGCGTGAATGAACCATCAGACGAGGAGGATATTCCCTTAGTAAGCCCACTGATGGGAATGATAATTGAAGACCGACTCAGAAGACGGGAACGGCTATTGGAAGGACAAAGGCGATGGCAGCATACAGTCGAGAATAAAGACTTCGACTTCCAACGTGATGGCTCGGACGTAAATTCCAACGATACAGCCTCCATTCAAGCCTCACAGCCTTCTCCACCGTCTCCATACATTACTTCCACCATCACCACCACCGAGCGAAGGACTCTGCCGGACGGCTCGGTGCAGACTACCATTACTCGAAAGAAGCGGTTCTCTGATGGAAAAGAAGAAAGCAATGAAACCGTTCAGGTGGAAAACGCCAACCATCCACCATCAGGAAGTGAGACCAGCCAGGCACAGCTGCAGAGCGCCGAGCAGACTAACGATCGTGGCTCCCAGAGGAAGGGTGGCTGGTTCTGGAAAGATTAAACCATCTCCACTTTTCTCCACCTCTTTGCTTACTCGAGTTCTCGGGATTCGACCCCACGCCCACCTGCATGCAGTTATCACATTATTGCTCTCCCGTCTCCCTCTCCATTCTTTTTCTTTTTGACTCTTAGCGTTAATCAATGTCGGGCGTTTGCACTCATTTTAAGGCTGGAACTTAATATTATTCACGACGTATTTTGGGTTTCCTTTGTTATTCACTGTTGCAATTTCTCTTACTCTGTATTTTATGACAATCTAATCTGACACCCTGGTATGAATTTTCGTGAAGAAATAAGGATCAAACAAAACACAATGTGAGATATATACTGCGTACATCTGAATAAATTCAAAACATATTGTGACACTATGAAGTAAATTAAGACAGAAGGCAGTTATCTCTCCTTCCCGTTTGTATTTGTTACCCCTTTCCCCACCCTCTGCATTTGATCAAGCTTAGTGAGAAGCCATACGAACATACGACGCCATCGTGTCAGGCCCCTTAGGCAGAACTTTGCAAAACTTGGTAGTTTAAACGTTCATGAGGCGTCTCCTGCTGCGCCCTCTGCAGCTTATCAGGCGCTACTAGAATAAAAATATCCAGTAGCCCTGGATTCCACGGACATTATGGGGCCGCATAGAACACTTTTCTTTTTTTATAGCAATTAAGATTTCCAAGGTTTGGGAGAAAGGATGTCGAACTCAGGCTAAATAATAAACAAACAAGAGCTTAGCACAAACTCAATGCGGAGAATATGCAAGCCTCATCAGAACAGAAAACCTAAACTTGATCAATTATGGGTCTGTCTGCACCTGGCCAGCTGGGTTTCTGGAAATCGGATGGCCATTCTGGCTGACGCGCTGGCTTTGGAGACGAAGGTTTATTAGTCTTGTCGCTTGATGGTCCAGTGTACTGGTTGGAGCCATGACCGATGGGGAGCCAACGAGAAGAAGACATCACCAGCCTGTCAGCACGCCCTCACGCTTCGACTTGCAAGAAGTGCAACAGACGCTGACCCCCTCGTGTGTTTCATGTGAGTTAGAAATCGCTGAACGCCCGTCCTATTTGTTGCCTAGATGATTGATATCCGGATATTTGCCAGATGGCGCCCATTCGGGGGAAAGATCCGATTCCTTCACCCATCTCATCTCACTCAACCCTGCCGCCTCCCTCGCGGCTCCGGCCAATAACACCTCCTTTTCAACGCAATCGGGCGAATCATCAATGCCCAGATTCTGGTCGGTTAATATCGTGCATCTCGGCTTGCACTTGGCACATCATCCTCGGAAGCCACAGCGCGCGCCAAAGCAATTCCCCGCTCCTTGAGGCACACTCACTCAAGCCCATGAGCATATGGGAATGAATAATAATAACGGGACGCTTGCATGTGGCGGCCGTAAACTATTATTATTATTCTCCCAAGAAACCTTCGCTGGCTCAAATCGCCTCGTCAAGCTTTCAATTGGTGGTTGAGGCAATAATGGATGCGTTTCGCAGTGATTCCCGATCCTCGCTGAGTTTCTCGTTCGGGGCGATGGCTTGGCTCAAAATAATAAGAATAAGAATAATAATAATAATAATGCACATCAACCGGATCCAACTAGAGGGAGTGTTCGGTTGCACGCTTAACCTCGTACAATCTTGTATAAAAGACCCCACTTACACAATCTTACACCGTACACACTCCATTCAACATTGTCTGCACGAAAGAGGCCTTGTGTTCAGTCTGCCATTCTTATATCATATCCCTTCTTTTTCTCCACTTACACGCGATTAGACTTCAATGGTGTAACTAGATCATATAGTGAGGGGTTGTATCTATAATAAGGCAAGGTTGGGAGCGTGTAAAGTTATATACAAGTGTGCTGCCAGGTTGAGTATTATCCTGTAGTAGTGCGGGGGCTCACATTGTTGATTATATGACTCCTGCTGTACACTTAAAATACTATCCACTTTTTACGTGCAGGTTGTACTTGTATGTACATACATACGTACAACCGAACACGCCCCCTGAGTGATCCCATTTACCATTTACAAACTGCCGTTGGCGCAATAATAGCCTCTGTGGAGTTACTCCGTCCTCCTCTGTGCTAGCGAAAGCTGACATCAGCGGATTTTATAATTAACTAACTTAACCAGTTAACTAACGTTAGTTAATCGTAGCTTCGGCTAATCCTCCGAGCCTCAAATTTCAAGTTGTCAATCTATCAGTGTAAAGCAAATTTCGTCTCTCAAGGCTGACAAAGGCTGGTGATGCCTTTAATTGCAAGGTATTTGGTACAATTGGTGACCAAGATGATTGTGAAATTGCATTCTCTCTGTCGATGCATGCTGGGAACCTAGACTGATTATCCTAACCACGGCCCTAAATGCAACCATCCCATGTTCCCCTGGCGTAAAATTAAAACATCTTTTGCCATGGTAGCAAAATTTTCTAATACATCGAGTGTCTGACACCCCGCGGAATTCCAATCAATGCAGCAACTTCCCCTCCGCTATCTCGACTTTCGCGATGTTTTTGGATCTAAATGAAAGCCTTCAACATTTCCCCTTTGGGGAATGCCGAGGTCAATCCGCTGAGTCATCGTATAATCGCGGGGAAGACGACGAGCGAGAGCAAGCAAATGCGCATCTACACACTTTTGTCAAGCCATTTTCTGTCTTAACACCCTGAACCCGGAAGAAGAGCTCATATACATAAAACCCCTTGTCTTCACCGGGAACAAATAGCCATGTCCTCCGCTCCCTCTGAAGCCATTGCTGATATACCCGCACCCACGCATGCCCAGCTGGATTCCATGCTTTCTCGCAAGTTTGGCAAGGAGACAGTGAACTATTTCTCAAGTGAGTAACTATCTCGCTCATTTCCTCCCCATCTCTGTAGTACAACGATATGGCTAAGCCCTAGCATCTCCTTCGCAGGTTCGCGTTTAAACCGGGTCTCGTTCCTCCGAGCAGATGGCGCATTCTTATCAGCAGCGATAAGACACCCAACAAGCCGCTTTCTACTCTTCAACGAGCTCAACCCCCTCATCCGCAGCCCCTCAGAGCTCTTCTACGCTTCCTACAATGATGTCAAGACCCTCGTTCCCGAAGACATCTTCGATAAATCCGAAGTAGACGCCCTCAAGGACTTCGACCCCTCCGTCACAAAGCCCCTCCTGATATTCCTAGGTCTAGACGAGACGCAGACGGAAAATACTTTGAGCTACAAAACGTATAAGGGAACCCCCTTCTTCGCCCTAGACGTCACCCCGCGCGGCACAATAGAACAACCTGCCAAGGACATTATCGCAACTATGGAAGCCAAGGGCTTGTCTTTCTTCCGGGGCCGCACCGTCACCACCCTCCCCGCCGACATAGCCGCCATATATGCCCAAGCCCGCGCCATTCTCGACTGGAACACGCGCAACATATACTGTGGCACCTGCGGCCACCTAACCATGTCTGTCCAAGCGGGCACAAAGCGCGCTTGCCCACCGCACGACCCCCAAGGTCCCCGCCCGCCCTGCAGCACCCGCACAACGATCTCAAACATCTCATTCCCCCGTACTGACCCAACCATCATCGTGGTCGTCGTCAGCCACGACGGCCAACGCCTGCTTCTGGGCCGGCAGAAGCGATACCCGCCCAACTGGTACTCGACGCTGGCCGGGTTCATTGAGCCCGCCGAATCCGTCGAGGATGCAGTGCGGCGCGAGGTGTGGGAAGAGTCTGGCGTGGTGGTGTCCCGTGTCGTCATCCATAGCACGCAGCCATGGCCGTACCCGGCCAATCTGATGATTGGCGCCATTGCGCAGGTGGCGAAGCCGGAGCATGAAATCATCTCGCTCCAGCATGACCCAGAACTAGAAGATGCGCGGTGGTTCTCTATTGCGGAAGCTGAGGAGGCGTTGAAAGTGGGCACCAGCGATTTGTCGGGGAAACCTGGGTCGGGATATAAAGAGGGTTGGCTGCGCTTGCCGCCCAGGACGGCGATTGCGTATCAGTTAATTGCCGCGGTGGTTCATGGGGAGTTTTGGGGGGGGATTAGTTATGCTAATGGGCCCAAGATGTGAATGGGTTGAAGTGTCAGTGCAGACGGGCAGGTGTCAGGCTTTCAAGCCTGTGACATACATCCCTGTGCTTATTGGGAAAATTAGAAAAAAATAAAATAAAAATAAAAAGGCAAAGAAAAGAAGGTCAATATAGAAATGATTCGCCGGGTTTGACTGCGATACCCTCCTGCTCATATGGCATGGGCATTTTACTTTTGATACCACAGTTTGTTAGCGATATATACATAAAATTGGATTTACAGGGCGCGTATTTGAAGAACAATAGAACGCACCGCCTCGCTATCTTGTACCCTATTAGACATAGTTATATTAAGATCACAGATACCGTATGATATGTCGCGTCTTCGATTCATTCACCCGCTCATATGCATACAAGTGCGTAGACATCATCTTTGTATCAGAGATTTTTCCCATAGGCGGCGTATTTATCACGCCTGACACCCACCTCGAAAATTCACCTTGGTTGGGTAGCTGAAAGACATAGACCGAAGCTCGATCAAAGGTCCTTGCCTGTAGGACTGGGTCAGAGAGGCAGAAAGAGGTTTGGGACTATATCATTCAAATGCTATAACGTCAATGGGACTTGGAATATTCATGACACCAAACAAGTAGCTAAACAAGAAACACCGTGGGTTGCAATCATACGGAAAGTACTGTGGAGGTGGTGAATAAGAGGGAGAGAGAGCAAAATAAAAACTGGGTAGTATAGGACAAAAGGATCGCAGAGATAGAGAAGGATCTTGAAAGAAATAGAGCAGAATAATGTACGCAGTTGGCAAAAAGGGGGAAATGAGTTCATAATGGGCAATCACATCCCCAATTTGGGGGAGAAAAAAAAAATAAAGGTTATATAATAAACGGATATCGCCAAACATGCTTTTCCTTTTCGTGTTTCCATGTACGAAAAAAAAAGTAAGAAAAAGGAGCCGCTTAAATTTGTTTGAAAAGAAATAAGGCATTAAAAAAAAAAAAAAAATAAAATAAAATAAAATAAAATAAACACTATGCTTCTCCACCCAACTGACAGTTCCCTTCTTGAGAAAACAAGGGGGGAACAGTTCCGGTGTGGAGCTATAAATGAATACCACGAGGATCTCTACTTTCAATTTTCAAGCGACTGAAGCTGAGAAGAGGTACCTTCCTCTATGCGTGCCCGCTTGGTATCCCGCCCATCACTGCTCTGAGCAGCGCCACCGCTCACTCTACGCTTTTCTTTTTCGCGCTGATGCTCTGCACGACGAGCTTCTTTGTCCTTTTCCTTGCGGTGGGCTTTGGATTCGAATTCGTGCCAGTCGCCTTCGACATTTGCGAGCCTAGTGAAAGGGTTGTTAGTTACAGAGGATGAAAGGATAAGAAAATGGCTGTCATGATCAGTATAGCAGAAAATTAAACTTACTCAATAGCCTGCTGGGGCCCTGGTTCCTCTGACGTGAAGTATGGGTGTGTGAGGACCTCCTCAGCAGAGGGTCTTCTGACAGGATCATACTGGAACATCTTGGAAACGAGGTCTAAGGCAGCAGGGGACAGGATATTTTTATAAACATCGTCAAAGGTGCGTGGTTTCCGCTCTGTCGGGCGTAATAGCTCAAACCACGGCATTTCGACAATATCAGGCCAGTCAGCGCGGGTCGGAGTGCCCAATGAATTGTATAGCTTCTCAAGTTGACTGATCTCGCCACCCTCACCGGGGAACACGGCTTTCTTGGTAAACATCTCTACCCATACACATGCAGCACTCCAGATATCGACGGCGGGGCCATATCGAGTTTCTCCTAGTAAGAGTTCTGGTGGGCGGTACCAGATGGTGATGACGCGGTTGGTGTAGTCTAGCTGCCGGCTCTTAGAGAAGAATCGCGCGAGGCCGAAATCAGCAAATTTCAGTTGTCCCTGATTACTGATGAGGATATTAGCGGCTTTGATGTCTCGATGTAGCACCCCGCGGTGGTGCAGATAATTTAAACCATCGAACATTTGTCGTGCAAGATGTTTCTTATGGGCAGCTGTGAGAGAGAATGTCGGATGGTTGATGAGGCCAGTCAGATCGTGAGACAAGTACTCGAACACCATGAAGCATTCGTTTTTCTCTACCATAACCTCCTGCAGACAGACAATATTATCATGCCGGAGATGTTGGAGCAGTCTAATCTCACGAACGGCCGTAATGGGGAACCCATCCTTCTCACCCTCCATACGTATCTTCTTCAGCGCGACCATATTCTTAGTATAAACATGAATGGCCTTGAACACCTTGCCGTATGTTCCCGCTCCAATAACCGACTCGTTTCCGGGTTTTCGGTAGTAGACAGAGTCGGACTTGGAGAACTCTTCAGATATCGTTGGACGTGGCTTCATTCGCTTCAGGATTTTCTTCGGTTTCTTACGTTCTGGCGATCGCTCTGGCCGTCTCTCATGTCGGGGCTCCACTCGTCGTTCATCCCGTCGATCACGATACCTCTCTCCTCGATTGTCAACCCGACGGTCGTTTCTCCGCGAGTCTCGTCTGTCATCTCTTCGATCCAGCCGATTACTAGACTTTTCCCTCGGTGGAGGAGCATTCGATTGTTTGTTCTTCGTTGTCTCTGCCGCCTTTGGAGGGGGTTCACGCATCCTTTGTGCAAGGTCGGGCACTGGCTTAGGCGTAGCCGGGGCCGGAGCCTTTGATTTGAAAGCGAAACTGAATTTTCCTGATTCTTTCTCTTTGGGTTGTGCAGGGGCACCCTGTTGTCGATTGGGAGGCGGCATTTTCTTTGAATCTTGCTTCTCCGGTTTGGGCTTTGAGTCTTCGTCTTCCACCTGTAAATCCTTGGATGGGCGGAATGGGTTATCATCTTCGTCAATTTCAGGCGATAAGCGCTCATCTGGAAGGTGAGGATGTTGAAGCGAGCCCCCAGGAGGTCCGTGTGCTCCGCGGCCACGTCCACCGGAAGGAGTCCATTGCAGATTGTTAAAATGGCTCCCTCTTCCCCGTTGTTGCTGTTGTTGTTGGGTTTGTGTTTGGGGTTGTGGTTGTGGCTGCGCGTTCCCATATGATTGCGAACCTGGTCCAGAAAATCGACGATCCTGGGTTTGATTATATTGAGTGCCCCGATATCCCGGAGGGCCACCTCTATATGTCTGACTAGAGTATCCTGGTTGTCCGTGGGCTGCGCTTGCGGAATACGGCTGGCCTTGGTAATACTGTCCCTGAGACCCGCCCTGCGGAGGGGGATAAGTCGCCTGTCTATAAGGTGGCGAATAGCCGCCCATTTGTCTGAATTACATCGTTAGTTTCAAGTCATGATGAATACCCGGCGTTTGTACGATTTACTAACCCTTGCTGCCCATGGTATGGCTGCTGGCCAGTCCACGATCCCCTACTACCACTGTACGGAGACCCTGATTGCGGGGACCCAAGGCGGGAGCTCGTGGGCGTCACATACTGTGGCGAGGTATTGTAAGATTGGCGTGTATCGACCTGTGGACGAGATGGTCGGCGTGAGCCACGCATACTGTGGTTTTGAAAAGTATCCCGTATCCGAGCATCATTGTCGGTATTTTGATTCGGGTTCCCAGCATCGAAGCTAGGAATGGGACGAAGAGGGGATGGAGAGCGGCGTGGGTCATCCACAATAGACTGGATTGGACGCGTAGATTGCATTTCTGTGCTTTTTCGATAGTTCGGCGGTGGTGATTGCCGCGAGCCTCTTGACACTAAGGAGTGACGGGATGAAGGGCGCGGGGAATGATCCACGTAGTCCTTTCCAGGCGGAGGACTCCGAGAAGCACGACGCGGGGATAGGCTGCGTCTTTCTATGAATGAATCTCGGGATCTGGAACGCCTGCGGCGAGACTGCAAGTAGTCGGATGTCGAGACTTCAGAACGAAGGTCCGCCGGTCGGTAATCCTTGCCACGGGGAATCGGGGCCCTCCTCGGGGAGAAATTGCGATTGGGTCGACCTCTGCCTCTCTCGGGGCGGTCTCGATTACGACCGTCTCGCCGCTTGGGGCGTGGGTGCGGCTGAGGGCGAGATGGCGAAATGCTCCGACTTCGTTTCCGCTTGGGGGGCGGGGCAGGAGACTGTGGTGGTAAATTTTTGTGGTCAGCCCGAGAAGTTACCTGAGCCTCTGGCTGACGCGTAGAATCTCGCTGTTCAGTGTCTGCAGCCCTAATGTGAGAGGAAGGAGAAAGTCGTCTGTTCCTATTACTAGTATAATTGCTATTAATGTGTTTCTTATTATCTCCCCTCCGGCCTGTCTGGGGACGACGGGACGATTGATTATGATTAGCGAATGAAGCACCACGGCCTCTAGATCTTTCGTGGCCACGGCCTGCCCCACGACGCGAGGCCGGCGGTGATCGTGGACGCCGCTCAGGCCGTTCGCGGTCTCTTTCTCTGTCTCGTTCTCTGTGATGTGGATGTGGGTCGTCTCTCTCTTTGTGGTCGTCGTCGGCTCTCCACTGGTCTTTCATCAGCGGATTCCTTCGGGACCCAGCCATGTAATCGTTAGCGGCATCTGGTTAAGAATCGGTTGAAGGGATAAGTTGGCAGCAGTTGTGTCGGGAGAGAGGGGGTTGATCAAGAAACGTCGTGCGGAACAGAAGGACTGGCGATACTGGAGATTCCTTTTGCGCTAGCGGCGTTGAGGGCTTGGCGTCAACCGGAGTCAGCAACGGGCGCCCACAGGCACTCACTGCGCAGTTCGGTTTCTTTTTTTCTTTTCTTTTCTTTTTTTTTTTTTTTGCTTTTCTCTTTTTGCTGTTGAAATTCCCTATCTGTCGCTGGGATTACATGCAATCCAACAATATTCTCAGATCCGAAGGCCTGCCACAGTTTCAGATGGACCCCTAGGATATGCGAGAGTGGTTGGCTGTAGCGGTCTGGAGGCTCCAGTAGCGTAGCGCGACAGGGCTTTGTAGTAAATATCAGATGTTCCTCAATGAGACAGTGAGTTGCAAGACTATATATATAGTCAGAGTCTGGCGCCGCAGGTTGATAATCCTGTTCCGTCAAATTTGCCGTTGGAGAGCTTTTGTTGTAGGTTGCAAGAAGCGTTGTTGGGGGGTTGGTGTGTTCCTCTGGTGGTTACCGCCCGTGTCTTGGTAGCTCCAGCAGCAAATGAGTCCGCCGATTGCAAAGAGTGGTGAGTCTACGATTGTGTCCCAAATTGATGACAGCCCAAAACAACAACAGCGCCCACAGGAAAAAAAAAAAAAAGCCCCAGCATCCTCCCATTTAACCACTGTGGGAATACAGAGATTGTCCTGTGGTTTTCCCATAAATATATTCCCGTCCCATCTGAGTTTCTCTCCCTGCCAATGGGGTTCGACACCAATTGTTCCGAGAGTTTGTCACGGAGCACGTCCAGTGGCTAAATATCACTTTTCGTAGCTCTCACTCTCTCACAGCTTCTGTGGGCCAGTCAGGCTGCGAATAGTCTCTGGTTCATTGTCGAGGGAATCCAGGACATTCTGATGTTGTTCTGTTGTTTTGTCTTTTTCACGGCTGCTGCACTTTAGCAGCATCATGTCACACACATATCTATCTACGGTATGGAAAAGAAGCAATATATCCTGATCCGACATGCAAGTCTTCCCCCTCCTTTATGTGAGGTGGGCTGTAGTTTCCACCAAAAAACTCCTCTGGCTGATGTGGAGTTAACATTTCCAGTCGTCGATAGGACATATTCCTAAAGATCCCCCGTCTTTCTTTAGCTCAGGTGCTGTTATATATACGGTCCATTGAGCGAGACAACCTTGTGGTCTAGTAGCAGTAGCAGTAGCAGTAACGGTGCCAATAGAAGAGAGTGTCTAGTAGGTGAGGGAACATACACCACGGTGAGTGACGTACCTATCTGTACATGCCCTCAGCATATTCCATCGCGCTGTACAATTAATCTTCTCCCGTAGTCCATGTGACATGTTGAAGTTAAAATAGGGGTGTACCGCGGGGCTGGCCTGGACGATGGCAGCAATTGAGCGTCGCGATGTTGTATGTTCCAGACGTGGACTGGCAATAGTCATTTTACAATTGATTTGAGCAAATGAACCCCCGTGCTAGCCAGCAAACGGGGTGTGCTGTTGCAAAAACAAAATATGCCAAAAAGTGCCCTCCCAGTCTCAACAACGGCACAACAACGGCCATCCTCCGGCCGTCAAGACATGGAAATCAACTAGATTAGACCCAGGCGCGGAAGCAGTCGCGTTTCTCAAATAGAAGGATCGAAGCAGCGTAGGGTGGAGGGGGCTCTGCGCAGTGGCGTGTGGACACTCCGGAGGACGGGGGGTGATGTTGACGGCTATTTGGCGGCCTCGGACATCACCAACTACAAAGTACGAAAAGGATACCCATCCATCCTATCCATCTATCGCTGGTCAAGGAAAACGCCCCTCAGATATCGTGCACCATGGCGCTGCATGGGCCCCCTAAAGACGCAGATGCTCATCGTTTGTCGACATTCCCCAAAACACTGAGTGAACTTAGGACGTCGAGGCACCTAGGTCTTCGAGGAGAAAATTTAAGGGCGGCGGAATCACCAAGAACATCGCAACGAGACGCTAGACGCGAGCACTCCAGATACGAACCCCACCAGGTACATACCTCTGTCTGTCTCCAAACAGAATCCCGGTTAAACTGTCTAAGAAGACGGCCGGTTGCTGGGCGGGCGGTACTTGGTCGGAGCGGAGGTGGGTTGGAGACGAGCGGTGTTGGGCGGGCTGGCTCTCGCTTACAAGGTTCCGAAGCTGGAAGGGTCACGTGGTAAAATTAGTCATCCAAATTGTCATGTGATTTGGGCCCTTCAACCGCGATTCTATGATAACTATAAACATGCCACAGCCCCGTCTTAAGGCAAAGGAATGACATTATGACATACGAAGGAGATCATATCTTGCAATCCAGGCCATTAACTATTATTCATTACCCACTAACTACCATATGCAGGTACCACAGCCAACATGTGATTGTATGCCATCCAAGCATACCCAATTAAGTATAACCAGCCAACAATCGCATAAACCAAGAAGAATAGGAGATTCAAATAAAAAAGGAACAAGAAAAAATCACCAGAAAAAAGAATGCATTAAGAGCATCAAAATCACCCCCTAACCCTTTTCGAAACAACTTTCCCAACCTCCACCTTCCCCCTATCCTCTACAGGCACAAGCAGCTCCTCCAATCCTTCCATCCTCTCCATCTGCCGCTTATGCAGCACAGGCAGGTAGTCCTGCATTGTCCTAGGATTAATATACCCCCACAGAAACATATCCGTATACCTCTGTTGCAAATCTAACCCCCTCCGGATCGATTCCTTCAGCAGCAGCTCATCCGGTCTCTGCAGCGGTACTCGATTCCCCGTCCGGCCCCAGCATTGGTATTGTACGATGCCTACCTCATGGGCTGGAACGCCGAAGATACTTAACCCCCGCTGATCCTGGCGTAGCTGGTACTTCCAACGGGCGAATAACCGCATGACGTCTAGCTTGCTGATCAGTGCTGTCCGTTTCAGTGTCCGCCATAGCATGGAAAGGCTAGGTTGTGCGAGTAGCAAGCGGCGCATACCATCCTTCCCACTACCAGTGATTGGGTCAGTGAAGCGCATGTCGAGCTTGACAAAAAACAAGGTGGCGAAAAATAGATCGACATCCGTGAATATCTCGTGGTTTTGAACTAGTGCTATTCGCCGTGCGTTATCTGGAATATCCATGAGGAGCCATATCTTTTTCATGGTTGATGTGCAGCGGTCTGGCACGGGGACGCCATCCTCCGCTAGGATAGTGACAATCTCATGGCAGACCATTTCGCGAAAACATACCATGAGCAACCAGCGGAAGGATGGAACTTTTCGAGTTTCTCCTAAAGCGGCACGTTTTGCAACAGGATGAGGGCGTAAACCTGGGTCTGGAATGCAGAGTTTTGCATAGCAGCGGGGCGGAAATATTTTCGCGGCCTCCGGAGCACGTGCGCACGCCTGTGCCTGGATAACAGTTGTAAAGCGAGTGTTCACCACATGATGGAAATCTTTGGAAGTACGATATAAAATCAAAAGCTCCTGTACACGCAGATGCCTCGTTACGAGCAAAGCCAGCTCCGGCCTTTTGAGAATTTCCTGGAAAATATTAAACGGGGCCTCATATTGATATCTGACTCCCTCAAGTCCTGGACCTCGACATGGGGTTTGGCCGCTACCCCTTTCAAGTTCTTGTTTTCTCATAATAAATAATTGGGAAATATTAGATAATGACAACAAATCAGACTGCGCACGCTCTGCCGCGCTGACGAACCGGTCTTGGTGGCCCCTGCATTTAAAACTAGATTGTCTTACGGTTTGGGAATCGAAGGTCTCTACCTGCAGCTTATCGTTAGGAGGGGCATCGGAGCCTTCACTGCATTCATTGACATTCCGAAAAGCCTGTGCCAAAGGTGGTAACCGCAAGGCTTTGATATTACGGCGAGGATTCGTTAGAGCTGGCAGAGTCAGTTGACGAACTGCGTTCGGGTTTGAGTGGTCTCTCGTCCTCATCGCATAAGGAAGACTGAAGTGAACGGGGAGCGGGAGCACTTTCTGACTTGCAGTTAGCTTCTCACCACCAGCTTCCTTTGCATTTGAGGACATGCCTTTGGGTATCAATGGGCCTAAAATCATTTCAGCCGCTCTCAGCAGCATGAGCAGCGGGTCCTCGCCAGTACTAGTTATGGGTGCCATTATTGTCGGCGGAACGGGGCCTGAAGAAGATCGGGACGACTTTTGCCCGGGATCTGGCGGGTTGGATAATGCGTCATGTTCTTCTGCTGACATGCCTGTGGAATCTCGCATCTCCGAGTTTGCGTGAGTTGTTCTCTGGTGTGGTATACTATTAGGGTTCGCAAGAATTGCATCCCATTCCCACGGCGTCCTCCGTTCAACCTCTTGCACTGACGACGGGGAACCCCCACTGCTTCCCAAGGGTCCCGTCGTCGCCAAATGTGGTTGCAGAGCAGGTGGGTCATTACCAAGTTGTGCCCGTTGCGGGTTCATTTCAGGCGAGGACATTTGATGCAACCTACCAGTTTGCATAACCCCGACAGGACAATTTGGACCACGAGAATCCTCAGTTTGATGGTCATCAATGCCATCGCTCTGCGACCCCGTGTGGTTTGGCGTCCGACCAGGGCTTTTTCTGGATGCAGGAGTTCCTATGGTCGTAGTCCTGCTCGCTCCCTGGCCAAGGTACCCGACTTGATTTCCAACTCCCTGGATTGGATAATTTCCAACAGCTTCAGTTTGGTTCGGCCCCAGAGGATGGTCAACATTGCTGTAACTTTCCTGCGCTAAGTTAGATTGAGGTCGACCTGTTGTCACTGGCGGTTGGGACTGTTCTATCTCCCTAGATTCGCTAGTGCGATTGGAATTGCGTCTAGTCCCTCTGTGCTCCACGCGGGTATATCTGCTCCTTTCCCTTTTTCCACTCTGTAGAGGAGGCCTCTGCGTTCCTATTCTTTGAGGCCATGATGCGGTCTTTTTGTGTCCTGTTCTATGTCCCTCCTGGTACTGGTGTAGCGGTGGTTGAGACGAATATATGTTTATATCCCGAGGCTGCAGTTGCTCCTCTGGCAGGTCAACTACTCTTGGAAATACCCCCGACCCCGGAATTGGTGGACCCAACTGATATGGAAAACTCCACCTCTGTAACCCCTCTTCCTGGAGCTGAAACTGGTGCTGCTGGTGGTTCTGGCGCAGGAGTTGGTCTTGTGGCTGATGTTGGAAATGATGTTGTACCTGGGACTGGTATTGCTGGGGCTGCGGCTGGTCCTGGTGCTGGAATTGGAGCTGTAGCTGCTGCTGCTGCTGCTGCTGCTGGTTGTCCCCAAGCTGCCTTCGGTTATGCTGTTGGAGTGGGTGCTGGTACTGCTGGTGTATCTGCTGGTCCTGCTGCTGCTGCTGCTGCTGGTGTGGGTTCTGGAGTTGATGGTGTATGTGCTGGATTTGCGGTTGGTACTGCTGGTCCGGGTGGTGCTGTTGGCTCTGGAGTAGGTACTGCTGGTTGTGTAGTTGATGCTGCTGCGCAGGGTGGTGTTGCTGGCTGTGGGGTAGGTGCTGCTGGCCCTGCAGTTGGTGCTGCTGCACGGGTTGGCGCTGAGTCTGATATGTTTCCTGTATCTGGTGCTGCTGGAAACGTTGCAGAGGCTCATATGCTTCCTGCTGTGGCATGTCCAAGTCCCCTGCTCCAAAAGCCATATTTCCTAGGGGTAGGTAACCCGGCCACGCCATATTCGTCCAACCTTGGCAGAAAATTTACAAAATAGAAGGAAAAGAAAAGAAAAAGAAAAGAAAACAGAAGAAAGAAAGAAAGAAATGGTGAATGCTTGCAGTCCTTATCAAAAGGGACAAGGTGCGCAGGCGAATCTTGATAAACCGAATGATCCAAGTTGGGGTTTCGCAAAGAGTGAGGATTTTCAGATCAATAAACAAATGTCTCCCTCTGCCTGGAATATTGGTGAATGAATGAATGGGTAAGGGTTGGGGTGGAATGGGTATTTATTATATGGGCAATTGGTGATTGAACGGGGGGGTTTTCCAATCACCAAAAATAGGACAACTCGGGATGGTGAATGGGCAACTTCTATGTGAATAGGGGCATGCAAGCGCGCGAATGGACGCGCCGATAGGAATAACACGAGCCTAAAATTCAGAATAAAATCAGGTATACAAACCGAGTATGTGTCCACAGACGAGAATTAAGGGGGGGCTAATGGGCTGCTGAGGGTATATATCTGGCATTGATAGATGTCCCTCAATACCTCGAGAATGGCGACTGAAATAGCGAAATGGACAGATGAGTGAGTGGCAGAATTGATGATGGAGACGCGGATAGCGATTGAATAAAGAATAGAAGAATAGCAAATAATTTAGCACCTTTACACTGTGTTAAACAATGATTACAGAGAGAGAGAGAGAGAGAGAGAGAGAGACCTCGTAACACTACACTGGAGGAGATATTTCAACTCCCAGTTCTTGTTTACTTTTCTCGAGGACGCCGTTTCGTTGCTATGGGTTGGGCTCCCTTTTGCTTTCCCCATATCCCCCATATCCGACAGCCATTTATTTCTCTCAACAACGCTTGTTTGTCTCTCGTTCTTGCTCCCGGCTGAATGAAGCCTTCTGGTACTTGCAATAACAATCTGTCTGTCCGCTGCTCCTTCATAGATTTTCCCTCTCATGCAGTTGTAATGTACCTTACCTTCGCCTAAACCGTATGTGTACCTGCGAGACATTTATCGATGTTTCTCATTTCAATCTCTTTCTATATCACACATCTATCTAATGTATACATGTAGTAGAAACCACAACCAAGAGAGAAAATCAAAGATATCAGAGAAAGCAAATAGGATGAGTTGAGTCATCATCGCATAAATGATCACACATCCTTCTTGGGCGGGGCATAATTTTTTCTGTGTTTTAACATATCTATCATATCACGGCTTTCGCGCACGGAAAATCATCGGGAACACTGAGAAAAAGGAGGCATGTTAAAAGGATCCGAATCCTTGGGAAAAACACGTAGGTGGGTTTTCTCGCTGCGCCGGTCCTGTTCTTGAAGTTGGATTCAAGAAAGGGTAAATGGAGGTAGTTGAATACAGGGAAGTATTGGGTATCCAGTATATATCTTCCGAGCGAAGCCTCAAAGGGGGAGTGAAAAGAAGGAAGAGAAAATAAAAATCGATGAAAAGAAAAACGCAGCAAGGATGAAAATGAAAAAGAAAACCACGTAGGAAAATATAATGGCAAATGGCAACAAACAGAAATCCAACCCATATATATGACAATGTGATAACGATATCAGGATGAAAAGTGTTTGCTTGCCTGTTGAAACGGCGAGCGCAGAAAAAGAGAGAACCAACAACAAGAGAAAGCCAGCCAATGCCCACCAAATTTCGTAAAGCCTCTATGATGAAATGGCTTTGAAAAAGAAAAAAGAAAAAGGGGTTCAAAGACCAAACTCCGGGTTTAAAAAAGAGTCGTAGAACAAACAAAGTTAGGGCGAAAAGAAAAACGATTCTATCATAAGGTGACGGTTGGTACACTGTGAACGAACTATCGGGCCGGCGGGAAGTATGTCTAGAAAGAAGTGAGTCGACGATAGTGTTCCAAAGGGAGAAGCTACCGTACAGAGTGTTAGAGGGTGAAATGTTGGAAGTCGGTGATTTGCGTAGAAGATGGCCTGCATCTGTGTATGTGCGTTGTCTTTGGTCGTTCATTCCAGGAACTCACGTCTGGGGTATATATACATGTGTATTCCAGCCAAACCCCCCTCTTTCTTTCTCTCTTTTTTTAAGGAGAAGTTCTACTTCCGATTAAGCAAACTAAGGAACTCCTCTCGCGTCTTCGCACTCGCCCGCATACAGCCAAGCATGCAACTCGTCGTAGTCGTGCTGCTAGTCTTCTGCACCCCACGCATCACCATGCACAGATGGCTCGACTCCATCACGACGGCTACGCCTTGTGGTTTCAGCACTTCGGCGATGGCGAGGGCTACTTGCTTCGTTAGACGTTCTTGCACCTGAAGGCGGCGTGAGAACATCTCTGCGAGGCGGGCGAGTTTAGACAGGCCGAGGACGCGGCGGTCGGGGATGTAGCCAATGTGCATCTGTAGGATTGTGTTTCTATGGTCAGTAAATCTGTATCCCCATCTTATGGCCTTTCTTTAAAAAAAATAATATGAAGGGCTGGTACGGTGGAGAATCATACCTTGCCCGTAAACGGGACCATATGATGTTCGCAGAGCGAGAAAACTTCGATATCCTTCACAATGACAAGCTCGTCGTGGTCTTCATGGAAAACAGCACCATTAACCAGGTCGCGCACGTTCTCCTCATAACCCTTTGTGAAATACATCAGCGCTTTCGCGTATCTCTCCGGCGTACCAAGCAGACCCTCGCGCTGCGGGTCTTCCCCAATACATTCCAGTATCGTCCGCACGGCATCCGCGAGTTTCTGTGTTCGTTTTTCACTTTCTTCTGGTGTAGCTTCGAGACGTTCGCGCGTACCGACGCCTGCACAAGATTATTAAATATTGAGGGGGAGAAAAAAAAAGGGGGTGTCAGAGGAGAGGGGATACACACTTGGCCAACTCAGCCCGTCAAAATCAATTGGTGGATTCAGGGTATAAGGGCTCGCAGGTCGACTAACAGCAGAAGGTGGTGTTAGAGATCCCGTATGGTCTCTAGGATCGCGAGGTGGCTCGCTGAGGTTTCGTTTAGTAGGACGGGGAGCAAGGGTAGAAGCAGTAGCAGTAGGAGTAGCGGAGGAGGTGATATGAAGCGCGGATATCTCTAATGGTCTGCGAGCGGCGGGCAATGGTTTTTCATTGACAGCACCGCTCTGTTCCACTGATATATTCTTGTGCTGATCATTAGGCACCCCGTTCTCGAGTATCTCATTTGTAGTTGGCATTGCCGTTTCCCCCGCGCTTGCTGCAGCTGCGGGGGGTATTTCTGCTACTGGGACCGGCTTTGGAACCGCAAAATCCGGATCAACCACCTGTTTCCGGGCGAATGAAGATTTGATTGATGAATTGAGGCTCTCCCGCTCGCGCACGTTACTTGGCATGCGCACGGAAGCTTGTCCGTTGAGGAGATAGGAGGGGATGGCGGATTTGGGCTTTGGGCCCAGTGGCGGGGAGTCCCCAGTCATTTGTCGATCTCGAAATTTCTCTCCGCCGTGCGACTGGGTTGATAAAGGAATGAATTGGGTTCGAGAAGCCGTGAAGTGCAGATATTTTTGCTCTTCTCGGTTGCCCGGTCCTCTAACTGACAATATTTATGTTTTGTCGGGGCATTTGCATAGGATTTTGAAAGTTATAGACTGAGGAGTGTGGTATATTTTCTTTTTTCTTTTTTTTTTTGTCTGGGCTGGCGGCGAGTTTTTTGGGAAAGATCAGAGTTTCGTCAAGGTTTCTGACTAAGGCTGATTCGCTGGAAGCGGCTGCTCGGTAAAATAAATCTCCGACGCTAGTCTAAAATAGAAAATAATAAAGGACGGACTAGATGGGAACAGTCCAGCTTATTGGGTAAAGATAGTGGCAATCTAAGGGACGTAAAGACTGAATTCGCTACTGAGTAACCGCTGCCTTTCAAATTTCACCCCAATATAATGTACCTACAAATACAGACGGAGCATAAGACAGAAAACAAGCCGTGAAATTCGTACACCTGAAGAAGGAACACCGAAAGTAATACCCTATCCCACCATGCCCAGAGGGAAATTTCAGCGTGTCTCTTCAAAGAGAATATAGGTTGTGGAAAAGGATACGCGGAAACCACCCCCCTTTAAGATAAGCAACGGGCACCAGCCAAAGCCAGCGAACAGTATGGACCAGATCGAGTCATTTTCAAGCGAGCAAAATAACTATGTTGCCCCTCATGATTCCAGCTCTTCAGTTGGAACATCTTCCATGTCTTTACCAACAATGGCATCAGACACTTTCCATACTTGAAGCAGGTTGTCTTCCGCCGCTGAACACAGAACCCACGGATCATTCAAGTTCCAGCTGAAATCGGAGATGCGGTTGGTATGGCCACCATGCATAAATAGTCTATCAAACACAATAGCGTTAGTATACTGATATTGATATGCAAGAAGAACATTCCTAGCCTGTTGAGGAGGGTACAGAATGTTCGGGCACCGTTGAAATAAGAAATGAAATGGTTAACTTACAGCTCAGGGGGTCCATCCTGAGCATCTTCAGGGGTCTGCTCCTCGCCAGCACGGCTGAGATCCCAGAACATGATCTTCCGATCGTAACTAGCACTCGCTAGCACTGCTTCCTCGAACGGATGCCAAGCCAGAGACGTTACCGATTCATTGTGGCACTCAAGCGCATGTAGCTTCGATTTAAGGTTTCGGAGATCCCAGATGCCAACACTCTTGTCCGCTGATCCGGTAGCAAGGACCGTTTCCTTGGCAGGGTTAAAGGCAATGGCATTTATCGCATCCTTGTGCTGGTCCTTGGACACCGAAGAAGCGCGGGTGGTGTCTGCTTCACGAATGTCGAGGATTTGAAGTGTGATATCGTCAGATACAGTCCCGATCAGGGACGAGTGGAGAGGGTGGTGTTGGACATCGTTGACAATGGAGGAGTGGTGGGTGTATGTCCGCGAAGGCTTAAGAGCTTTGTTGCCTTTCGTGTGTTGCGTGATATCCCTATAGATAATATTAGCACCATATACCTAAAGTGGGAATGAATGCTAGCCTCAAACGCGCAGGGGTGGCAAACCAAAGGCGGACGGTTTTGTCTTCACTTCCAGTAGCGAGATGGCCAATCAAATGAGGGCTCCAACTTAACCCAAACCCTTCCTTCGTATGCCCAAGTAACTCTAGCTCAGGGCTTACGTTACCCGTGGGAAGACTGGGGTGTCTCGAGCGGTCCCAAATCATCACTCTCCCATCTGTGCACATTGTTGCGATAACATTCGGGTTTTGTGGCTGGTATCGTGCTTTATTCACCTCGCCTTTGTGATCGATCTTTTGGACAATGTTAAATTTCACCTCCATGGGCGCCTTCTTTGATCCCCCGCCTCCATATCCGCCGATCTCCCCCCTCTCGTCATCGTAATCTTCCGCATCTGGAGCCGTTGGATTAGGTAGTTGGACATGTGCTATTTGAAGGTAGTTTTGGGCATCACTCGATGTATGCGTTCCAATGAGTAGGCGGTGGGTTGAATAGGGTTTATCTGGGACACTTATTGGGTGGTATCAGCGATGAGAGGCTCCGAGTCAGGAATCGCAATGTTGTCCAAAAGAACCTACGCTTGCTTATCTGGTAGCCATTGTGTAGTAAGAGTAGGCCATTCTAATGCTGTACTGAGAATCATATCATAAAGAAACGGCGCATTTTTCTTCCATGTCTTGTATTCTAGGGAACGAAATGTCAGCCAAAAGCACTCAAGGAGATAGCAAAAATAAGACGGGAGTAAATACCTTCATTAATTATCTTCTCCTCTGTTCTCTCTTCTTCCTGCTCCTCCTCTATGCCCACTAAAAGTGCAACACCCACAATCAGCAGCTATCTTGCGCGCACTCAAGAGCTCCTCACAAACCTTGATCAAAATCATCCATGGTGAAGCTTGGCAGTTCAAGCCTCGCGCACTTCCTTAAAGTGGAGAAAGCACTGACTTAGGTATAAGTCTCAGGAGATTCCAGAATATTTATCTTGCAAATTGGACCTCTTTGGGGCCCTAGAGTCCTATCGGAACGGTGGTTGTTAAAACGTATATTCGCAAAATGAAGAAAACGCGATTGTCGCGTTAATGAGCTCGGGACACGCTAGTCCTCTTTTCATAGCATTCGCCACGTGACGCAGCTCAAGGCCCCCCGGCCCAACTCCCGATTTGGATTCCCCGACATCTTGGGCGCAAGATCCCTCGAAGGTCATTAAAACTCCAGCTATTCACTCTGGGTGTATTTAACGGACACTTTTTTTCCCTTTTCACTGTTTTCCTCTTCATTCAGAGCTCCGAGAGCTCATCTTTTTTTCATACCTATAGAGTTTTGTCTATATAGGTTAAATTTGTTCCTGCTTCGTTATTCATTCGATCCAGTTCACGGCACCAACGTTGACCACATTTTTCAACTTCATACCACTTTCCTATCATTAATTTAACAAGTCGCAAATATGGGTGTTCCGAAGTTTTTCAGATGGATGTCCGAGCGATACCCCGCAATATCGCAGTTGATTGCAGAAAACCGCATCCCTGAGTTCGATTGCCTATACCTCGATATGAATGGCATTATCCACAACTGCACCCACAAGGATTCGGACTCGCCAACCTTTCGCATGACAGAAGATAAGATGTTCATCGCTATTTTTAACTATATAGAACATCTATACGGGAAGATCAAGCCGAAAAAATTGTTTTTCATGGCTATTGACGGAGTCGCACCGCGCGCGAAAATGAACCAACAACGAGCGAGACGATTCCGAACAGCGTTGGATGCGGAAGTGGCCAAGGAAAAGGCTATCAAACAGGGGGTTGAAATGCCAAAGGAGGAGGCCTTTGATAGCAACTGCATAACACCGGGAACCGAATTCATGGCCAAGCTGACACAGCAGCTGAAGTATTTCATCAATAAGAAAGTCTCGGAGGATGTGGAATGGCAGGGCGTGGAAATCGTTCTGTCCGGGCATGAGGTCCCTGGCGAAGGAGAGCATAAGATCATGGAATATATTCGGCAGTCGAAAGCACAACCAGGATACCATCCAGATGTACGGCATTGTCTATACGGCTTGGATGCGGATTTGATCATGTTGGGTCTACTAAGTCACGATCCTCATTTCTGTTTACTCCGTGAAGAAGTAACGTTTGGGAGGCAAAGTCAGAAAAAGTCCAAGGAGCTAGAACACCAGAATTTCTATCTTATGCATCTTTGTATGGTAAGGGAATACTTAGAGCTGGAGTTTCAGGAGTTGGAAGAGGCCGACGCTTTGCAATTTCCTTTTGATTTGGAACGAGTTATCGACGATTTCATTCTTATGGCGTTTTTCGTGGGAAATGACTTCTTACCAAACCTGCCGAATTTACACATCAATGAGGGGGCGCTGGCTTGGATGTTCAAGATTTACAAACAAGTTTTACCGAAACTGGGAGGATACATAAATGAACAGGGAACAATCAATTTAGAGCGGCTAGGAGTTCTCTTAGATTCGTTATCCGATGTCGAATTCCGTTTCTTTGAAGCGGAATATTCGGATGCCCGTTGGATTAAATCCAAAATGAAAGGCCAAGAGCCGGAGAACTCAGAGTCACCAGCAAATGCGAAGGATTTTACGATTTCACCCGCACAGAAGCACATTTTCAACCGAATCAAAAAATATGTCACACATCGCCCGGTGAATGATGAAGGGCAACCAATTCCTCTCGACCTCTCCTCTAGTTTACCAGCGAGGGATCGCAAATTCGTGGAGCAGTTAGCAGACGATCTGCACCTTGCGTGGACTACCATGTCCAACGAGCATGGTGATCGATTTTTGCGGGTACAACTGCCGTCGAAGGAGACTCAATCTAGCGGGAGCTCTGGCGACGAAGATGATGGTGACGATGAAGAAGGTCAAATTGCCCTTCTTCGCGTTATGAAGAGATACGAAAACGCCAAGGTGAAGGAAACGACGGCAGAGGAAGCTCAGCAAGCAGCTGAAAAAAAATACGAGCTCAAGTTCCAGGAGTGGAAGAACGACTACTACAAGTCCAAATTCGGGTGGGGCTTGGATAATCATGAAGAAATGCGAAAGTTGACCGAAAATTATGTGCAAGGCCTTCAGTGGGTTCTCTATTATTATTATCGCGGAGTTGCCTCCTGGCCTTGGTTCTATCAATATCACTATTCGCCGATGATTTCTGATGTCAAATTTGGCTTGAAAGCTGATATGAATTTCGACCTTGGGCAACCTTTCCGCCCTTTCGAACAGTTAATGGGTGTTCTACCGGACCGAAGCAAGCAAATTGTCCCTGCGGCCTTCCATGAATTGATGACTTCTCCAGAATCCCCGATCATCGACTTTTATCCTCGCGACTTCGAACTTGACATGAATGGTAAAAAGATGGAGTGGGAAGCCGTTGTCAAGATTCCGTTTATTGATGAAAAACGCCTGCTTGGCGCGATGGCCACGAAGCAACACTTGCTGACCCCAGCAGAGAGAGCAAGAAATGAATTTGGTGTTACGTTGAAATTCACTTATTCCCCAGATATCGAATACACATATCCCAGTTCACTTGTTGGCGTGTTTCCCGACATCGCCAAGTGTCACTGCATAGAAAATGTGTTTGACCTCCCAACAATGGAAGGTCTAGAACCTGTTGTTGGCCTTGTAGAAGGCGTTAAACTGGGTCACGAGGCATTGGCAGGGTTCCCTAGCTTGAAAACATTGCCACACAATGGGCAGCTAGGCTTCCACGGAGTATCCGTGTTTCAACAGGAGAGTCGTAACGAGAGCATGGTGGTAACGCTCAGCGCGCCAGAAAACCGGTCCAGTGTTGAACTGGCGAAACAAAAACTTGGTCAGCGAGTGCACGTCGGGTACCCATTCCTTCAGGAGGCCAAAGTGAGTCGCGTGTCTGACGAACTTTTCGATTACATGTATGTCGATGGAGAGCAGCATGTTGTTTCTATTCCGCATGCTCCCTCCCAAATAGATCAGTGGAGACGCAAAACCCACCAAATTGAGTCATACTATAGCAAAAGACTCGGCATGGTTGTTGGCGATATCGAGTCCATGGTCCACGTGCAGATGCTGAAGGGATTAATGAAGACGGACGAAGGCGCCACGGTCAAGGAGTTCGCTGATATCCCTGGTATTGAAACGGATTACGCTCTGCAGCTTGTTGTTGACCAGGTTATGTGCGAGGATGATCGGTTTATCGAACGAGAAGCTTTACCTGTCGAGGAGGAATTCCCGGAGGGAACAAGGGCCTTTTTCCTGGGTGAATACAACTATGGAGCGCCAGTGCATATTACTGGGCATGAGGACGGAAAATTGAGTGGGCTTGTTTCCGTCGTCAAAGGCAAGGAACCGGAATTTGGTCGAGATCTCACAAGAGCTGCCGAAAGGCTCTCTCCCTACAGCCCATCGTTCGCGATTGCCCGCAGTCTGAATCTGAACCCCCTGACGCTGGCCAAAATCACGTCTTCGTTCACGGTGGTCTTGGACAGCCAACGTATCAACCTAGGACTCAATCTGAAATTTGAGGCGAGGAAGCAGAAAGTGCTTGGGTATTCTCGACGCGGGCCCAGTGGATGGGAATTCAGTGAGAAAGCCATCGGTCTTATCCAGCAATATATGATCAAATTCCCTGAATTCATCGCAGGCATTCAACGAAAGCCACAAGGAGATGGCTTCCAGGCTACAGATTTCTACCCACCAGAAACAGCGGCTGCCAAAATCAAGGAGATTCAGGCATGGCTCAAGTCTATCGAGGCGAAGCATTTCGAACGTGTACCGTTGGAAGCTGAACAGCTCAATTCAGACCTTGTGAAATCTATTGAACAGGCCGCGGACGAACTCGTCCGTACTCGACCCGCACCTGAAGCCAAAAAGATGAAAGGCGTCCCGCGTAATGCATTATTAAAGCCAGCTGATGCGGAGCATCGACTAGGCAACCAGTCATTTTCTCTTGGTGATAGGGTGGTTTATGCACAGGAATCTGGCAAGGTCCCCATCGCCACAAGAGGGACTATCGTTGGGCTCACGCGCACATCCAGAACACTTCTCCTGGACATTGTGTTTGACGTCTCCTTTATGAGCGGCACAACTCTGGGGGACAGATGCTCCCCATTCCGCGGTTCGACCGTTCCCGCATCATGCGTTCTAAACGTGACCAACAGACAACTTGTCGCAACGACCCGCGCGGCGGCTGAACAAGGCAGATCACAACAACAGCGACAACAACAGCCACTAACCGTTCAGGGCTACGGAGCTCCACTCGGACCAGGCGGAAAGGGCCAGCTGGAACATGCTCCCACCCCTCCGCCTCTACGAGGCAGTTTCCGTGGCGCTGTTACAGGTCAGTTAGGTGCGTCCAGGGGCATTGGAACGTTCCGTGGCCGTGGTGGCCACGGCCAGTCGGAGCAAACATTGCCGATTCGCAACCACTATCCAACCAGTGGCTCACCGCAACCGCCTAAAGACATTCGCGGCCGGGGTGGTCGGGCTAATTTTGGCAGTAATCAGAATGGATATAGCCCCCGTGGGCTGCGTGGAGGGCCACGTGGAGGTATTGGTGCGTCGCCTGCGACTCGCGCTGGCTATGTTTCGGTTGAGAGGGTGGACCCGCAAGAAGATGTTGTGCAGCACAACCCGAATTTCAGACCTCGATCTTACAATAACGTTCCTCCGCCATCGTCTTTGGAACGTGGGGGAAGTGGTCGTGGTAGAGGCGGTCGTGGTTTTGCACGCGGTGGTGGCAGGGGTGTTAGTCGTGGCCAGGGAACCACATCTGCCTGAAGGACTGAAGTTCTTTTGATATGAAAGAATTTATAGACCTTGGTGTTGACGACCCTGGTTTCTTTTTTGTTTTTCCTTGTATCACATAATATTCTACGGAGTATAGTATGTGAGTGTGATTGGCAGAAAAAGGAGGTACACAATATTTAATACTTAAGTATATCTGGACATAAATATGTGTATCCGTCTATCATGAACTTGTTTTGCACTTATGATATGACGATGATGATGACAAAGGGATTTTCTTTTCTTCCTTAGCACCAGGTGTCATACAAAGACCTCCATTCCTAAGGCGAAGAGCCTGCAGTTACTAATGTATGTAAATAATGTACTTCATTTTCATCATGGATAAAATTTACTCTGTACATTGGCTCTTTAGGTATTGAAAACAACCAAAAATCTGTTCTCAACACACTTGATCAATTCATACTTGTACCTGTATAATGCCTGGAAATTGGAGAAGAAAAAAGAAGAAAAAGGGAAGGCAATCGATCGCATGAATCTTCGTGCTTTGGTAACTTCATTGAACATACGTGAGCCTTGGTTGTGAAAACACTATCAGATAAGCGGCACAAAATGCATAGTAGTTACTGTATTATGTAGATGCTAAGAGGGGAATTAGCGGAGACAAATCAGACGGGAGATAACAGCACACAGAATCAATAAAAAATGAGTATGAAAATTTTGCGATTCCGTCACTCCAATTGATCTATTCAAATCTCAACTGCCGCACTACAAAGAAGAAGAATGAAACGAAACCACATCTGTAGCTAAAAGAAAAAGAAAAAAAAAATCGAAAGCAGCTCCAGACCCCAGGCCACACAAATCATGATCGGGACACAGCCCCTTTCGCCTTGCCGATGTACGTCGTGAAGCGGGGGTGGGCCGGAGGTTGTGTATCGCACGGCCACGTATTTTGGAATGCACAGAGCACAGAGTGTGTCAACCAGGCAAAAAAAAGTCAACTTTCCATTGTCAGCCAGTCCATTTGACTGGCTGATTACCCTTTAATCTGTGAAAAGCAGCCCCACATTCTCTGCCTCGCGAGATTCCTGTTGGCTTCGCAGGGTCAGAGACGGAAAAGGGGACAAGGTCCATTGCCATTGAGGATGATGATTAGAGTTGAGTTAAGTGCATCTACACATGCGCAGGATAGGATGCAATGCGGAGGCCGATAGCTGCAGGTGTGGCCTGTATGGTATGGCTGTCTTTCTAGGTTGGTTCGCGACGGGGGGAGACTTTCCGCGCGCAGTATCCCCCGCATGCATATTTGACATGGGGGACCCTGACATTCCGCTTTAAGAACATCTCTGATAGTTATTGCATCGGATGAGGCCCCCTTGACACGCCGTCTATGATAGCCTATTCGGCATATGTTTTTGAGGTTATGCTGAGGCATCAATGGCGCGGCAATAGAATAATATGGGAGAAGCAGAGTCGGTTTGTCTCATTTGGTCTGCCCCATTAGTTAGTGCCAATTAAATACTTCCGCTAAGTGACCAGCATGCTCTGGGTTCAGAGCTCCAGGATGTAAATAAGAGCGCTGTACTCCGTAGAGTCCATTCTTTAGCACGATCTGAAACTGTTTCTATGAAGGGTGGTGATATTCATGGCTGGACAGGTGGTTCTCAACGCAGGCAATTTGTTGATCATTATTGAATCTTGATGGTCAGTAGGGGTATGAGACAAAGTTGCAAAAGAAAGAAAAATCAGCTTGTTTCAGTGTGATGCATTAGGTACCTAATAAATGCCGGATGGGAATTGATGCTCAGCTGTCAGTTGTTCAGGGTTGGGCAATTGTAGTGATATCCATGAGAGACGATGACAACCTGATATTCAATCATCCTATTCAATCATCCTATTCAATCCATTGGCTCATCAGCAACCAGCGTCTCACTCATCAATGATTCAGTTCTACTAATTATCCTGCCTGTTAGTACATACCTTTCCTCCTTAAACGCTTGACCAAAGAGTCATGCATCTGCTTTGGTTGCTTCCACCCACCTTGAACAGCTCGGACAACACTTTTATTATTCGGAATGAAAGGTTAGCGTTAGCAAAACTTACCTCCCATTTAGACAGCTAACTAACTAGCGCTGACCCACTAACTAATTAACTAACTAACTATGTGAGGTTAGCTATCTTGAAATTGTAACTACGCAGTACAGCACGTCTCGCCTTCCGCCATCCTGAAAAGTCTGTGTTATCAATTTCCCCGCTTCCCTGCGAATTCCGCCGAAGAAACACTTACTAATTATATTATTATTAGGAACGATCGTCTGAGCTGTTTTATGGTAGTTAGTTAAAGGAATAAGAGAGACTAGGGCTTCACGCTACAGCAGCGTGCTTCTACATTCTGCGAGTTATTCCCTGCATTCGCCCAATAATGACATGACGAGCAACATCCTACCCCTCTCAACATGCCTCTAGTCCAGCGCGCGCAACACCCAGAACGACGTTTCTATTTGCCCTGGCTTGCGAGATTTCCATCGAGTCTTTCCCCTCGTAGAAACCGGGGGGGGGGGGGGGGGAGAAGCCTTGGAAGGGTCTCCAATTCATTTGACAGCAACGGCCCAATATATTAATGGAGCTCTTTCAGGCATGTATGTACAGCACATACCACCGATGTGCTGAAAAAGCCTGGAAACTGTCTTTTTAGTGCACAGAGAGGAGCTACCTAGTAGTACGGAAAATTAACATAGGATCTCTTGGACAGCTGAATCTCCTGACAGACCTGACAGTGAACTTGGACGCGTGTTGAACCACGGGTTGTTGCTCACTGCTTTTCTTGAATCAACCAGATCTCTCCGTTTCGCAGTTAAGTTGACAACTAGTTTAACTAGTAGTTAGTTATAGCTGCAAGATAGCTCAGAGTTGTCTCATTATTACTAACTTGACTTTCATGTCGTCCCCACTCTGTCCTCTGACTGCCTCCCACGTTGCTGGAGCCAAACGCTGTGTGACGAGCGAATGCGAAAGGATCGTGAGAACAGAGAAAACAGAGTTCGTTGAATAATAAGATTTCCACATTAACACTATAACTTTAATTAATCACCTATCATCCAGTTACTTTAGTTTATCTTGCTGCAATGACGAAAGGGCAGCAGTTCGTTCGGCTCTCTCTCTCTCTCTCTCTCTCTGCTTTGAGCAGCCTCTCTTACCCACATCCATCCAACCTCCGTCGTTCAACCCCAACAGCTCCATAGCATAGCTAGGAAACGTTACTTCTTTTTCTTCTATTATTGCCGTCCACCAAATGCTACTCTCGGGGAGATTACTCTACCGTCCACCCATCAGTGGGAGTACATCTACCCATACGCAGCGTATGGCCTTCGCGTGTTGCCCTCGTGCAATAAAAGTGATAACTTAAGCACTTTTTATGCGTCCCCGTCTAACTACGCCCAAGTCAAGAGCTCTTGTTGCGAAACTCCAACATTTCCCCCCCTTTTTTTTTTAAGGTGGTCAATCAATCAATTCATTTCTTCGCTTTCGGCTCTTCTGCGTTTATTCTGCCTCTCCGGACTCCCTCAAATCTTCACTATTCATACACCAGATATTTTCCTTCCCGTATAATTCTTGAAGATCCTCCTGATTCCTCGCAGTGCAACTGTTCCTGTGTGGCGTTCACCATTTCTTCCTATTAGTTTGGTGGCAAAAAAATCGAAAGGAAAACAAGAATAACGCCTCTCCTGAGACGTTTACTACAAAGGAAAATAAAACCCAGACCAGACCAAGGGTGTGGTCGATCATTGGTGACAGTTGTTGCCCAACCGTTTTTCCTCAAAAATTCGAGAGGAACAAGAGCACGACAGACGGGTGGAACCGTCATCCGAAGCGTGAAGGGGTAAATGAAAAAGAAATTGGAAGAGGGAAATTGTTATTCGTTCGTGTGTGTGGATTGGATGTTGAATCCAGCCTGCTTCGGGAAACGTGCTTTGTCCTGGCGATAAATAATCCCTGGGTATAGAAAGAGAAAAAAAAAAAAAAAAAAAAAAAAAGCACAACAAGCAGGATTCGCTCTTCAGCTCTTCAGATCTCGATTGCGGCAGTTGGCGAGCTTCGCGTGTGATTGCACTATTTGTCATTTTTTATTTCGAAAATACCCTATTTCGTTTTCGTTTTCTTTCTTTCTTTTTTTTTTCTTTTCTTTTTTTTTTTTTTTTCTTGTACTGCCTTGACTCATCGCTTCTGACTCCCGAGGCCTCAACATTTACTGTTCAGTCGCATATCTATCTGCCTCTGTTTCCTTGTGTGTTCATCCCCTGATGCTGTATATGATTCTATCTACCGGATATCTCGCTTCGTTTGTTCAATTGCTTGAAATCTCGTATAGGAGTTGAATATTTGCTTTAAACATTTTTAACCTTGGTGGCATTGTCGTTTTTCTTGCCATATACAGCTAATGCTTTGGCCATCGTTGATCTGCGTCGTCCGCATTTCGTCATTGCTGTGATAGAGTAGTTCGACACGCCGGGGAGACCGCTTTTTTTTCTTTGTTTCGAAAGCCCCAGGATATCATTTGGATATTTCGCTATCGGTTCTAGGGGTTTATTCAGTGTTACATTTATTTATTTTTATCACTTCGTATCTGCGGTTTTTCCCCTTTTCGCGAGCATCTGGAGACTGCTACGACATCTCGCACCGAACTTCTATCCATTTGCCCTGTCGAATCTTTCAACTGATCGCTGGGCATTCGATCCCAAGTTGGACTTCCATTACGCCTGGCCTCCAGCCTTTCCAACTGAGCGGGTCCATATACATCCCTCTTGTTCCATTTAAAACACACTAGCATTTCCGCCTCGTTTTGAAATATGTCTCTCGGCAGCTTTGAACAACATACATAGGCCAATCTTTACCGTTCAATCACATACTCTGGCATACTTGCCAAAGTGGATCAGTCAATCAGACCGTATACGTGGCAACCACCATGTCACTCTTCTCCGCTCAAGTACAGTTCTTGGTGAGTCGCAAATGCCGAAAAATCATCACCTTCCATAATTCCCTTTTGCCCCCTCTCCATCTCTGTAACAGCAACCCCAGTCTTTGACCAGTACATTTTCTTTCTGGGCCTTAGCGTTCGTTAGAGCACAAGAATATGCTTTATATTCGTGGAATTAGCCTGCGCCGTCTTTGGTATTGAATATGCAAGGCCAGCATTGCTGACATTGGAAATTGGGATTCAGAATGACTGTCTCGCACTCATCCACATCCCCCTGGACCTGTATCCTTTCTTCCTACACCCAATACTTCAGCTTATTTTCCACGATGTGCCTCCTATCGAAGATATACACCCGGACGAACTAGAATTGAGAGATCTTCATATATCTGAACCAACGAATCCGGCATTTCTTAACATTTCCATCACTCCAGTCGAATGTTCAATTGTTTGCTCGAGGGAACTGGCAGACTTATATTTTCGCCAATTGGCAGAAAAGTTCAATAAAAATGAACCTTCCAAGGCACACCAAGTATCCATCAGTGAGGAGGATTTCATCGTCATGCAGGTTGATGGGCAAGGGTTGGATGCCGGCCAACGAGTTCTGGAACTGACCAGCGCTCTTGCAATGGCGGGAGTGTAAGTTCATACTAATATTTAGAACCGCTATACTCTGTTACTAATGAGTGGAAAATTGCATAAGATCCATATTCTTCATCTCAACTTATTTCTCCGACTACATCCTCGTCCCCCGCCGTTCAAGAGGCCTTGTAACCCACACTATCAAGAACCGTGGCTTCAACTTCGAAGTCCCGTCTGATGCCTTCGTCAACAGTAGCAGTAATCCGCAATACCGCAGCTCTCCACCATCCTTAGACGCACAACGATCACCACCCTTAACACCTCCCCCATCAACACTACCAGAGCTCCAAACACGAACGTTCGCCTCCTTACGGAAACACAACATACACGCCCGCGTCGACAAATCCCTCCGCATTGTCCAATGCGCAGCACAATACTCATCATCCTCCCGCCCATGCTCCCCTTCAATCCTCCGCCCAAGCCTCGTCACAACTCTAATACTTGATAAACCCCGCTTCCTCTCACTAACCCTGACAGCCACCGACCCGGCCGCCTCCATATTGCTCGAAAAACGGCTCCTGCCTCGCTTCTCTCTCGACCCCATCTCTTGTGTTCCCCCAAACCAGCACGGTGGCTACTCACGAGGCGATAGCGATAATAATCTCCTACTAGGCTCACAGGAGGACGTCCTCATCCCTATCATGTTGGATCTGCACGAACTTCCACTGGAAGCTACAGGTATCGTCTGTGGGGTAGCCAGCCGGCTCGCGGCGGCGACTCAAAGTCGAGAGCCTACCCATGCCATCGGCGAGAGTGACAACGATCACGACGACAATGATGATGACGACGCTAGGAGCGTGGAGCTCTCGACGAATGGCTCTACTATCGCTAAGTTTGGTTATGATAAATCATCAACCTCGTCGCAGAAACCCAGGCAGAAAAGCGAGCAGTCACAGGGCGCCCACGAGAAGCTTCACCGAGTTCCGTCAGACCCTGATTCGTTGTACCCAGATGCAGTCGATATCAGCTTCCTGAGTACGGTGAGGGCTGGCACTGTCATTGTTGGCGAAAGGGAGCTGGAGAGGGCAATGGCATCATTGGATGCAGAGAGTGGACCCTCGAGTTCATTATAATACGGGAGCTCGAACGGATATCCGTCCAGAGGGAGGGGGAACCAAGGGTATTTTGTTTTGTGAGGATGTGTTGCCGAATTCCATATATATTGACAAAATCAGGTGATAGAGAATAAAGGAAAAAGTTAGCGGGTGATTTGATTTTGATTTTGTTTACTCAGTTACTCACGATTGACGAAATGCTTTATGAACCCAAAACGAATACAAAAAAAAAACCAGAATAAGATAAAAAAAAAAAAAAAGCCATTGCTATATCTTCTTACATGGATGATGGAACGACGGCAAAAAAACATAGTATGTATATTTGGGATCAAAAGAGCGTGGTTTGGGTGTGAGAGATAAAAGTTGGGTAGGTAGGTAGGGTATGTTGAGTGTGGAAATATTGTAGTGCAAACAGAGGTAAGGACGACGTCAGCCGCCTCAGCTATCGAAAAAATTGACATCTTCATATTTGAAGCAGCGGGATATAATTCAATCCCTGACATTTGTAGTGTTTATATTGAAAAGTATATGGAATCAAATGGTTTTCTTTTGCCACGTCGCCTATGGCTCAAGTCCACTCGCAATCATGAGGCCTCAATTATACTTGGCTTACTTTGTATTTGTTAATGCTTCACCAATCAATGAATGGGTAGAGTCCTTAAGTTGTCTTTTCATTGGGTAGGGCTATGATTGGGAGGGATGTATCTTAGATGAGTTATCCTCCCGGGATGTAAAACATCGGATACGGGTATATTTGTTCGAACCAGAATATGCGCGAGGTTTCATGGAATTGAATGGTAATTGAAAATGATAAATGACTAGCAGATATATGAAATGGAAGGCCCATTAGGATTAGTCCTGGCGTTTATAATAATACAAGATGGCAGATGTCAGCCGGGACGGTGAGGTAATTAGAATGGTCATGACAACGTAGCATATATATGGATCGTTAACAGGTTCGTTTTCTGTGTGAAACGAGGTACTTCGGGGAAAGGAAATGCCGAAGTCATCCAAAAACTTGAACAGTCCCTATTTCGGTAATATCATGTTAGCAGAAGCGAGTGAAAGGAAAATAATACCTCCCTGCGAAATGTGAAAAATTTTCCCAGATATGAAAAGAGATCAGGGGTGAAACAACTTACCATCCGAACAACCCCCCGCCCAGCAACCCCCTTTCTCATTCCACGCCACACAACTAACCGCCTTCACCCCTTTCCCCGCACTCACCTTCGCAATCACATCCCCCGTCAATACATCCCACGCAAACACATGGCTCTCGGCATTCACGGCACTCTCCTTCTCATCTGTCTCTCCACCGCTAAACACAACGCTATCCCCCATCGCAAACGAAGATCTAATCCGCAGCGAACTATTGACATATCGCGGCGTTTCATCCCCACCAGCAGCAGCAGCAGCAGCAGCAGCAGCAGTAGCAGCAGGCGCCGCAGAGACACTCTCTGCCTGCCCTGAGGCCGAAGCCGCAGCCGCAGCATATGACCTCCCACCCCCAAACGCCTTCAACACGCTCCCATCCGCCCGATCAACCATCCGAATCCACCCATCAAGACATGACGCCAGCACCATATTGCCGTCATCCGAACAGCGCACGCTCGTCACCTCGTGACCCATGACGTCGACGTTCACCATGCCCATGCGCAGATCGTAGCTGCGGATTCGCCCGTCGTAGCTGCCAGATATTATACTGGCCGTGGGCATGTGGATGCTCAGGGAGGAGATGGTGTCGCGGGCTTCCGAGAGGGTTTGGATGGGTTTTGAGGTGAGGGAGCGGGTGTCCCAGAGTTTTAAGGTTGTGTCGGCGCTTCCTGTGAATGGTGGTAAGCTGGTTAGTGGGATTGAGTTGCCGCGATAATAATATAGAGCTCGCCAAATAAAGGGATGGGGAGTTTTCCATATTTTTATTTTGTGCCGATGGAAGAGAGGAGATGGGGGAAATCTAGGTGATGCTGAGTGAAGGTGATAGATAGGTGTAAATCGAGCACAGCTCCTTACGACCTTAGCCACAGGCAATATCAATGTCGATCCGACGTTGCTTCGCGTATAGCTGATAGAGATATCCAGGCCTCTGGTCCTTATAAGTTTCTAGATCCCTCAGCCTTTGACGAACCAACCCGGCGCAAAGGGTAACGTTCATAAAAGGAAATCAAATCCACCTCCAGAAACATAAAAAACATTCAAATAAACCAAAAAAGCAATCCGGTTCACAATAAACCAGAGCAAAAAGTACTGCACATACCACTAGCAACAATCGAATCCGCCTCCGCCCCAAACTCCACCGCCTCAACCCGCGCATCATGTCCACTCCATCTCCTCACCGTCGTCCCCGTTTCCACATCCCACAAAAATACCTGCTTGTCACCCCCTACACTGGCAAACCGCGCGTTATCCGCCGTTACCGCGAGGTCGAGCACAGAGTAGCCATGTTTGGCATACCGCTGGATCGGGGTGGTGGTGATGGGCGTTGTGGCTGGGACGGTCGTGGAGGAGGGTGGGAGGGCGCGGCAGAGATGGATGGAGCGGTCGGAGGAGCCCGTTAAAATGTACGTGCCTGGTGGGCTGGAGAAGCAGATTGCGTTTACCGGGGCTGAGAAGCGGAGGGTTAGCTTTCGTCCCCCGTGGGTAAGTGGTACGGGGAGAGAATGGGCGCCAGGGGGTGAAGGGGAAAATAATCAGTGAATGTATATACAAGTACCATTGTGAGATTTTATTGTGTGGAGGCGGTAAGTTGGGAATCTCTGCGTAGGTGGCATCTGTATTTATCGCAGTGTAGTGTGCTGTAGGCGCGTTGGTGATTGATTTATTTACATCTTGAAGGTGGAAGATGGAGCTGGTAGGTCGAAGCGGAGCCGCAGAGCTGCTCGGAGCTTATTTATTTCGAACTATTATGGATGGGGAGAACATCAACTCTATGAAATTACAAACTACTTGATTTGGAAATAATTTAAGATCTCCAAAACATAATCATGGGGAAAGAAAACCTGTAGAATTAAAGTGAGATATTTCGAATAATAAAAGTAATAATAAAACCGCGCTACATATAACAAATGAGAATATTATCGGGTTCTGGAGGTGGGGGAATACGCTAGGTATCAGTCAAAGATGGAAGACATAGAAAGGAAATACGAAATAGAAAAGTAGGAAAAGAAATGGATTCGACAAAAAGTAATCAATCCCAAACGAGTCGCCTTCCCGCCAAATAAAAAGGGAATTGTTTCGGGTCGACAATTTTGGGCCCACGCCAACCAGGCATGGAGAATCAACGCGTATGGTATTCGAAAGAGACATCTACCCTTCTACAACTCAACAGCATCAAACATCAATACACCCATCCAACACTTAACGGCGACCATGGCTGCGGACAGCGGAGCCTTGCATTTGCTCGAGTTCCTGTTCGAGTTGTTTGATACTGTTCCAAAGTTAGCATTGGCACATCGTAGCCACGTTTGTCGGGGTGGGGGTGAAAACGTACGCTGCATGAGTGCTTTCCAAATCCTTGTTGAGACGATCTCTTTCGGAGATAAGCTTCTGCTCCCACTGTCTGAACCTCTGTTCCTCGATCTTGACTTGTTCGGTGAAGCGTTTTCTGAGGTTCTCTTCTTCCTCCTTGAACTTGGGGTTGTCGAGCTTTCTGGGGCGGGCTTCGCCGAATTTTCTCGTCTCCATTTGCAAGGCGCGGTAAGCCTCATAGTGGGATTCTTCAGTGGTGTGAATGAGGTCAAGCATATGGGTACGGATCAGAATGGAGCGCAGCTTTTTGAAATCGCAGTGCTCCTCATTCTCAACCTCGGCTACACCCCAAGCATACTGGCGACCCTTGACAATGCGACCATCGCCGGTCTTGACATCTTTCTCGGAACCAATGACGGAGAATGGCATAGCAGCCATCAGGCTACGAGCATGCTGAGCGGCGTGCTCATCGTCCTCCTCAACAGGTGGCTGGTAAATTTTAATGCCTTGGGCTTCGATAACAGCGCGGATCTATGATGGGAAAAAATAATCAGCTTTCGACTATTCGCTCACTAGTATATGCGGAATGGGTTCTCTTACGCGTTGCTTGAAGCGGGCAAGGTCAGATGGGCTGAGTGTATCGGCTTTGGCAACAACTGGGATCAGATTGACGCGAGAGCTCAGGCGCTTCATGACTTCGATATCCAGGGGCTTTAGGGTATGACCGGTTGGCCTGATGAAGTACAAGCAGGCGTGGACACGGAGATCGATCTTGTCGACACGACGGGGCTGTTGCTCCTGAAGCATGTAAGATTCGTGCTGGTCATCGAGGAACTCGATAATGGGCATCCACGAGTCACGGTTGTTGACATAATCGCCGAAGCCGGGAGTATCAATAACGGTCAAGCGAACTGGAATGGTAGATTAATTAGCTGAAGGATACGCGGAACAGAGCAGTGCTGCGTTGAATTTAATACCTTTGAAGAACTTCTCCTCGAGCTCAGCCTTTGTAATCTCAATCTCAACGGTCTTATCAACCTGCTTGGCATGTCGACGCTTGTGGTCGGCATAGTTCTTGATTGTGGTCGAGAAGAGGGTATTGATGAATGTGGTTTTGCCCAATCCGGACTCTCCAGCAACCTATAGCAAGTTAACAAAGATGCAAGTGTAGGATAATGCGGGCTCAATTGTACCATAATAGTGAAGGCAGCTCCTCGTTTGGCGACGATTTTGTGCCTGACGGTTCATGTTAGCATCCTCCCCCCCAACAAGCCCCAGACGAAGGAGGTAGTTTGTGTCAATGCATACCGTTGATTTGGGAGCTATAAACAACAAAAGCGTCAGATTCGCAAGCATCAATTAACTGGATACCAGATACAACTCACGTTGGCAATTCCAATGGGAGAAGCCGTCTCAGAAGTTGGAGGAGCCATAGCTAAGGAGGGCCGTGCTGGATATCAACTGCTGGGGGTTTGGGAGGGACAAGGAAGATGAATTACTGTAAATAAGTAACAACAAACACAATGCTCCTCACAGAACAGCCAGACAGACAGAGGCAGACAGAATAGCAATAGCACGGGTGGCAGAGGATGGCAGCGAGGGTGAAGAACAGCGATGAAGCAGTGTCTGTCGTTGTTGGCGTTTCTGTTTCCGCTGCCCCTGAAAGCTGAATTTCCCAAGCGAGTAAACACCCCAGATTGCGCTAGGCTGCATGTGGCTAGTTTGACGGAACCTCTCGCAGCAAAGTTTATCCGGGCTGCATTTCGAGATTGATTTTTGGCCGCATTTCTTTAACTATGCTGCTCGAGCGAGTATTGCGACGACGGTGATTGCGCAGCCTGAGGACGATGAAGACGGATTTCAAGGTATGTGGGAGCTCTAACTGTATGTCTGCTACCTGTAGCTAGCTAACAATGGCAACGCTATTTTCAGTTCTCCAACCTTCTGGGGACCGTTTACCGCAAAGGAAACCTCATCTTCACCCCCGACGGAACTTGCTTGCTCTCTCCGGTTGGTAATAGGGTTACGGTTTTTGATCTTATACAGTATAGGAACCCCGTGCCTATCATTATAGTAGCCGTGTGTGGAGAAATTGTATCAAGGGTTAATATTTTATAATTGAAAACAGCAATAAATCATATACCCTCCCTTTCGCCCATCGAACCAATATCTCACGAATTGCCCTTTCTCCCAAGGGCAACCTCCTCCTCTCCGTTGACGAACATGGAAAAGCCATTCTGACCAACTTCATTCGTCGAATAACCATCCACCATTTCTCGTTTAAATCTACAATCTCCGCACTCGCCTTTTCACCTTCCGGGCGCCACTTTGCTGCTGGAGTCGGACGGCGAATTCAGGTCTGGAAAACACCCTCTACGCCTGGTGCAGATGGCAATGGAGAGCTAGAATTCGCACCATTCGTCCTGCATAGGGAGTACGTGGGCCATTTTGATGTGGTGCAGAACATACACTGGTCGAGCGATTCCAGATTTTTCCTTAGCGCTTCGAAAGATTTAACGGCCAGGATATGGAGTTTAAATCCGGAGGATGGGTTTGAACCAACAACTCTTGCGGGGCACCGAGAAGCCGTGCTAAACGCTTGGTTTACTGAGGATCAAGAGTCGGTAAGTAAGATGTCGGAACTACCCACATATGTGAGCGATAGCTGAGCTTTTTCCCTTATCTAGATCTACACCGTGAGCAAGGATGGCGCCCTATTTCGATGGCAATTTGGCGGCAAGTCCGATGACCCAGAGGAAATGGTAGATAGCTCGGATATGCGTTGGAGGATCACCAAAAAGAACTTTTTCATGCAAAACAACGCAAAGGTTAAATGTGCGGCGTACCATGCGGCTTCTAACCTTCTAGTCGCTGGTTTCTCCAATGGCCTATTTGGACTTTATGAACTACCGGAGTTTTCTCAAATACATATGCTGAGGTATGTTACGTTTTGCGCGCGGTCTATATACGACCGAAATTCGTACTAACTGTAACTAGTGTCTCACAGAGCAATATTGACTTTGTGACCATGAATAACTCTGGCGAATGGATCGCATTTGGATCTTCGAAGTTTGGCCAGCTGCTGGTGTGGGAATGGCAGTCTGAGTCCTATATCCTGAAACAGCAAGGCCATTTGGATTCTATGAACTCCCTCGTATATTCTCCAGATGGACAAAAAATAATAACCGCGGCGGATGATGGGAAGATCAAGGTCTGGGATACCAATTCCGGATTCTGTATAGTCACGTTTACGGAGCACACTAGTGGTGTCACGGCTTGCCAATTCTCGAAGAAGGGAAATGTTTTATTTACCGCATCATTAGATGGCTCAATTAGAGCATGGGATCTCATTCGATATCGAAATTTCAGGACATTTACTGCACCCTCAAGATTAGCATTCTCCTGCTTAGCAGTAGATCCTAGTGGAGAGGTCGTATGCGCAGGCTCATTGGACTCGTTTGATGTTCACATTTGGTCCGTTCAAACGGGCCAGCTTCTAGACCGGCTAGCAGGGCACCAAGGGCCGGTGTCCTCCCTATCCTTCGCTGCGGATGGCTCGCATCTGGTGAGCGGTAGCTGGGATCACACGATCCGAATATGGAGCATCTTTGGCCGCACGCAGACTAGTGAACCCCTGGAGCTACAAGCCGACTTGCTCAGTGTAGCGTTCCGACCGGATGGAAAACAAATTGCTGCTTCCACCCTTGATGGCCAATTGACCTTCTGGTCAGTCGAAGACGCTGTGCAGCTGGGAGGAATAGATGGTCGACGCGATGTATCAGGAGGCCGGAAAATATCAGACCGTCGAACAGCCGCCAACGCTGCTGGCACTAAGTCGTACAATACAATAACCTACTCAGCAGACGGAAGCTGCCTACTTGCCGCGGGCAACAGCAAATATATCTGCCTCTACGACGTCAGCACTGGCTCACTCTGCAAAAAGTTCACCGTCTCCATTAACACCTCTCTTGATGGCACGCAGGAATTCCTGAACAGCAGAAATATGACCGAAGCCGGCCCGCGCGGCCTCATAGACGAAGCGGGTGAAGCATCAGATCTGGAGGACCGCATCGACAAACGTCTCCCCGGCGCCCGTCGTGGTGGCGACGCAGGCGCACGCACCATCCGGCCCGAAGTGCGGGTAACCTCCGTCGCCTTCTCGCCAACCGGACAATCCTTCTGCGCCTCGTCCACAGAAGGTTTGCTGGTCTACAGCTTGGACACCTCCTTCGTCTTCGACCCTTTTGACCTCGACCTCTCCATCACACCCGACAGCATCCTCGATACCCTCGCCGAAGCCAAAGCCACCTCCACCACCACCACCACCACCTCCGCCCCCGCCTCTTCCGCCTCATCACCAGACACCCAAGCCTCCTTCCTAAAACCCCTCATCATGGCCTTCCGCCTCAACGAAGCCCCGCTAATCCGCAAAGTCTACGAATCCATCCCACCAACCGACATCCGCCTCATCACCGCCTCCATCCCCACAATCTACCTACCGCGCATGCTCCGCTTCGTCGCCAACTGCGTCGACGAGACGCCCCATCTGGAGTTCAACCTACGCTGGATCGAGGCGCTGCTGAGCATCCATGGCCGCTATTTCAAGGACCACGGCGGCCAGCTGGCGACGGAGTTGCGCGCAGTGAGCCGCGTTGTTGATGGGATTCGCGATGAGATTAAGCGGCTCGTCGAGGGGAATGGGTATGCGTTGGAGTATTTGCTTTCGAAGCCGGTGTTGAGTGGGAAGGTGGGGAAGAAGGGTTCGGGGGATGAGGTGGTTGTGGTGAAGAAGGCGTCTGATGCTTCTGGCGATGAAGTTATGGATGATGCTGGTGATGGTGACGATGGTGGGGATGGGGAGTGGATGGGTCTGGATTAAATTGAATATTTTGTTGGTATATATATACGCTGGCCCCTGACATCTTTTGTGATGGATATTGAGATGTTGTACCATGTATGCATTTGCATGATGATGTGTTTTTGTTGTTCTTTAGTTTCTTTTTATTTACCCGGAGTTACAGCGTAGCAAAAGGAGTAGGATGGCAAAAAGTTAGCATGCTGCATGGATAATGGACATCATTCTGTATCATTGGTTAATTTTAACTTGATTCATTTTCAACATGAAAGTTTGAATGTATCGCCGAAAGAGCAAAAAGTTTTAGGTAGCCATGATCAATCAAGAGCCAATGGAATATATTAGAAAATATAAATAGCACGAATTGAGCGGATAAACCATTCATTCCTATTTGCAACACAAAGCGGAACCTTGAAGACTGTAAGAGACCAGACAATTTGGAAAATGAAGCAACATCCTGTCCGCATGCAAATAAATAACAGAAAAAAGAAAAAAGAATGAAGGACTATAAAATTGTGTGTAACCACTCCAGAAACGCGCTAAAAAATAAAAAAAAAAAAAGAAAAGAAAAGAAAAGAATAAGATGAAATCCAGACAAAATTCGGCAACTTGAAACAAAAGGGGGAGTAATACGCCAGCGATATGAGCAGATTTCTATCATCGTACACCGCAAAATAGGCAAGAAGCCCGTACCGTGAATACATGGGGGAAAAGAGAAATTATGGGGAGTAAAATAAGAGGGGCTGTTGTAAAAATGGAGACTTTCATTTTAACTATCTCCCCCGATCATGATCGTCGTCGTCATCATCATCGTCCACACGGGCGCGTTTCGATCCGCGCTCGTTGGCTCCTTCAGCTTCTTGAATGCCGTATCTCTTCTGTCCACTTCCGCCTGCACCGGTAACTTCAGCAATCATGCCGTCGATGCCGAATGGGTCTGAGGTGTCTTTTTCGAATTGAACGGGTCCATCTCGAGCCTATGAGAGAGGAGATAGAGTATCTTGTTAGTCATGTAATCGGTTGTAGGCATGTTCCAAAATATCCATATGAGGATGTAGGGATCAGGAAAAAAAAAAAAGAGTTGCACATCTTACCTCCGCATCTGCCGCACCTTTGAAGCCCTGCTTGGCGCGGCCCAGGACTTCGAATCGGCTATTGCGCTCGATTCGACTCATCTCAGCGCCCGCTGCCTCCTCATCATCGAAATCGTCTGCCTGCGCTCGAGGACGGTAAATGCTATTAATGGCATCCTGCGCAGCGAACAGGGGCTTGTCGTAGGGCTGGTCTTCATTAAATCCACTATCGAATCCGCTCGACTGGTTGAAAAGTCGGGAATCGTACATCGTCTCTTTGCTCTGAGTTGGCTTTGCAAGGCCAAGCGCGACCTTCTCGGAGATGTCACGGTTTTGTTCTCGCGCCATCATCTGGATCCGCCGCTCAGTACCCATACGCGATTGACGAAGTTGGCGCTCATCTTCTTGTCTCTGTTGCCGACGCCGTCGTTCGCGTTCTCGGGCTGCTTCTTCATCTTCGCTGGGTGTGGCAGAACGGGATGAATATGGAGATGAGCTCCGACTACCGCTGGCAGATCGTGAACGTGTTCGAGCTCGAGATTCCTGGCGACTTGTACCGGCCGACCTTGCTTCGCGTGCCTTTTGAGCTAGTTGACGAAGATGTTCCTCTTTCTGTGCCTTCTCCTTCTCTGCTAATTTCTGCTGCATTTGCGCTCTCTGTTTCACTTCCTCTCTAGCATGGCGGTCAGCCGTAAAGAGCGCTTCGGCAAACTGGGCAAATTTGTCATTGATAGAAACATCTTGTAAGCCCCGACCATCAGCTGCCAATCGCTTATCCAACGGAACAGTATAGCCTCTTGGGTTCTTCCAGTTCGAAACAGGCGGCGGAATCCTCCACGCTTCTTGGTCTTCTGCAGTAAGTTTCCGGGGAGGTGAGTGCATGACTGGGGGTGGCGGCGAGGGAGGGCCGCGAGGAATCTTCTTATGCTTGAATTTCGGCGGTTCCATGGGATCGACTTGTCTCTCCACAATCTTCATAATTCTATCATTCTTCTGACTTGTATCACCCATCTGATTTGCAGGCGTATACCTCACGAAAGTGGGCTCGCTCCGCTTCCCACCCTTCACGTTTTTCGGCTTCTGCGCCGCAACAGCCCCAGTCACCAATTTTGCCAGCGCAGCTTTGGTCTTTTCCATCTGCTCCGCTACCTCTTCCTGTGATGGGCGAGCTAGCGATATTTCGCCCATATCGACACGTTGGCGGAGTGGTATTAGGTCTTTAAAGGAGGCGTGTACAATCCGATTTTCGCCATGGCCCTGTTTTGCGATAGCATCGTACTTAACTTTCCCTTCTGCATCAACTTGGACAGCTAAAGCATTTGATGTTGATGAAGTGCCTTTCCGCCCCATATCGAGGGGGTATTGAGCGACTGGGATTTCGGGGAACGCGCCACCGTCAGCAAAGTCTTCGGGGTTTCGAGGTCGCCATCCTGCGCGTTTGCCATACGGAGGTGGGCCAACTGTCTATTACAAGATGGGAAGAGAAAATCAGCAAATATCGTAAGAGAAATAACATAATATAGATGTAAACTTACCTTTAAAACAACTTGCGACTCGTTAATAGCACTAGCTCCTATGATTCGCGGGCCTTTGGGCTGGGCATGTATCGGCAGTTCTTCGTCTTCGCCTGTGTATTTTGGTTTTGGCAGGGATTTGAAGAGTCCCTGGGCAATCGATGTCGCCATGGTAAATAGTTTGAATTGTAATAACCCGAATAAGAGCTGTTGGAGAGAAAGGAAAGCTCGTTGTCCAGAGCAGGTTTTTCGAGATTGAAGTTTGAGGTCGAGATGACTTTTGACGTAGTTGGAGTATTTTGGCTACCGTATTCAGATGACTAAGTGAGAAAAAATTAAAAATAAGCGCGATATGACGTCGTTGATAAATTAGCCGCGTTGCCGCGTTTATAAAATAATCGTCTATTTTTCTGTTAAATTTTTGAGACTTGATCCAGCCACTATACATGTAAAAAATGTGATGAGGCTGGACAAGTCATTCACTCTCCCTGTCTATAGCTAAGTAAAACAAAATCTAAGGCTGAAGAGGTGTTCAACCGAGAGAAAAACGCATCTTTCTCTTCTAAGTGACAAACATCTCTTACAAAAACAAAAACCACATCAAAGCATCTCAGGGCGAATAGTTGGTGACCGTGGTTTTCTGGAGAGTCCTTGAGTTGTTTGGCGCTGCTCTCGGAGCCAATTTTCGAGAGATGTGCGGAAAGATACCCCTCATTAATAGCCACACGAAAAAAGGAAAAAAGAAAATAAATAATTCAATAATTCATTGCATTACATTGCTATCTCTATCTCTCTCCCTCTCTAATCGAAACTAACTACCTACCGGTGCCTTGCCTTGAAACTAACCTAGCAAATAAGAGGAACGAGAATTTTTTTTTTTCTGGCCGCGCTAATAAAAACGACAAGTACGCCCCTCTACGCCTTTACCTTTACATTGTTTCATTGGAGTGTATGTATTATAGCATGTCACCGAAAATCGTCAATGTTCTGTCCCATTTGCGTTGGATGCAGTGTGTCATCCCAGGTGGATTGTTCCGGGGGGGGAGGGCGAAGAGCAGGGGGTAAAAACGGACGGGGTAGGATTTAAAAAGCAGAAATCATTGGAACATAATGAGAATAGCTAAGTGAATACAGCAAGGGAAAGAAAACTAGAGAAATGCAAAACGATGGGGAAAGAAAAAAAAGAGAGAAAAAAACATGATAGAGTTTGCAGGAAAAGTAAAGGGGCAAGGCAGTGCTATGGAATAGTAGTAAAAAAGAAGAAAAATAAAAAATGCAAATCACATTCAGTAAATCTCGTCCCATCCCTACCCCTCCTCTCCTCTGCCGCAACCGTTGACCCTTAACCTGTTCACAGTTATTACTACCCCGCACACTCTCCCTCGTACCTCGATGCTTAGAGTGTCGACGCTAGTATCAAGCAAAGCGTGCGATGGGTGGAGTCAAAAGGCAAGAAGGGGGAAAAAAAGAGAAAAGTCAATGCATGTAAATGAATTGAGCGCGTTTAATCGTTCGTTACTTCATTAATGCTTCGTAGAGGAAGTGTCGTGGGCGAGGGGGACTTGGTTGGTTTGTAATTTTTTTTTCGTCTTTTGAAGTTGATGGTTCGTGGCGGTTGTTTGTGTAGGATGTAAAAGATTCTTGGCGATGGTCCCTGGTCCCTTGTGTTTGAAGCGTCCGCTCATGGGCATTTATTATGCCATTGTCGGAGTCGAAAAGTAGGAGGATTTAGTGGGATGGGATGGTGGATGTATCCAGCGAAGAACATGTAGCTATGGCAGGTCAACGGGACCTCCTGGTAGTTTGATGCGTTAGAATTTGATGTTTAAAATCCGAATATGGGTGGAGACGTAAACGTTGAGAATTAAAAAAAGGGGAGAGTGGACTAATATGAAGAGATAACTTGGAAAAATTTCATACCTAGAACCATCATCGAGCATACCAACCCAAAGGTAGGATATGAAAGAAAAAAAAAAAAGAAAAAAAGAAAAAGAAACAAAAATAACACACATGAGCTTCCCTCCCATAGGCCCGCAGTCCCATCTAAGACCCAGGCTTAGCCTGAACCTGAAAATACGGATATCCCTGCTTCGACTTAATCCACTGGCCATTCAACTTATTATGGATATCAGTGACGGAGCGGAGAGACCAGGATCCATCAAGGTTGTGCACCCACAGAGCCTGGCCGGCGGGTGGGTTGTATGGGACCAGCTGGCGGGGGATATTGGCTCCATTGGCCTGTGCAGCGGCTACGTTCTGTGCATGGAGCTGCTGGGGGTTCGGGGCAAACCATGCCTGGGGCTGCTGCTGCTGTTGCTGGACAGGGACGACGGCGGGGGCTGGCCATCCAAACCAGTTTTGAGCTTGTTGGGGCACGAAGGCCTGCTGTGGCTGTGGGCCCACGGCGATTTGTCCATGCTGGTTGGGGTGGAGATGGGTTAGCTTGTGCGTGAGTGTGTGAGTGTATGTGGATTGGTGTTTTGTGCGTGTGGTTTGTGTTTTTTTAAGGGGAGTAGAAGAAAAGGTGAAACTGTAAATAAATAGGACAGAAAACTGGAGATTATGCTGTGCTTGTTTGCAAGGGAAAATAAGAGAACGCGGAAGACCCGAATGAACACAAGCAAACAAATAAAGAAAGCAAACCAGATGTCATACAAGGAATTAGAAAAACAATCGGTCAATAATAGTAATAGGTATAATAGTTATAATAGTAATAGTAAGGAGAAGGAGAAGGGGCAGGGGCAGGGGCAGGGGCAGGGGCAGGAGACTGATAATGAAAGGGGGGAACAACAGCGACCATGACAGCCTGGTTCGGCGCCGCGGGAGCATTGTTCGCAGCGGGGGCGGGGGCTGAAACCGACTCGATATGAGGCGCTACAACGGGGGCGGGAGCTGGGGGGACCGTTGTTATTTGCCGGCGGCGGGTTGTGGTTTTCGACGACATGGCCGGGATAGGGGTTGGAGGCTTGCAGAGCGGCATGTTGTGGATGGGCGGGATTCTGCATGGGGATATACCGGAAGACGGTGGGCTGAGGGTGTTGTTGTTGTTGTTGCTGCTGTTGTTGCTGCTGCTGGATGGGGGCTAGGAAGAACGCCATGGTGACCGGGAGGAGGGGAAGGTGGACGATGTGGTGGTGTGGCACAGTGTGTTGTTTGTTTTGTCCAGGAAGCGTGTAGGGATGAGAAGGGGGAGATAAAGGGTGATAGCGATGAAAGACGGTGAAGAAGGTTGATGATGGGAAGAAAGGGGAGAACACAGGGAGACAGTGTGATACAGTAGTAATAGGTGGAGGGGGGAGAGGAAGAAAGGAGAAGTGAGTGAGGCAGGGAAGCAGAATGAGACGAGTCAAGTGAATGGCGAAGAGTGAGAATTGAGATAGACCAAGAAGAGGGGAGAAGAAGGAAGACAAGAAGAAAAGAAAGAAAGAAGAAAAAGAAAAAGAAAAAGAAAAAAGAAAAGAAAAGAAAAGAAAAGAATGAGAGAAATGAGAACCTAAGGCACACCGCAATATCACATCCACACACATACAATACATAGGTACAGGACAATCCAACCATGTTACATATCGAAGTTCAATGAAATAAATATACAACCCAGCCAGCAGTGGAATCAATAATCAATTCAAAAAATTCATTCATCTACTCACCGGTCCAATAGGCACAAACTGATCCCCAGGATTGACCATGATAAACTGCGCATTGCCATTCTCCTCCTCCTCGTCCTTCTTCTTCTTCTTGGGCACGTCCTCGATCACATACGCCTTGTACGGCGTGCCCCACCACATACACATCATTGAGCAATCGTTGGGCTGCGAGATATAATGGGATAGCTATTGGCCGGGGATGGCGCGGTGGTAGGTATGGTATGGTATGGTATGTCTGTGAGTAAGTAGTAGATATATGTGTGTGTGTGTGTGTGTGTGTGTGTGTGTGAGAGAGAGAGAGAGAGAGAGAGAGAGAGAGAGAGAGCGGGAGAAAGATGAAAATGGAATATAGAAAAAGTAAAGAAGAGAGGGAGGGTAGGAGGCGGGAGACGAGAGAAAAAAAGTTTGATCAGGCAAGGGGATGATCAGTTTACAAAAAATTGGAGTGGTGGAGGGCGGTTGATGGAGATAGGAGGAGGGGGATAAAGGGTTGTTCGAGGAAAAAGAAGGTAGAGGGAAGAGTCAATTCACTGAACTGGCTGAGAGTGTGTTGGGATGGATAGGGCTATGCTTGGGTCAATGGATGACTGACTGAGGGACATAAGAATGGGATCTCGTGTGCAACATGCAGCAGCTATGTATATCAGGCTGCGGCTCTGTATCGTGTATAACGATGTATATATATGCCTATACATACTTATAAATATGTATATATAAATAGCCGGATATCACCGTCCTGCAGACTTCCATTTTGCCATCATCCCGTCTCATTCTTTTCTTCTTCTTATTCTTGCTGTCTATCCACCAGCTCTCGCTTTGATACCTCAAATCAATCCTGTCACCCGGGAGGCGGAGGAGTGGGAAGAAGGGCCCACACAGACGAGAATATCAACCAACATACATACCCGTTATTTACATGATTGCCGCCCCAGCCCAGGGATTGCCCGGGATAATAATCATAATGATAAGGTCTTTCTGGGAGAACAAAAAGGCGGTATGATGAATGTGAGAGAGTTTGGGTTGTTGGTCGTTTCTAGCTCTCATTGTCATCGTCGTCGTCGTCGTCGTTGTTGTTTGTTGCTTGTTCCTTGTTGCTGCTCTGGGCTCTTGTGGAACCTATCAGGATGAGCTATATACCAACCCAACATCACCCACAACAAGGGCCAACAGAGCCAACAGGCTCACGGCGAAAGGCCATTGGACGTTGCACGGATGCCCGAGAAGTTGCATTGGGTTTAATGTGTCCTATTTACCCTTGACAAAAAAAAAAAAAAAAAAAAAAAAAAAGAATTTCTTCTTGTTGTCTTCTCGTTGAGAGAAAAGCAAAGGCTGCTTTACCGCCTCGAGTGGTGGGATATGGGAGGAGACGGAAGTTGCGGGAAACAAATAAGGAAAAATGAGCGCAACAAAGACCAGAAGAATCATCCTTGCAATTTGGCTTGCTTTTAGTGACGACAAGAAAAACTTTGACCGGGGCGGCGCGCTATGGTACGCGATATCCCGGAATTTTCGCTCTTTTCTTGTTTCTCTTTCAACATCTTCGTGTTTCGTGTTTATACAACAATTCTCCTGTCATAAATGTGTACCCATCAGACAAATTCGAGTAAAGAGGGGCCAAAAAAGGACGAGGCGATTTTTGCTTGTCAAAGAAATATATGCAGTAAAAATATAGAGAGTACATCTAAAACATGTAACGTCCCTTTAGAGGAGAAAAATTCAAAATTCAAAAATAAAATAACCGACCTTAGACTGATGCCGTGTGAGGAGTTAAAAATAAAATTCGAGACAAAGAAAATATGCTAATGCTTTTGGAAGTGTCTTGGCAAGAGGGGGAAATATGTATGCACAAAGTCTTATCTCAATCGTCCCCGCCAAAGATGAGATACCAAAAAAAAAAAAAAAAAAAAAAAAAAAAAGAAAAGAAAAAAAAAAAAAAAAGAAAAGAAAAGAAAAGAAAAGAAGAAGAAACGAAGAAAAGAAAAAAAGAAGGGCACTAGATTGAACGCAAGGCGCCACAGAAACTCATGCCTGATATCCATGAAGTATACTATAATATAGAAATAAAACGACGAAAGGAGGAGGATTTCTCATGGCTGGTGCTGCCATAAGAATTGTTCACGCAAAAGAAAGAGCAAGTTTTCAAAAAGTCACTTGAAAGCCCGTGCATACACAGCATCTAACAAGGCCGGAAACAGTCAGCTTTTGACTTAACGTGTTGGGCGGGGCAGGAAAACGGCAAGGGAAAGAGAAAAAACAGTAAAGTCATGGCACGAGCGACAAGTTAGGAGTCTTTTTTGGTGTTGCTGCGCTAACCATATGAACACTTAGAAAATCACAGTAGGTGTGACTTCATCGGGCATATTATTCCTTCAGAGTCCCAGGCTTCAACTAGATGCTCCCTGCCGGAGAACCGATACCGCACCCGCAGCAATTTCGGGCGGAGTGGGAACGGATCATAGAATCCGAGAATTTGTGACTGCAAAGGGTAATACTATATTAGTATTTTTTATGTTTGTCATGTCTGCCTGATTGAGTAGGTAAAGGAGTCGAATTTTGGGGGCGGTGTAGGGGAATTAGACCTTAATGACTCGAGGGGATATATTCAACTGTCCCTGGTCAACCAGTGCAGCGACCGGAATTGTGACGTCTATCATGCCCTCCGCGTAATCGTCGTCGACTATAATGGGCCCGTTTTGTTTGTTCTTTTTTGAAGAACGAGATGGCGGACATCCATATTCGGCGTGAACAATGACCAACCCGTCTCGATCGGCTTCTCGATCTTGTCTTCGCAAAACTTGATCCCTCATCATAGAAATTGCCTGCGCACTTTCAGCTTTACGCTTCGCAACTCGTTTCGAAAGTCGCTTTCGCAACCTTGCGATTTCCTGCCTTTCTCTCCGCTGCGCTCTGGGACGCAGATATCCAAATTCAATCGCTCCATATACTGTGAATGGCACTATGACCACCAACATGCATAGGTCACTAGTAAGTTTGTCCACAGGACATAAAGCTATAGGTAATTTGAAAGTCTGTCCCAATCTACTCCATGAGACGCTACAACCAAGGCCCATGTTACCTATTGTGGAGATGGTTAATCCCACACGGGTGAATTCACCAACTCTCCGCGAGCCAGAAACGGACCAGCCCAAGCTGAGGTTGGCGTCTATCACCGCGCGCAATCCTAGCCGTATGGCGCCGCTGCCACTCCGGGTTTTGCTAGGATAATAGCCCTCGCCACTCCATTCGGAACGCAAGGGTTCCGCCGGCTTCCGCGCGAAGATAGTCCGCTCATATTGCACAGTTAAGTTCATGCCTTCTAGCGACGACCCGAGGCTGAAGCCCCATGTTTCATTGGGTTTGGGCGGCTGCTGGAGCTGCTTGGTTGAGTCATTGTCATGGTCTGAAAAAATATCTGCATCATCTTCATCCATATCGTGATCGTCAGCACGGGGGTCCGTAGGTAGCTGCATTCTTGGTAAGCTTGTGTATCCGATCGAAACACCACTCATCGAATATGGCCGCAACGCTTCTGCATACGGGTCGCGTTTGCTAACATCCATGAACACATTCTGAAGGAATTCTGGCCATGACAGCGACCCGGGTGACCAGTTACCGGTAACTACCCCTCCAGTGCCTATCATACGTGATATTGATAGAGTCAGGTCGGGAGGGTGTCGCAATGGAGAGGAGACGCATGTAGATTTCACGGTGAGGGAAAATGGCCTAGTGCCTTCCACCAGAGTTACAGCTTTGGTGATGCTTGCTTGAACAAGTGGTTGCGGGAAAATAAGGGTATTAATGTTCACTACCGCCCCACCGAGGAAGGATAATAGGGGCCCTTTAAGGATACCTCGTTTGAGAGGGTCGTTGCTGATGACGTGTGCTAATGTAGCTCCAAAATTGACATTCGCGTTACGAATGGTTAAGGGTTGTCGTACCTGTGACTGTCAGTGAGTGCGTTTAAAAAATTAGAATTAAAATCATAAAAAAAGCCTACTTGTCTCTCAAGTTCTTCTCCTGTAGATGGAATGAATAATTTGACGTTCTGGACTGGTTTTCCAAAACGACCATTGACCGAAGCTTGTAGCTGTAATCTAGTCGTCTCAGGCGTGCTGTCCTCAGGAGTGCCTTGGTCTGGTGCTGGTTTGTCTGTATCTTCATATTTGGTTCCATTTGCCTCCGATTTCGATGCGCCAAACCAAGGTATGTTAGGAAGTGGTATGGGAAGAGAATATCCGAGTAAAAACCCTGACGGCCTTAAGCTAGGTACACGTATCGAGATATCTCCTCCCGACGTGGTCTCGAACATAGATTTCGCATCCACCGAAACATGAATAGTACCCTTGCATCATGTCAGTACTTATAACGGGAAAACAACAGGGAAGACATCTCCGTAGAGACATAGGCGCATGCTCCCAAAGAATATGCGCTTTTGATTTATTCTTTTTGATTTATTCTTTTTTCCCTCAAAGGACCAATTCAACCTACATTGGCATCCACCAAGTCATTCAAGAACTTCCTCTCCTGGCGTCTCATGACCGCCAAAAACCAGTGACGGAATTCAACTTCATCCATCGCCTTCACTCCAACTTGTTGTCTTTCAGCGTACCCATTTCTACCCATGAGGCCTCCCTCCCCCCATGTGTGCTGCACTCCTTCTTTGCCCAGCATGTCATATACAGTTCGTTTCTTAGGATCTATCAGCGTCTCGTATGCATCGCGTATCCTATTATAATGCTCCGTCGCAGCCTCCCTTAGCTCCGGGGGTTGTTTGTCAGGGTGAAAGCTGAGGGTCAAGGTTCTGTATGCCGAGCGGATTTGCGATTCCGTAGGCGGAGGGTCTCGGGCCAACGCCAACAAGCTGTAATAGTCAACGTCGTCTGGGTAATCTTTCAATCGGTCATAGTCATTCTCCGATCCATTGGAGCGGTGGTCGCTCCCGCTTTCTTTGTTGGCTTCCGGCATGTTCGCAGTGATATCAAGACAGGCGAGCCATTGACTGCGGTCCGTCTGTCAGGCTGCTCCGATTGGTTCGTCTATGGCGTTGTCCTCGTTTACGAGACCATCTAGTCCGATTGAGATGTCCAGGAAAGTGGTCGCCTGTTCCGAGGCATTGCGTGGATAGAGTCTGCTTGGTTTGGACTTGGATGTTGTCGGAGATCTCGGCTTTGGAAAAGTCGGTCATTTTCAGCCGCGTGTTGCGGCTATTTAGCGACCAGTTGCTTTTCAACAAACTATGAAAAGCACTTCTATGCACAGAATGGAGTATAGAGTCATTAATTTTCAATGATAGCACAATAACACAATAATAATATATTAATATTATATATTGAATATTAAAATTATATAGTTATATTATACTCTGTAGTTATTTGTAAGATTCTGATAGTAGATTAATCTTGTCTTGATTCTGAATATCTGTTAATCTTTGAATTATCATAGTAATATAATATGATTGATTTCAAATTCTCTTGCAATCTCTGTATATTTAGAAATCAATTATCTGTTCAATTGATTAATTACTGTCTCTATGATCACTTCATTAAGTGATATGATAAGTGATTGAAGTTGAAGAGTTGTACTCTGTAACTAGTTGATTGAAGAAAAAAATCAGAGCTTGTTGAGTGAATGAGTTCATTGGTGCATCACATTAGTTAGTTATTTAACTAGTTATTTAATACTCCGTAGTTTGGCTAAGTCCCCCGCCACAGGCACACAACTCATGATAAACGCCGCCAGAAATGCCTGTTGATAAAATTCCACCAGAATGCCAGATTACTTCGCATGAATAGGACTGGGACTGAAAGTTGGTGGTCAGCTAGAAGGGCCTGGTGAGAGGTTCATTATTACACTAAAGGGTAGTTATCCGTTCAGGTCATCCACTGAACCTATTCTCAAGTTTAATCTTAATGTGATACGTCTATCATGCTCATTACAATTACAGTGTCAAAGGCGCAGAAAGTACTGCCTATCCTTCGTGGCGCACCCCTTGTGAAGACAAGCATGTTTAGTTACTGGCTAACTATGAACCTCCAATTTAGTAACATCCAGGCAGCCAGTTACAAGAAACCGCATATTGGCTCGTTGTTGGGTGAAGTAAATTTTACTATCACCCTGAAGACTGACTCTGAGAGTTAAACACAGCATTTATCGGGATATTGATTCAAAACTTGAATTCCAGCCTTCTTTGCCAAACAATGAACCCCCGCGCCCGACCAACTGATAAGAATCATAGTGGAGATATCCCTCCGGTATACAGAATCGATCTTTCCCTGCCTCCTGCACAACGATATGTAGAGGTCGCCGGGGTATATCGAGAAAGGATGAGGTCTTTGACCAGTCTATTCGACGAGCTCGTCGAGTCCATCTTCCCTGCCGTAAATATCAGATGGGTGAAACGTGCTGCCCGCCTACTGCTCCGGCGCCTCTATACTCACGAGGAAACGGAGGAGATCAAGGGGATAAGTCAAACCACTGACATCCCTCTGTATTTATTGGTGTCACTTAATGTGCTCCTCGACCTGCTCATGGGGTGCACCAGTGGCGGCGCGAGATGTAGAGATGCACATGATGTAGATTCGAAAATGCTACATTTTCGCACTCTCGACTGGGACATGGATGGCCTACGGCAGCTGATTGTCCAGCTAGAATTCGTCCGCAGTCCTCACACCGAACAAGTCCTCGCGACAAGCATTACTTATGTTGGTTTTGTCGGAGTCCTAACGGGCGTGAGGGAGAATCTTAGCGTTTCGTTGAATTTCCGCCCATATCATGATACGAGCAGGCGCTTTGGCAATGTGAAATTTTACGCGAGCCATATCCTCGTCTTGTTAGGGATTCGCCGTTCTATATCCTCTTTGCTTAGGCAGTGTATCCTTCCACCAGCTCCGACGAAATGGAGTATTTTCACCAAGGTGTGGAGAGGAGCACGTCGACCCGCCCACCATGGTTTATCTCTTGGTGCCATAGCAGCGGAACTATCACAGACCCCCACGACTGCAGCGTATGTAATTTTTAGCGACGGGAACTCCACCACTGTCCTTGAAAAGGACTATAGATCCGCCGTTACCCGCACTTCCTCGTCATTCATCGTAGCTACAAACAGCGACATAGAGGACGAATCCACTGATTCAACCACAAGAACCGACAATCTTGCTTCACCACAACCTCAGGCCGTCCAGCTAGCTGGCCTAGAAGAATTGGTAGAGGATAGCGTCGAACGAAGAACGTACATGCAAGGTTTTTGGGATGCGAAGGAGAAGTCAAGACAGTCCAGCCACCCGCAGGCATCCACAGATAGACAGAAGCGAGACCCGCTTCACCGCACACGCGCTTCCAGAGTAGCCGCCAGGCAACAACAAACTGCCATGTCATCCTCAACATCATCGAGCACATCTCAAGACTACGAACCTCAGCAGGGAGTCGACGAAGCTACCTCCGAGATTCAAGAGGTCACCGCCTCACCAGCTGAAATCATAAGATGGACGAGCACCTACCCAATTACGAATGAGATGACGCATTTTGCAACTGTCATGGATCCTATGGAGGGTAAAATTGTTTGGGTGAGACGATATACCCGCCCATTGCGCTGGTAGTCCAGGGTGAGGTGATAGGGCTTTTTAGCTGCTTGTTATATGCGACGATAAATAAAGTATTGTTAACAACTCCTCCCCCACTACATTCTTTTCCTGGCGCAGGATACTCACTTGACATCTATCTTTGTGGAGATGGAGATGGAATGAACTTCTTTGAAGAGGCGCAGAGCGGAGAAAATCGCAAAGGGTTAACGTACGATCACAAGGTTGGTTGGCCCACTTCTATATCGACATATTTCTCCGTTGTTATAGTTGTTATGTTCTCCATCTTTTCCTTGTTATTACCTTACAAAACAATTGCGCACCGAAAGAGATGTTTTGCGGATTCTCTGTTCTGGTGTATGCCATTTTAAGTGAAAAGTAAAAAATTATGGAAAGAGGTCATGTAGCTCAGAAAGGAAGACAGAAGAGGAAATCGTAGGTAGCCGTTGCTGCTAGACATGTACATAACAATTAAAAGGCAAGCGACTAATTCTATCATGCAGGTAGATGAGGTATATATGCATAAGTAAAAGTAAATACTCCACGCGATAAAGAAAAAAAGAAGACATTTCTAATCCGTGCATGGAATCAAGAGCACATCCCCCCTCTCGATAGAAATATCAGCGAGTCCAAGCGCACGGAAATATGCCTCGCGGGGGAGACAATAGACCAAGTCTCCCCTCCCAGTGGCAGTATACGGGTTAGTTTTGCCATGTATTGATGTCGGGGGTGAAATGGCAGCCATGCCCTCCTCAGTAGGCATCAACTTATCTATTACAATGAGGTCGAGCGGCCGCCCCTGGACAAAAAAACCACGCTTCTCACCCGACCCGCCATGTGGACGAATCGACTCTGTGATCTGATCCAGACGCCGTTCTATTACCCGCAGCTGCTCTCGCGAGCCGTGCCAGAACCGCGAGACTTCGGAAATCACATTCATGCCGCCTTCTATGAGGCCTAAGTGATATGACATATCACGAATGGAGCCGCAGGCGGAGAGGACGTCGGTGGCTGATAATATGGCGTTGCCTGTAAGGGGTGTGGAGAAAGTAATTTGGGGCGGGGGTGGGGTGTTTAGCGCACTGTTGTCCTCGTCCGATGGATTTAGATGTTGGCTAAGATCATGCGCGATGCGAAGGACCTCGATGGAGTGGCGGTAGGAACGGAGGACGTTCCTCTCGATGATATGCTCCGGTAGGTCTTCGTGGCGGACGTATCGGTTCAGTCTCATCATTGTTGCATGGTAGAGAATATGTACGCTTGCGAAGACGTCTCCCTTTCCGGCCTGGACGCTCGCTTCCATATTTTTTACGCTATACGAGAAGTACTGCGGGAGGCTTGCGAGCCATTTATCAGTGCGCTTCACGGTGGAATCGTAGAATTCCTCGTAAAGCAGGGCGTAATTTGCTGGAGAGATATATGTGGCGCGATAGATGTGTTCGAGCACATCACCCCAAATGGCAGATACTTCTACTAGGAACGCCATTGGGTCAAGCGCAGTTCTCTGTTCGGGTAACGAGGCGTCTGCAGGTATGATACCGTTTTCAAAGTAGGGCATGTTGGCCCATTTTTGACTTTCGTACCAGTCTGCTCTTAAAGGTAGTCGAAGAAAGATGTCCTGTGGCTTGAGCACTGTTGGAGAATGGACTGAGAGGCCAGCATGTCTCTGTTTAGGATAAAGTGCTCAGTTAGTTATTGGCAGGAAATAAAGCAGTTGGGGTTTGCAAAACTAACGTCCATAAGGAAAGCAGCCCAAAAAGTCCGCCTCTGACATTCAAGCATAGTTTCGGCTTTAAAAAACTCGTCCCGTTCAGGCGGGTTCCCATGTTCAACGTTGAGTTTCAGCCCACATATAGTGCGCATGGCAGAGCCCGTAAAATCAGAAGCCGTGGCTGACGCGCCGATCGTGAAATGCCACATCCCAAGAATAATCCGAGTTTGAGCTAAGTGCAAGGTTGGTCTGTTTTGGCTTTTCTCCACAGCGTGCCTTGCGATTCTCGCAAACCTCATCGAGTCGGCCCTTTCCTCCCTGGACTTGCCAAAAATAGCCCCCATAGCAAGCATGGCATACAGCAGCATTTTATCATCCAGAGATTTATTCTGACAGAACTTCAACCATCTTAAGAATGGATCTCGAGGGAATATACAATAGGTCGCGCCGTTAACATAATGGAAGTACATACTGAAATACTGCATAGTCGATTCGGGGTGGGTTTGGTAGGGATCTGTTTCCCATTCTGACAACGTTGGATCGTGGAGATCCATCGCAGCCATCTCTGATAAGATATCGTTCATGCGGTATAGATCAGGAGCTGTGGCCCTATCTTTGTCATGCTTAGAGTCATCCCTCTCGTAGACAGTGGCATTCATCGAGGCTCGCCTTCTCCTTTTCAAGGGCCTATTGAATTTCAGGCTTTGTGACCCAGCCTCGTGCATCATTGCGCCTAGATGGTTAGATGTTGCAGAATTAGGTATTATCTGGACCGGACTTCCAGTGCCCACACGTGAAGTTGAGTAACCACTCGACGAGTAGCTAGACGGTTGATCATGTAATATTGCTGATGGAACGTGGTGGCCGGTTAATTGCTGCGAGGGCTTTGCAATTTGGTTTCCCCGAGGTCTAGAGAAGGGAAAGAAATAGTTTTTGTTAGGAATCATAAGCCGGCCGAAGGTGAAGGGTGGGCTTTTAAAACTCACGCATTTTCGAATCTACATTCCCTTCCTGATTTTTGGCACTGATCACACTTGGGGATATTTGGGATACATTTGATTTTCTTATCTCTGCAGGTAATGCATGCCTGCGCCAGCCGTTTTCTTGGCTTTCCGGCTTTTGTGACCCCCCAATTGGCATTGACGGGCTCCCCATCGATTTCCTTTGGGCAATGGGTGCCATCAGAGTAGACATAACAAATTCCCTCGCCCTGAATAAATCTCTCTTCTACCACATGAGCTAGTCGCGGCTGATTTGGCGCAGGTGGTGAGCCTGAGCGGAAAGAAATCTCACCAGATAAAGAAGACGGACCTGAGGCCGGAGAAACTTCAGAATTAGGGAGGTCGCGTACATATGGAAGCTGACTATGGTGGTGATGGGCTAGAGGAGCCTCAGCACTGCTTCTTGTGTATTCGGCAAAACGATCAGACCGCAAGCTGGCCGCGTCCAAACCGACTTGCGAAATTGGAGGCAGCTGCTGGTGAGAATACAATCGATGCTGTCCCTTTCCGTACGAAAAATCAACAGGTTCAAGTGTAGGTGGCGGTCTTGGGAGTGCAGCAGTGGCATGGTTTGGATGACTGTTTGGCTGAATGTGGCTGCGTGGAGTCTCAGCTGTTTTGTAGTCGGGTGTTCTGCTACTGTTTGGCGTAGAGTTTCCGCGACCCGTAAAAGAATGATGTGAATTTGATGCATCAGGATATGAAACTGGTGTAAGAAGCTGTCTGACTGACGGAAGCTGGTCCTGCACTGGGTATCGATTGCTGGTATGTTGGGTCGGGGTCCGGCCTGCCATCGAAACTGGGGATTCCATCTCTGCCAACGGAGCCGGAGAGTCTTCAGATACAAAATCCCACGAAGTAGTTTTGCGGGGAGGAGGGAGTTGGTAGTTGGTCAACCGTTTCGATGGCGTTGGGTTGACTTGCGATTCTTGTGACGTGGTACTGTCCTCGGGCATAGGTAATATACGCCCGAACGACCCCACATACCACCCAGACATAACTCCAGACTTTTAAAATAAAGAACTGTTATGTGGAATACCTGGGCGCTATCCTGGGCATCGGTAGACAAAACCCTTTGACCTGTAAATTGCTGCCGGTTGCCGGCAGTTGAGATGCGAGTCGCCGGTTTCCATCCAATTAGTATAGAGAGAAATAGATCTAGTCCCAGACGCCCAGTCAGGAAATCAGAAACAGAAAACTCCAGTGGCTTCTTCAACCCCTTCCCACTCTCCGGTTATTCTGAGGCCACAGCTTTCGAGAGGTAGAGATAAACATGGGAGCTCCCTGGGCAGTGTCGAATGATAAGCCAGCCTGGACCCCCCTCCAGAGCGAGAGTGAACCGGACCCCTCAAACAAATCAAAACGTCCGGAAGAAATGAAGGCACACGATTGGCTTTAGGCCCTGATACTGAACTCGTCCTTGGAGTAGATCGCGGTCAGGATTTGATGAAGGGGAAAGAGAAATTTTTACGGATTTGGGCAGGACGGTCCCTCCAGTCAGCAACAGTGGGTATTTTGAGTGCGTCGGCAGATGGAAAATGATGTTGCAGCTCGCTCACCCAGGATCAGGATAGCGACTCCGCCATGAACCCAGCCGCGGGACATTTCAGCAAGCGAACGACAAACCTCGTAGCATGCCCAAGCACTGGCCGCTGAAGATAGAGTTCAGCCAGGGATCACTTTACGCTGGGCTCCGGCACTTCTCAGTTAGGCCTCTCGGGTTGACCAATTAACGAGAGTGGGGAAGTGTAGCAAGAGGGCTCCTCGATAATCGAGGCAGCGTACGTACGCAGGGTAAATGGTCTCTGCGTGTCAAAGGGCTATATTCCTTAGCGTCAAGGACCGGCTTGAAGCAAGCGTCGTTTTTCTTCCTGCGGCTCCCAATTTTGCGCGGGATAACGACAGATTCTCCTCTCTCTTTGCCAGCCAAGGAGCAAGGCGAAGGGACCAAAAGCCGGGCAGGCTATGGTTCCAAACGCCAGCTACCCGGCAGTTAAGCCAGGCCATGATTGCCCATCAATGCCGGCCCCGGGTGGGGTGTCACCTTCCAGGGGCTTGAGAACCCTAATTACACGGCTTATCGCAAGCGAGAGGCAAAAGCAATGCCTGTCCTGTTCCCGGGATGTCAGTCTTGCACTACAGCGTATATCAAAAAGGCCGCTCCTTGTCAATCTAACCCAAATATACCAAGTAAATTGAGGGGCTCGTTGCTGATGGCCACGTACATGTGCATATATATATATATATATACCCGAGGATGCCAATGAGGGATTCGTATGCTGACCGCTCGATCCTCGCTGCCGCGACATGCGCTCTGTATGCGGCTCGTCGCAGCAAAAGTCAAGGAATTGAAGGCTTGGGGTCTCGCAGACCGCCCGCCCTATGGTTGACAACCCTTCAAGGTGCAGCTCAGCCTTGTAGCAACCAACTGGCTCATGGTGTCACAGCAGCAAGAGGGGTGAGGAGAGGGAGGTGGTGGTGGTGGTGGCCTTGCCAGGAAGGGGTTCAAGATGGCTGGTTGTATGGTTGTATGGTTTGTTTCCTGTTTCATACACAACACAGCACATATCCAACTCAGCAGTTCTTATCTGTCAAACCCCCCTGTGGCAGGGCGTCATTCTCCTAGAAGTGTTTGTCATCATTTATCCCACTCTTACAAGAATATCTCCGTATTTTCTTCGGAGTTCCCAGGGGCAACTCCATGCTATATTCTGCGCATACATACCCCATTGTCGCGTACCCCAACGACCCTTTATTTCCGGACATCCATGCTCCAACGGGATTGTCTTAAGCTATATATATACAGATATCCCAACCTGGAAATCCTCCGAAACTATCCCTATCCCGTTGCCGGTGATTTTCCGATTCAGTGCCAGCCAGAAATGAAACCTGCGCTCATCTAAGTTCCCCCCTCTACTCATCTGAGTAAAGAGGGCAAAAGTCCTAATTACTTCATTCTAATACAGCAGTAGTATTTCATTACACTATCTTAGCCGACAAGTTCAGCGCTAGATGAATACTCAGTACTTCAATTCCTATATTTATATATATTTACCCTCCAAGGTATCCATGGTGTCCCTGCGAAGGAGCACGCACCGTCTTTACCAGCCTCAAATCTAAATCCTGCCTTGATAACTACAACTCCCGGGAGCCATCACTCTTGCACCCCCTTCCTTGGTTGAAAGGAGACATCGTTTCTTTATCCGGTGTTTGTACTTCCAATCTTAGCTCCGGTATGGACTGTGAAGGTGGGGGGGGGGAGCTGCTGATCGACTTCCGTCCTGCGTAAAATCAAGTTTACGAGAAAATGGGGCATTGATCAATAATTTCGCTCCCATATAAAATAAATAAATGCATCTGGCCCCGGCGTTTATCCGGCATTAATAAACAACTCAGCTGTGAGCCTATGGTTGGAGGGACTTGGGACTAAGTGGGACGACTACGGGGTCTGAGCGTTGTTTCAGGAAGGGCTGAGGGGATGTTTTTAACAGACACGCCGACTGACTTACTTGGAGCCTGGAGAGGGAGGCTGGAGAAACTGGATTTTCGAGCACAGAAGCAAGCGGGAGCGGGATCTCGAAACATTTCTGACTCTGACCACGGGGTGGGGAGGGATTTATAATGAATATCGAATCACCAGCTATGGTGGTAGTGAGAGTGAGTAGTATGTGGAGGAGAAACCATCCCCCTTTTTCTCACAACCATTTGGCTACCGAATAGAGCCGTAGAGGTGAGGTGAGCCTCTTGGAGGAGATGAGGAATATACAAAAATATGGTACTCGACACTTGTGAAAAAAATTCATTCCTACCCCACGATCTCCGCTTCTTCTCCCTCCTGATTTAGTGTCGTTTCGTTGACTATTAATTTATTTCTCCCGGCTTCAACCGTCGCTCTATTCATGCACTATGTTGCCGTTGACATTGACATGGAAGCTAAACAAACTCATCTTTTTACCCATAAGCGCGGCAGAGTTTTCTGAAGGTTGATGACGTCTATGCACGCTTTAACCATTTTCTACTTCTCTGTTTATGTGAACTGGCAAGAAGGGAATGGGGGAGAGTATTTAAGCAGAAACATAGGATTTGGTCCAAACAAACCCTATCATATCCATTTCTGCTGGTTACGTTCGTGTAGCAATCCTAACATAGAACAGGGACACAATTGGAAGTTGAAAAGAGAAGTAAAATGAAATGAAACACCCTCACATAAAAAACCGCGCTCCAGTGTCAAAAACACAATTGTAACATTATTTTGTTTATGGAAAAACAGAAGAAACAAGAGACCCTAACATTCCTACTCCTGAGCCAGAATCTTGTGGAAAGTCTCGCCAGCCCGCTCAGGCTTGCCTGACTCGAGGCTCTTCTGGCCGAGTTTCTCCTTGGAGTAAGCCGCAGCGTACGGGTTTAGTCGGAGGAGGACCTGTCTATTGCGGAGAGGGTTCTTCTTCTGGACACCAGATCTCTTGGTCTTGGCGTATCCCTTTGGCTCGCGGAGGGCGGACTGGACTTCGGAAGAGTTGATGAGGCGGGTGAGGTCAGCGTTAGCGACGAGGTTGGAGGGGAGGAGGAAGTCCTTCTTCAGTGCAGATGGGGCGGTGGTGGAGCCGTAGATGGTGTCGAGGGCAGCGAAGGCGGAGGAGGTCCAGACAATGAAGCGGCCAAGGTGTCCACCGGGGGCCAATTGGAGGAGGTTGAGAGCGAAGACGGGGCAGGTCTCAACACCGGGGATGTTGCGGAAAGCCTTGACGAGCTCCTTTCCATCGATGTCAGGGTTGTAGACAACGAGAGGTCCACGGCGTTGGCGGTATCTCCGGCCACGCATCTTTCCCTTTCCAGCACGGAACTTGCGAGATTCCTCGACCTTGACGAGATCTGGGCCCGCTCCGAGGTTATTGAGGAGGGCAATGGCAGCCTTGGTCTTGACGATGGCGTCGTTCTCAAAGGCCTTGGAGTCAACTACAAGGGGAACTTCGGGGACGTTGGAGATACGGTGTCCACGGGCGTAGAGAAGGGCAGGGACGGAAGAAGCGGCCAAGGCAGAAGCGGTAGCGAATCGCCTGACAAAACAGCATTAGCACGCCTGGAGTTGGACATTGTGGTTCGATCCCGGGGCCGTCAATCGAGCTTCGATTTTCCAAAACTTACTTCTGTCCATGGTTGATCTTCTGGTGCCATTTTCTCCAGACCTTTGTGGGAGCGAACATACGACCAGCGCGACATTGGTTACCGAATGCAGCTTGACCAGCACGGTGCGTTCCTCCTCCAGAGACACGGGGAATACGGGCGACAGCACGGCCTGTAAAAGAGCTTGATATCAGTGTCTTTTGTTTCCCACCAATTCCTCGCCGACATCGTCAAGGCTCTAATTTTTGAAGTGTTCTTCAATTCCACGTACCGGTACCCCAAGACTCAGCAGAAGTTTGTTCACCAGCCTTCTCGCTCACGGCATATGGCTGCCTCTTGTTTTTCGCAATACCAGTGTGCACCGACCTAATCTCACCATCAGTTTCTGTCTCCCAATTCACCACCTGTTCTCTCAGCATCTCGGGAGTTTTTCTTACTGAACAATATCGGGACGGATTGGCGACGCGAAAACAGCGGGCAGAGGGTGAGTGGCACCGCTGGGCTTGCCCTCGGCATTGGCCACGGTGACGGTTGGGCGAGATGCCATTTTTGTCGACAGGTTGCTGGTCGTCGTTGGGCGATGATGGTTGAGAACAGAGGTTGTCGTCGTCGTCGTCGTCTCGTCGTCGATGCCCCGAACTTTCAATGTGGGTTTTCTCGCTTGGGAATGGCGGCTCTGCGAGCGGCCACAGAACCCTAAACCCTGAGTTCCCGATTGGGCAGCTTGGCAGATTATGTAATATAATAGGTCGTGATATCCCGTTTTCAGTGGAAGTGGTTTCGCTCCCTTTTCAACCTCACGAACAGACGACACCAGCAGGTAAATAATAGAATAACTTGGTGAGATTGCATCTTCCCAGTCAATATCAAGCTATGAATACAGCGCAATAAAGCAGCCACTCTGTCATCTTTGAATTTATAGTGTTGATCAACCCCTTATTTTACGATATATAGCTATATAGACCTCCTTAGAGTTGACTTACTGAGGCGATGATATCTACTCTTGAGTGCAATGACCGCAGGGGCAGACCAAAAGTGAAAGATAACAAGGTGTTTGATATTAAACTAACTACAGAGATTTCAACAATGAAACTCAGAATTCAGTCTGTGAGATGTATTCACTTATATATAATTATTAAGTGTTGCAAATTACTAGAGAATCTGTACATACACATAATGATTAGAGATAGACTGCCACTTATACAGCTGTATATATACAGTTATGTTATGAGTGATAAAATCAGCAATAGTTCACAAAAGTTTACCATCTTCATTTCATATTCAAAGAAAATCAACTTAACCTACTCTGTACAGAGTACAGATGTCTAGATACACGCAGCACCTTCAGCAAGATGTCTCTAAGCAATATTCAAAATATACATCTACATCATCATAATTGTGTACTCACCCATTAGCATATATAAATATATACATACTAACTGTGTTTTACACTGTCTCTTAACCACTATTCCAAGACACCAAAGCAAACCCCCATAGAAAATGTAAAGAAGAGCTGAAGAGAATGAAAAAGAAGAAAAAAAAGTGCAGGGTTTGATTGGGCCAGGAAAGCACAACATATGGCTGGAGAGGGGTAGTATTAATTCACTTTATGTTGTGTTATCATGAGGTGCATAATCGTTCATATAGAGGGGAGGCAGGGCAGGGAGGGAGCGTGCCACCCTATGGATTGTTGGACGACATGTGGTATTAATGTGTACGTTGTGTTCTTGTGTTCTTTGTGCGAGAAAAAGGGAGAAATGAGTAGAAATGCAATGATATGGCTGGTGGGGGGGTTTCGCGGCGGGGTCCGTGTGTTTGTTCAACGAGGGGTTGATGGGGGCAATAATGATTTAACTACGGAGTATACGAGGATTATAATGAATTTACGGGTTGGAAAGGAAGAAATGAACTGAACGATGTGGTTTGTTTCTTTTCTGTCTCCATTGATATACGTTGTTTCTTACTCCAAGTGCTCTCATTGGCATCGTATCACCAAAGACTTCATATGTACGGAGGTTTTTTATACCTATGTTCAGCTTGGACAACAACCCTAGGGAAAATGGGGTCTCCTCTTAGGAAAAAAGAAAGAAGAGAAAATGATAATGGTCACATGTGAATTTGTGGAAAAACAGAATATGTAAAAGACAATTGTTCGAAGAAAAAGAAAAAAAGAAAAAAAGAAAAAAGAAAAAAAATGTACAAAGCAAAGACAAGAAGAAAAGGACTGAAGTCTCGTATTCGACAAAATGAGCAATCCCAGATCTGTTAAAATAATATATAGAAGAAGAGAAAATAGAAAACTCTCAACCAATCCCTCAGCATCCTAGGAACCAGTGAGACATGCATGCCAACAGCTAATGAAGAGTATATGACAAAAAGTATCAAAGGGGTGGCGGGTAAGATTCATTTTTATGTCCAATATCCGACCCAGACATGTTCCAGATTTTTTGTCAAAATAGTAGATAGGAAAGAGCACATGGTAAAACAAAAAACCCAAAGAGGAGGAGTACATGAGAAAGATGATATCGCGAGCTCTTGTTTTTTCCCCTTATCGTAAGCTGCCTGCCTAGTGAGCTGCAACTATATCCTCTCTTTTCCCGTTTTCTGTTCTTCCCCGTTTCCTATTCCACTCAGACACATCGCGCTTAAAAGTGTCCTCTTCGTCGATGGAGTCCGGCACCATGACTGCGCTTCACGCCAAGAGCAGCGACCTCCAAACCGCCTTGGACCACTGAGCATGTAGTTCCTGGGGCCACAGGCATGGGGACAGTCCACTGGCCACTCGCGCAGCGCTGGAATTGGGTGCCGCCAATGCAGTTCCATTTACCCTCGTTGGGGCAAGGACCGGACTGAGCGCTGCCGTTGTTTCCACCGGGGGGAGTTGGCTGGTTGGGGGTAGGAGTGGGAGTAGGGTTTGATGGTTTGGTGACGAATACTGGTGGGGACGGAACTGGTGGGGTAGGTACCGGACTGGCATCGGGGGTTGGGGAAGGCGAAGGTGGAGGCGAGGGCGAGGGGCCGGGCCCTGGGTTGCCTGGG